CTTCTGCGGATATGTGGCAAGCCCTGTTTGTGGTTTCTTTTTTTGGGCGAACCTTGAACGTCTCATCGATATCAATCCTTCCTTTGTACGACATGGGTTGCTCGGTCAGGGGATCGCCCAGGGCGCTTGGGAAGGGGTGTTTGATCCTCGGCAAGCACGGGGTTAAGCTTCATCTTGTGAATATCCTGCAATGCAGGGTTTCACAACGATGTCAAGCTGCCCGAGAACTAGCAAACTCAACCCGTCTGCCAGCGGTCGGTTTCGGTTTCTGCCAAACCTGAATCCCCGATGGGGCGCGATGTGAATGTACTTTTGCGCGAATGAACAAGCAGCAACCCGACCCTCTCGTTCTCTTCACGTTGTTTACCTGACTCGCATGAATTCTGCAGCGAGCGAAACATTATATTGCGGTTTGTCTTGCCTATCCTATCTCCGAGGCCGGGCACCAAACCGAGTCGCGTCGTTTGAGGTGAACTCGCCGAGCGAACAGCTCAACCCTCGCCCTCAAATTCACTGTCAATCGAAATCTATATCCCTGTCTATCTATCCATTGCGATAGTCGGGTCTTTCGCATGTCGTTATAAGTACGTGAGCGGTGAGGGTCAGACATTACGACTTCATCGAATCATGTATCGGATGTATGTTCTGCATCAAAGATCATGTACAATTTGTGTACCAATCAACGGCGAAGACTTGTATCAAGTGGGTACCACTATGAGTACGTTTGCGATATCTCAGTTGTGTACATCGTATGCCGAGATGCATAAACTCCCAAGGTTCGTCCTGGACATCTCAAACCGATACATTCCATACTATACAACATACAGACCAGTTTTTGAGACATGCAATCTATACCAGACCCAGTTTATCAATACTGTACAGCCGTGAAAACCGACAAAGAAACCCGCAAACGTAAATGTGTGCGATCTGATGGGGTTTTTTTCGCCTCGCAGATCCACTCTAGATTGATGCCCTCCGACATCACACGCGGCCAACCATGGAAAACTCACGGTCTTCCGAATACACGACCAGCTCCACCGCCAACAACGGTTATCCAGGGCCGTGCCGGTATCAACCAACCGTGGTACTATTCAAGGCCAAATCCTAACTGCTTTGTTTCTTTCAGCCCAGGGCGACATGTTCCATGTGTCGATATACTTCGCATCGTTCTTTTGGGCACTCCGCTTTGGGAGATCGCCGCTCCACCATCTCTGGGTGTTTCTAGATCAATTGTGGCAAAAGTGTACAGTCGGTGTTACCGGCGCGGGTACCATACATGCGAAAAGTAGACTTGAGGTTAGATCCGCGGCTATGGGAGTATCGGCTCAGTGTCCCAAGGCGAGAGGGGCTAATTATATCTTTGGTGCTCACTGGCTTAAGGTTCGGAAATAAGCTATATCGCCGAATCGTTATTTGACGATGGAACTTATTGACCGATCGTTTTATATTAGTATAACACAGGTCGAGGAATGGGTGATTTGAGGTTCATTCGTGTACAGTATGCCTCCTTACGTGCAAGAATGGTTCTTTCCGTGCGTATCGGGCAAAAACGCTGCGGTCTTGACCGGTGAAGAATCGACGTTTCATGGCCCCTCTGCGGGGAGTCTTACAGATGTCACGAAGGGTTTTCTGCGCTTAGTGGGAACCACTCCACTCAATTGGTAATTTTTTGTTCATTTGCCTGTGCTTAAGCCGAGGAAATTTTCTGGGTGGTTGACAAGGTGCATGAAGTTCGCAGTACTATACGGAGTACGAAGTATGCGAGATCCTTGCCCACATCCCAGACACTGCACAGTAGGGAATCAGTCAGCCAGAATTGCCCCGAGTGCAATTTCCGAGATTGTATTAATAGTACACGGAGATCCGAATCGTTTAAGCGGGAAGATTGCGAACTACGAAGTCCGATGCAAGGCAAAGCTCTCGATTTAGATCGATGCTTTAAACTACAGTACATAAGAATAGGGACTGAATTGAGGCAAAGGGAGCAAAACCTAAAAGGGTAAGGTTTGTACTGTATTCAGCTGGAGGCTCAATCCATGGTTGACCTGGGTTTTTTTTTTACCTTTCCCCGCCTCGGTTTCTTTCACTTTGTCTCGGTCTCTGTACGCAATATTCCATAGGGGTTGATCGTTGACTTCATTGACTCCTACGGTATAATACTCATCATATACTAGTATGGCCTGTTCGCGAGAATCCGGGCTGCCAAAGCTGTTCGATACATCGCTAGCCCTGACGGGGTTTAGGGCACAGAATGCAGCGGGGACTATCCGTAGCGCGTAAAGAACAAAAAGGAGAGTTCTCCACTTGGAAGCTTGCAATTTCAGTGTATGTACCGCGAACAGAGTACCGGTTTTTCCGAAAGAGGATATATAGGGTCGCGTACTTTACTTCCCGCCCAGCCTGTCCCGCGAACTCAATTCCTGAAAAAAACGAAACAAAGAGCTGCAAGAATACTACTCCATACTCCGTACGTGTTGGTAATGGCCTCGGCATAGCTTAGTCTATGCCGTCATTGCCTGGGGCTCGCGTCCCACAGTTCTCACTTTGTGCATTACGCGTGTGATATTGAAATTGAGATGTGACAGTCTCAGATCTTAGGGAGTTACTCCGTACAGTACTTACTACTGCTCAGGATCTCCTCCGACCCGGGATCAGCTCGAACAACCTGGAATTCCCACACACACTCGGCCGCCTAAAGAGCCAAATGTGCTTTCCATCTTGGCGCGTATCCCAGAAAACTCTCTCGCCGATTGGCATTCCGTTTATATTGCCGATCTGGAAACTTCCAAGGTTGGTTGCCCATCTAAGTACTGTACGTAAACACCTGGGAAACAATCTAGCCAGTCCTACCTTGGACGGCCTCAATAAGGAACTGAAAGTCAAAGGCGTCCATCCATGGCCTCATTCGATGAATCTCGTCTCAGAGACAGCACGCGATCTGACCAATTTGTGTGATCGGGGGCGGGTTACTAGTCTGGCAAATAGTATCCCCCGTATCGCCTATGATAGACTCTCGGATCGGCCGATGAGGTCCACTGTACGGAGTAGACGGGATGGTCTCCAAACTCATCCCAGCTGGATACGAACGTGAATGTGGATCCAACTTACACCAGTCGCTTTCATTGATAACGGGGTAGCAAGCCAATTTAATTGAGTTCGAGCGCGACTGCGGCTAACTTCCCGACCTGCCTTTGAGATCGTGAGCTCAAAGTTCAATTGATGTCAGACTCTACTGACAAATGCAGAACATTCCACATCAATTGATCCTTTACCCAGACTATCGATTTCATGCGCCCGGTGCTGCGTCCGAGCCCACGCTGACAGGGGACGTCGCTAATAGCCACCCCCGCAGCTTCCCTGTAACCCAGTGGAATCCCGTTCTCCGCAATTGAGGCTACTTTCCTTGAAATGCGCATGTCTCGGCCTTGCATTGACGTGAAACTGGAAGGCTCAGCAATACGAGCCAACCGATCAGGCCTCCTGGGTCAATGACGATGGCGTCGATGTCGTCTTGTGTGCTTTCTTGCCCCCCTCCTTTCCCGCACTGGCACAGATCGTCCAATGACAGTGCCTGGATTCGCTTCAGCCTTTCTTGCTCTTTAGCTCATTCAGACTCCTCCAGTGAGATGCGAGAAGGGGTGTGGGCGTGGGTGGTCTTATGCAGAGCCAAGAACGCCACAACCTATCAGAGGTTTCATCTGCGAATGATCCTGGATTCTGATACATAAGCAAGCATCCCGGGTTGATTCTGAGCCACATCAGGCTATGGCAAGCTAAGATCAATGGCGACTTCTGACGTGGCAGGCTATTGATGGACGAGTTTCTCTCCTGACGAATAACCGCGAGAAATTCTTCATGACCCCCGACGATTACGGGTGGTGATTGGTGGTCGGCTTTCAGGGAATGCAGCCCCCTTAGGCTGAAATCCTCAGGGCTGCGTTCTAGGGCCTGTCGCTATTGCATCCATGAGAATCGCTGGATGATCTTTATCTGCTGGCCCACCCAATGACTATGTGAATGAGTTGGGCTGCAACCGGTTTACCTATCAGTCGAATCTGGGCTGACACAACTTCTTCTAATATCCAATGGTGCTGCCGATAACCCATGATCCAAGTTGCGACAGAGCAAGTCTGATCGTCGACCAACAAGCGCCCATCAATCTATATCTGGATAAGGGTGTGGGCTGATAACCGCCTGTCGTGGCTTGATTTGGAATACCTGTTCCAGGGTTGTATACGGAGTACGGAGTATGCTGAGATGTCAAATCAACACACTCAGTACTGAGGGCTTGAATTCGTTCCAAGGTTATACTCGCAAAAATACACCATACCGGCAGAGCGAATCGCCAAGAGGTATCGCTGTGTACCTTATGGATGCACTTTGAAGTTGTATCTGTACCGAAGTCTGAGAAATTTCTCATTAACAGTGACCTGCAATCAATGGATTCTGCCCGGACCTTGTCCAAGTCAACTGGAAATTCTCTACATATAGTACGGAGTAAGAACTGGATAGATGTGTACTAGTACTTCCAGGAAGCAACAGGTCTATTTCAATCTTTCAAGTGACCCTAGCCTGCTCTATACAATACCACTATATACCATAGTCTCCTTATATGTTCCCTCCACACTTATCAGAAAGTTCTCCAGATCAAGTGAATAGTATGAACGTGAGCCAATTAGAAGTAGCTTCTGTGGAGTAGATCCTTGGATATGGTGCCTGATGTGTGAGGCAGAATTACATGTCGGTCAAACTTACCCGATAAGATGTTCCGCCGCTAAAAATTATCTACAGAAAAAAAAAGCGGCAGCGCATCAGTCGCAAGAAAGCTCCAGCCCAACGCTATACTCACTCTTTCGTGTCCGAGAAATGAGTGTTTAGAGGCTGGCCATATAGCTCGAGCCCACGATACCTCGAATTGATCTCGAGCACCCTCGTTTCTGATTCACACGCCGCCAAACCCATACGCAAGAGCTGTCTGGCCCCGAGGCCCATACCCAACAATGGATATCCACCGTTGTCGTTTCGTTTCATACAACCCACAGGCAATCAACGCGCTTGCATTCTCGCACCCCCCTTCGGCGGACTTGGCTGGACGTGGAATCCCGACCCTCCGACTAGCGATCGGCCGTGCAAATGGCGATATTGAAATATGGAACCCGATGCGCGGCGCCTGGTTCCAGGAGACCGTGATGCGTGGAGGTAAAGACCGCAGCATCGAAGGACTTGCATGGACCATGGACCCTCAGGAAGACGGACCTGAAAATGTCAAATTGCCAGGCAAGCTGCGTCTGTTCAGCATTGGATACTCTGCTGCTGTGACCGAGTGGGATCTTGAGAATGGACGCCCACTGCGTCACTCCAGTGGAAACTACGGAGAGATCTGGTGTCTTGCCGCGCAGCCGCGCTGGCAGGCACCCAAGGGCAAGACTGGGCCCGCCGAGGGCGAATACACTGGCCAGCACCTTGCTGCAGGATGTGCAGATGGCTCCATTGTGATTCTGTCTACTGCTGACAATGACCTCAAGTTCCAACGATTGATGCGCCCTTCAACGAAAAGAGCGCGGGTCTTGAGCGTTACCTTCCAGAACCGCCATACTATCGTCGCTGGATACGCCGATAGTTCTATTCGTCTATTTGATATTCGCACCGGCTCGCAGCTTCGAACAATCTCACTGGGCAAGGGCCCTACTGGTGGGCCTAAGGAATTGCTTGTCTGGTCAGTCAAGTGTCTCCCAGACGGCACCATCGTCTCCGGTGACTCGGCCGGTGAAATTCGCTTCTGGGATGCAAAGAACTACTCGCTCGTTCAGCGGATACAGGGTCATCTTGCCGACACACTCGATGTAGCAGTCAGCTCTAACGGAGACACCGTTATCAGTGGAGGTGCCGACCAGCGGACGGTCGTCTACCGCAAGAAGGACGGCGAGAAGGGCGACAAGAAGGGTCGCTGGGCTGAAATTATGCATCGCCGCTACCACACTCATGATGTCAAGACATTTGCCGTCTACGAGACAAAAGATATCAGTATCGCCGTGTCTGGAGGTATGTCACCTAAGTGCATCGAAATGAGGTACTTGTTCAATACTAACTTGTGATGTCTGAAGGCCCCGATGCGACACCTATCGTCTTGCCGTTGCGTGAATTTGGAAAAGAACATCACCGCAAGCTCTCCAGCCTACCACAGATTCCCCAGCTTACCTCCGCACCGGCGGCCCGTCTGGTTATGAGCTTCTGGGACCGAGAAGTGAGCCTCTGGCGTGTATCTCGAGGCCCTGCATCACAGAATGAGAACATTGACGGCCAAAGGCACAGACTCGTTGGCAAGGTCTTGATTCAAGGAGAAGAAAACATCTCATCCGCGATGCTATCTTCTGACGGCAAGACCCTCGCTGTCGCAACCGTTGGTGAAGTCAAGCTGTTCTCTCTTCGTCGGCGAAAGGGCGATGAGAAGGGCGCACTTCGCATCCAGAAGATCGAAGTCCCCAGCGCACTTTCCAACGAGGGCGCCCGCCTTGTAACTATTTCCCCCGACGGCCGGTGGTTGTCTGTCGTCCGTCCCAACAGCGATATCTACATGGCACGAATCCAGCCCAGCTCTACATCTGCCGAAAAGACTCAGGTGGTTCCACATTTCGCAAAGATCAAGAGAGCTACGCGCCACGTACGACACGAGAAGGCATCTCACGGTTCATTGGGCGACTACGAGAGGACGATACGCTCAATTGTGTTCTCTGATGACAGCCAACTTCTGGCAACCGGTGATATCTCTGGCTGCGTAGACACTTGGACATTGAGCACGGCGAAGGACTCAACTAACGGTACTATCAAGGCCAACAAGTCCTCCGAGTCCGATGATGATTCTTCCGACGACGAAGATGAAGATGTTGAGATTGAAGGAGAACGTTGGTCTACTGCCGCTGCCGAATCACCAATTCCCCGCATGAAGTCCGGTGTCACTTTGATGTCCTTCCGCCCTAAAGCCGCCCCCACACAGCAGGCCTTGACCAATGGCACACATCAGGCTGGTCAAGATAAACTCATGGTGCTCACGAGTGAGCATCAGCTCGTCGAGTTCAACGCTCGGGATGGCACTTTGTCAGAGTGGTCCCGACGCAACCCCAAGGCATATCTTCCCGCGGAGTTCCGTGGTGTCAAAGACCGAGCCATGGGTTGTATGTGGGATCTCTTCGAGGGCCGGGAGCGTCTCTGGCTCTACGGAGCGTCATGGCTGTGGATGTTCGATCTGCTCCAAGACTTCCCCTCCCCCGACCAAGTTGAAGCTGGCGGCGCCAGCACCGAAGAGGGCAAGACAGCAGTCCAGCTTGCCAAGGCAGCCAAGCGCAAGCGTGAGGCACTTGAAGACGACGAGGAAGAGCGGAGGAAACACAACACGGGTGCTGGTGATCGGATTCAACAGTCCAAGATGGACGTTCATTTCGGTACCAAGGTCCGCAAGATCGTCGGCAGCGACGAGTCACAAGGGGAGTGGGTTGCCCTTGACAAGGAACGTACCCGTGTTCCGGGCGAGGACGACGACGCCTACGAGTACGACGATGCCTTTGCTGCCACCAACGAGACCACCTTGGCTCGTCTACGACGCGGGGATGGCGCTGCACCCGAGACTTCCACCCCACAGAAAGGATCACGGAAGGGAGCCGACAAGACACCAAAGAAGCAGCTGGATGGACCCAATGGCGTCTCGGCTCAGCCTGCACGCCGGTGGTGGCACACCTACAAGTACCGTGACATTCTCGGTATTGCGCCTCTCAACACCTTGTCGGGCGACGGTTCCGACGACCAGGGCCCCATGGGTAATCTGGAAGTCGCGGTTGTGGAACGTCCTATGTGGGATGTTGAGCTGCCTGGTCGTTATGTTAAGGACTACGAGTGAGGTAGAGATATATGGAAGGTTTCTGTATAAAAAAAAATTCTAGGATACATATCAGACATGTAATTTGGTCATTTGGAGCATTGAAAAGCGCATTCGCGAGTACAAGGGATCTGGAATTGATGATTTCCTAACGATTTACTCCGTATTGTCGGGTAGCTTGGCGGTGGTGACCACGATCTCTCCGAAACCAAACCGATGCGGGGGCCTCAAAGTAACTGGAACTCCCAGCTTCCAAGGTTTGACACTGAAACCATTCTTGTGCCTCCTTCCGAGACCTCCGTACACCACCAGCCTCTCTTCTGAAAGTTGAATATCGAGTCTCCAGCCTTATCGGCTTATCAACACGTCAGCTGCACCTGCGCATCACTTCAACCTTGAAGAGCTGCGTCTGGGTTCTTCTTCCTTACTTCTCTAACATCGCTACTCTGAACAGAGCCTCGGATCACAGACTCCGAGTTATTGAAAAGGAATCAAGACTAGGTCATCCCAAGTCGAAACAAAGGCGGGGAGCGACGACTCCATACCCAAGCAGACAGCCCAACACCCTGCCCCTTTTCAATAAACGGCCCGCATATCCCATTTAGATCCAAGTGCAAGCTATCTGCTTCGGACTTACTTCCCAGGACCTCAAACTTCATTCCAAACCAGAATACTCATCTGACCTCCTTCCCCGCCGATAACCGCGTACCCCGGCCACCATGGGCCTTTCATACAATGTCTACTTGACCGCCAACAAGATCTTTGGGTGCAAGGGGTGCAAGACTCATCTCGCAGACCATAATGATATCATCAGCCGGGTATGGAGTTCGAGTGTTTCCTTGATCGTATAGCTACAATGTTTACTGACCTATGTCATGATCTAGAACTTCCGGGGCCAACACGGCAAAGCATACCTCTTCAATAATGTTGTCAACGTCACACAAGGTGAAGCTGTTGAACGCAGCATGACAACTGGTCGACATATCGTGCGTGATATCGCCTGCCGACAATGCAAGGAAACGGTAGGATGGAAGTACGACAAGGCATACGAGAGCAGCGAGAAGTACAAGGAGGGCAAGTTTATTCTTGAAGAGGAGCTCCTCTGTGTCGTGTGCTAGACCTCGAAGTTGCCATGACATGGCTCTCGATGGGAGTCCTGGTCTCTGAGGCCATGGTTGAGGCCATGGTTGAAGCTGATGAGCGCTGATATTGGGTTACGGCTTTATTTCATTGACAGCGGGTTGCATTCTCCGAGCATTGATATTTGTTTCACACTGACTTCGCCATTCGTGGTGTGGTCTCGTGGTTTGTTTTTCTGCTTTGCTTTCTTGGCTCTAGCGATTGCCAACGGCGTTATGGGAATTTGCTTCTAGAATCCTGAATATGCCTAGTTCAGGGAACATGGTATTTGCTGGACATGACTCCGGTGCATATAAAGCGCTGTCTAGATAGGTCCACCAAAGTACTATTTTACACGGCTCATCGCTCTTCCGCGTAGCATCACCCTGCAGATCTATGACCTCGACATATCACATTCTGCACTGTATACTCAGCTTCATAACCTCTGATGAATAGCCTCATGTCTAGGTATCTACAGGAGATACTGGAACTAAATCAAAATACATGTCAACAGGGCCTCTATTGCTCTCCATATCCTTCTATTCGTAGCATCCTTTGGTACAACGGGTGGAGCCAGATGCGGTACCCCACCAAAATTCGCACAGATGGCCGAGATGGAGAAATGCAGGCACTAGAATTCAGTTTCAAGTCTTCGAATCTTGCTACCGGCTGATTGTTCAATCAATATTCCATAGAAGCAGGCTTTGTGTCTTCAATTTCCAAGTAAGTTTCTGCCGATTGAGCCCGATTTTTATAGACCCCTCAATTGACCGTAAGACTCAGAATGTCACCTCCCTCAGACCCTGGTATGATGCAGGCCGTCGTGTTCCACGGCCCTTACAAGGTCGCCGTGGAGCAGCGACCTATTCCCAAGGTGCAACACCCAGAGGATGTTGTGGTCAAGGTTGGATATACCGCACTCTGTGGAAGGTATGCAAGGCCCGATTGGATTCGAAGACCGTGCTGATTCCAATGTATAGTGAGCTGCATATGTTCCGTGGCGTGGAGCCTGCAGGAACTGGCTTCGTTATGGGCCACGAGTTTGTAGGAGAGATCGTGGAGACGGGCAGCGCTATCACGACTCTCCAAAAGGGGGACCGTGTGGTCACCGCATTCACCACTTCATGGTTGGTTGCTCCACCTTGTGATTGGGCCTACTTGGATACTGACAAGATACAGCGGGGAGTGCTTCTACTGCAAGCATGGATGGTCTTCTCGCTGCGACAAGAGCGGTCTCTTCGGATGTGACAACTTGGATGGCGGACAGGCCGAATATGTGATTTCTACCTCTAACCCTGAGTTGGAATGATATTAACATTTCAATAGGCCCGTATTCCCAATGCTGAAGGCTCTGTGCTGAAGGCCCCCGAGGGAGTGGACGAGAAGTACTTGGTGCTCATGGGTGACATCTTCCCCACTGGATGGTTTGCTGCCAACAACGCGTTCAAGAATTCCACCCCGGAACAGATTGCTGAGCAGACAGTCGTGCTGATTGGCTGTGGTCCTGTTGGCCTCTGTGCCCTGATCAATGCCCTCGAGTACAAGCCTAAGCACATCTTGGCTGTGGACTCCGTCCCCTCGCGTCTGGAGCTTGCCAAGTCACTCGGTGCTGAGCCCTGGAACTTCCAGCTGGATCGTGCCGGTTTGGACAAGCGAGTGCTGGAGTTGACTAACGGACGTGGTGCCGATGCAGTCATTGAGGTGGTTGGATTGAGCCCTGCCCTGCGCACTGGCTATGATCTTCTCCGTCCCTTTGGCACCCTCAGCAGTGTGGGCGTCCACAACGGAGAGGTAAGTTGACCCCCCTAGCTTGTCAGACTCGGTTGCTCATAAGACGCAGATTCCTTGGGATGGCAACGATGCCTACAACAAGAACCTGACCGTTCAAATGGGACGATGCCCTGTCCGCTCTGTCTCTGCTCGGGCACTCGAGGTGCTCAAGAAGAATCAGGATAAACTTGGGTGAGTGAAATATGGGTTACATCATCCGGCATAAACTGACCCTGGAATAGCTTCATGGCCGATAAGATTATGCCGCTGTCCCAGGCGGTGGAGGGCTACGAGCTCTTTAACGCCATGAAGGTGCAGAAGGTGATCTTCAAGGCGGATCAATAGATAGAGAAAGAAAAATCAGTAGCTAAAATAAGAGACAGTCGTAACTGCGAAGTTGCCCCCCAAAATGAAAAGCACATTGTGTCGGGTGGTCGTCTCCGCTTAATGCAAAACACCCACCCCGTCAACTCTTCACTCTTCACTCTCACTTCCCCCCCATCACCTTTTTCTCATCTCGCCTCCGATCTCCTTTCTCCTTTCTCCTTTCCCCTCTCTCCCCTCGTCCCCCTCCCTCTTTTTCTCTTTCCTGTCTCAACTCGTCATCCTTCCCCTCCATTTCTCCACTTCCATCTTCGGTAAGTCGCCTCTTCCACAAGTCTCTGTTTGCCGCTCTCTCTTCTCGAGCATTTGCGCATCCTGGCTCGAATCATGCGCAACTCATTCCCCTCTTGAATCGCACAACTGACCGTGCCGTTCTTTGGATGTGAAGTCTCTACCGCCCACGTCTCGCGACCGTACGGTCTCGAAGAAATCGCTCCCACCTTTCGCTTCTCTCTCGTCACTTTCCAACCATCTACTCTACCTATATCTCAGCAAAAATGGAGTCCACTGAAATCCATCAAACCGTCGTCAAGGACGAGCCCATGTCCGACGGCCTGAATGACAGCCTCGCCGAGGGCGAGCTGGAAGCCCCTCTTAAGACCGAGGAGGAATACTCCGTCTCCGAGTTGACTCTGCGTGCTATCGTGTCTTCCAAGGAGGCTGGTGTCATCATCGGCAAGGCCGGTAAGAATGTTGCCGATCTGCGCGACGAAACCGGTGTCAAGGCCGGCGTGAGCAAGGTGGTACCAGGCGTTCATGACCGCGTTCTGACAGTGACTGGTCAGCTGCGCTCACTTGCTCGCGCTTATGCGATCGTGGCCAGGGGTCTTTTGGAGGGTGCCCCGCAAATGGGCATGGGCGGTGTCGTCTCTAACAACGGAACCCACCGTAAGTGATGCCATCTCCCGCTTTTCCCGCGCCCGAAACATAGAAGAAAAAAATTGGGGCTTTTTTGCGTGCAGAGGAGCCCCAACACTCTTTGAAAGAAGCGCAAAAAGCTATATATATATACATACGAGAGTTTGCTAACCATATTCAGCCATCCGCCTTCTGATTTCCCACAACCAGATGGGCACCATCATTGGCCGACAGGGCTTGAAGATCAAGCACATTCAGGATGCCTCGGGTGTTCGAATGGTTGCGCAAAAGGAAATGCTCCCCCAGTCCACAGAGCGCATTGTGGAAGTCCAGGGTACACCCGAGGGCATCGAGAAGGCAGTGTGGGAAATCGGCAAGTGCCTGCTTGACGACTGGCAGCGTGGAACTGGCACCGTCCTATACAACCCCGCCGTTCGTGCGTCTCTCAGTGGCTCCCAGCCGATCACCAGCAACCCCGCCCCCGGAAACGGTTACCCAAGCAACAACAGCCGCCAGTACAACCGGACTGGCAACGGTGCCGATTTCAGTGATGGTGGCTATAACCGCCGGTCGAACTCCGACGCTGGGTCCCGCGGATACCCCCTTGTGACGGAAGATGGTGAAGAGATCCAGACCCAAAACATCAGCATCCCCGCAGACATGGTCGGCTGCATCATTGGCCGGGGCGGTACCAAAATCACAGAGATCCGCCGAAGCTCCGGGGCTCGGATCTCGATCGCCAAGGCCCCTCATGATGAGACTGGCGAGCGTATGTTCACCATCATGGGAAGTGCCCAGGCCAACGAGAAGGCCCTATACCTCCTCTACGAGAACCTTGAGGCCGAGAAGACCCGCCGCAGCCAGCTTCCCCAGGAGTAAATCGCTTCCTATCAGCATGGATGAGACGGTTCTAGCGGTGCTCCTTTGTGTTTGACCTCACGACTTCCTTGGAGACTGTCGGTCACGATCAACGGCGGTCCTTTGCTAGCGCTTATTTAACGCTCTTTTCCTCCCTTCTACATCTTCCTCCCGAGTGCTCTACATCTTTTCTTTCTTTCTCTCTCCGCCACTTATCTCTTCTGATGTCCTGGTCCCACGTCGCTCTTGTTCACAGGCAAAAGTTCACGATGAATGGATGGTACATGCGTATTAGATACCAAGTCTGGGTGGTCTTCACTGACCATCGTGCGTTTGAATTGAATCGCCCGAATGTCCCTCGATCCTACCTAACCCTCACCTCGTTACGTTAATCATGACACTCCTTCACCTCCATTACCTCCTCCGTTTACATCCTGCTGACTTTGCCGCGATGTACCTAATCGATCTACCCTCCTCTTCCATCTTTGCTCCTATCTTTCTCCCTCTCTGTCCTTTTCTCTTCACCTTGTACTCCGTCATTCGATGGTGTGCATTGATCCATGTTTTCCTCCCCATCTCTTACTCATTTGCTCCGTTCCTATCCCCTTTGCGCTTATCAAATCTTACCCTTTCTTTGCCTCTCATGTACCTTTGATCGAAACTTGAAACAATTGGAAAATCCCCCCAAAAAAACTTATCTCTTACACTCAGGGCTTTGTGGCCCACTTTGCTTGTCTCCAATTTATATCGATATACCTACCTAGCCAGATGTCCACATGTATATCAGAAATCCGCAAGTCAGGTTGCAAGGCTTCTCACGTGTATCAATTCTCTTTTTAACAGCTACCTATTTGGGATTCGACACAGCATGATCGTGAAACCTTGTGAGACATCTACAACCGCTAAGAGCCTTCTCGCATAGATGAAACAATTCTAAGCTTCCAGTTATCTTACAAACATGCCAGGCCGGTTTCCAATTACACGAATACTTACCTCGGTACCCTTGAAAAGATATACATAGTAGCTACCAAGGAACAGATTGGATAAACTCATTTCATTCCATTTCATCGTTATGTAAATGCTAATCTGTGAACTCAACAAAGGAGAAGACCAGCCCGCAGCTAGATACAAATATGGGCGAAGTGTATGCGACAAAAGAAGGGAAAGAGACTGACAATGGACAAAAAAAAAATAATAATCAAAGAAACAGAGAAAGCAAGGGTAAGATGCAGAAGACCACCCTATAAGCGTGTATGAACAGAAGACGCCACCAATGTTTTGTTTTACATGAACTGAAAAGAAGGGGAAAAGAAGAAAAACACAAAGGAACCAGGAAGTGCCTAGTAAGATATGTGTTTGGATAAAGAGGGATTTAATCTCATGCCTGGAAAGGCAGGGAATCCATCAGTGAGAGAAGAAGAGGTCTTTCAGGAACGAGAACGCCGAGTCGAAGATGAATCCGCAAGAACAGGGATGGATGCGAAGTCGCTGCGTTAAGTTGAGACATGGCCTGGTTTGGAGACCGGCAAAGGGCGGGCGTTAATCGATGCTATCGTCGAGGTTGATGTTGTTATTTGGGGTGGTTGGGGCACGGTTCCGCAGACCGAATCGCCGCGCGCCTAGACTGTTTGTTCGTAGCCTTTGTTGTTGGATTGGAGTGTAGCTTGTTGCTGTCTTGGTTGATGGGGCGGAGATTCTGGTCTGCGGGGACTCCAGGGGTGATCTGGGGTTTTCGTCGTTCTGGATGCTGTTGGAGGAGAAGCTGGGTGTTAGGCCGTAGCGACGCGAGCCGGCTTGGATGTTGGAGCGAGCCGTGGCGGGTGTGTAGGTGGCTGGACTCATGTAGCTGCGGCGGAAGGAGAGGTTGGAGGAGAGGGTTGGGGTCCGAGGTGTGGGCGTTTGGGCTGTTGGTTGGGGGACTTGGGAGGGCTGGTGTTGGTATTGTGGGGAACGGGGAGAAATGCCAATGCTGCCTTGGTCTGGCTGCGCGCCGGAAATCGAACGCGAGATAGCGCGATTGTGAGAGAGTCGTTGGCGCTGAGGGATTCCCGGTGTCGAGGATGGTACACCGATTTCGGTGTTGGCTCTGGAGACTGAGCGACTGTGGGGACTATCGGTCTCGCCGTTCTCCTCGCCCAGTGTCAGCCTGCGGCTGCGGAGAGAGGTCGAGGCGCGATTCAATCGAGTGCTCGGGGTGGGGATTCCGTGAGACTGAGTTGGGCTTTGCTTGATTTCCGCCAGGTTGCCGGGGCTGGTGTTGACTAGCGATGCGCGGCGCGCATCAAGACGGCTGGAGATGCGGGTCGTGCTGTGACGTCGCTGGAGTCCTTCGGGCTCCTGAGTCGTGTGTCGCTGATAGGACGGCACCGACATGCGCGGATTGGGCTCCGTGCCATTTGTCAACTGAGACTGTCCACCAGCGTCGCGGCTTGATGAGGGCCGGTGGTTCTTCAGTTGTTCATCTGTCAAAGCGAGGCAGAGCTCAGTCAGACTCCGACACACGCTGTCCGCTTTGCGGCGGGCGTGCCTGTCAGGTGAAGTATACCCTCCGTTGATGGCAGGCATACTGCCCAATTGGGTGGCATTGGCGCCCAACGCGGTGGTCAGAGTCAGAGCATCGGTGATTGTTGCTTCGAGAGAGGAATAAACCTCACCGCTCAGGACAAGCTTGGCCTTTGATAGCGCAGATTGCAAGATAGGTTGCACCTGGCTGTTATAGCTCGAATCTGTGTCTGCAGCTGAGACACTGGCTTTGCGATGGTACTTGGGGGAGGAGGATATGGTGGTCATGGCTGTGTTTGCCGTCCGCGGTCGTTCGTGGGAAGGATTGTACATTGCTGCCGACGATGACGGGGGCAATTTCCCTGTCAGTTCCAGCTTCTTAATGCGGTCCTTGAGATCATCCAGTTCGTCCCAGACAGTAGATGGCGCAGTGGTGGAGAGGGTCGACTCGGTCCCATCCGCCCGTGAGCGCTCTGTATCGGCTCGCGCTCGTTCAGTCACCTCCGACGTAGAGAGCTGCCGGTTGCCTCGGATTGTGGATATTCCGGAATGGCGGTGGCGCGATTCGTGCATAGAAGCGCGCCGCTCGTCGACCGATGGCGTCCGGGGGGAGGTCTCTGGACTCGTGCGGCTAAAGCGACTTCGGGGCACACCCACGGTGGATCGCGAGCCTGTCCCTAGGCTGCTATAGCGGAGGCGACCCGGGTCCTCCAGTGGGTGGGCGCTCGCCGGGGTGTGGGAGCTGTAGGGGGTGGTGGGAGCATCATATTGAGAAAGCAAGGGGTCGGGATTGCTGTGTCGCTGGTCGGGTGAGGGGGTTTGTTCTGTAGTCGGCGATCGCAGACTCTGCGTTGGATAGCCCAGGCGTGACTAGCTCCAGCGGTCAGTGACGGAGTCGCAAAGGAAGGGGGTTGCCGCGGTTGATGCCAGAACGATCAGGAATGCGATCGGGGCCCGCAGCAGAGATGTCGCTCACCCGTCTAAAATCTGAGCGACCTATGGAATCGCGACGGCCGGAATCAGCTCTGGCAATGTTTAGGAATACATCCTCGTTCTTGGGGCGGCTGTCGTCCATGGGGGACTTGTCGTCGGTGCCCAGTCGAGATAAATTTAGAGAGCGAGCATTTTCATTGAGGGATCTCGAATATGCTAAACTTGATGGCATGGTTTTCACATCGGGGCCAGGAAATCTCGCATGGAGGCTGGGGAGGTTGAAGCTCAGACAGCGCTTCACGGGTGTTTCAGTGGTGGGGCCATCGAAGCGAGTGACAAAGAGTGCAGTTGGGACTGAGCTGGTTGGGCTGCGAATTGGCACGGGAACCTGCAGTTTCATCTTTCCGGACGTTTCTGGGGGAGGACAGAGTATATTCACCCGGAGAGCTCTATTCAAGAGAACCTATGCTATCCGTACAGTAACTACGGAGCACATAGTCACCTAATGTTCTTGCTTTTGTCTAGGAAGTATACTATAAGCTTCCAAGGCTGGAGACTGTTACCTAGGTATATTGAGAGATAATGGATATGGCCATAGTCTAGTGTTGATGTACAATTATATATCCATGGATACTACTCCGTACCTAGGCACGGAGTAAGTAGATGGTAGACACATCTCAGGGCTGTGGATGTATGGAGTATGGAGGAGGCAGCAGGAAGCAATAGCCTTCAAAACAAAACAAACAAGAAACGAAAAAAATCTGTGGAATCGAAAACAAAACAAAAGCAAACCATGGATCCGTCCCCATAATGATTTAATTTGCGGTTTCAGCTATGTATGCAAACTCGGACTCCGCTATATGGAGTCGGAGAGATCGCGACACGCACTCTGCAGCCTCAAATGCTGCACATGGATTCATCCAAGCCCTAGATCCAGTTCTACTACGGAATATGGAGAACAATGCTGGGAATATACCTAGTACCACTGTGCTTACCGGCACTCCGGTACTCCATACTATACTATTGCTACCCGGCATTGCAAGGATCAGACTTGCCCGTCGCCTTTGAGACTAACGAGCTTGGTGTCACGTACTATATAGTTGGTGCATCAGCCCTCGAGTTGAGGCTGGAGCAAGGCGTCGCTAAATATCCACTTTGGAATTGACAGGAAATTGAGCAAGGGAAACAATAGCTCGCGAGAGCTCCATCCTCACCTGGACCTTTAATCTATCTGATCAGGCTTACACGCCGTCTTCCGTATAGGTCGCCTATCAGGCAATCGGAGCACGACCTCGGGAGAGGAAATCACCAAACACCTGTACTCGAGGCTAACTCCGACATTGCCACATGGCTTAGCGCAGCACTGACAATTTTCCAGTGAAGGTGGGCATCATCCACTTCAGAGCTGACACCGTACGTACTACGGAGTACTCCTAGGCAGACACCTGTTGCCAGACTCCGTACTCCGTACGTACTCGAGTACTGTAGACACCGAACAGATCTAGTTTCAGGCAGTGGATCAAGGGAGCTGGGGCTGTCAAGTTGCGACATGATCTATGGTGCCATGGCAATCGTTATGAGTCTACTCCGTACGGAGTACCTACTCTGACTATTGGCATGGGGACTCCATACTCCGCACAGTCTATGTATCAAGGATGCCAGGTTCTGTACTCCGTCGCCAATGACGAAGGATCAACGAGTCCGAAACAATGCACCTCCCCAATGATCGTCAGCCGTGTCCGTGTCATTTGTCTGTATATTTAGAAACAATTTGACACACGGAACTCACGATCTCCAAACGCCAGGGATAAGGGGTAATTTATCTGGAACTTTCTTGGAACAAACCTGAGATTGCTTTCGAGGAACGGCATGTGTGTGCAGTCCGAGGCTGGGGGATAGTCTGATTGGCTCAATTGGATCGGGAAAAACGCCGATCCTGCGCCTCTTCCAATATGTACATCGACTGGGAGTCTTGGCGTTGACAGTTTCAGAAGTACATGGGGATAATGTTGATAGTAGTATCTAGGTGGTATACTGTACTATAGTAGTAGTAGTAGTACTGTGTACTACTACTGAGAACCGAGGTAAGCAGATCGGAATCCCAGAAGTAGAATGTTGAAACAAGAGCAAGTGGCCCCCCCAATGCCAAGGGCCACTAGTCATCACTAGCGTGAGACTGGCGTGTTTCACCACTTCGCAGTTCCATCGAGGGGTTTCAGGATGCTTCTTGCTCCTCTCTGCTGGCGGGTGTGCCAATCACCGTCTGTTATCCATCCGGTTTGCTTCTCAAATATTGACCGAGCCCTACCAATCACCGACGACAGAAATGCCCACCGTTCATGTAATTCTTTCCGATACACACGCGTACCTGAACACTCCTATAAACCTGTCAAAATACTGCGTGGTGAGTGTCCCGCGAACCGTGCGGAAGACGTTCAAGTGTACGCACTGCAACTCCACCAGATCCCGTCTTGTCCAACCCGTGTATTTTCGTATCGGTAGGCTCTTCAATACACTAAGGTGGGTGAGGGCACACTCTCGAGCCTCTCACCAACCTGCGTTTGACGCCGCACATTCCAGGCTAAAATTAGAGCCCCCGGTGTGATTGGAGAGGGAAGAAATCAAAAAATACCGTAAGTTACCAGTGGAGTGGGAAGTGGGAATCGGAGATCTCGCAAGACACAAAACAACTAAAACAAAGGGTCCAGCGCTTTTCTTTCCCCTCGACTTGTCTTCCCTCTTCATATTCTTGTTCCCCGGAGGAACCGCTCTAGCCCATTCACTTTCCTTTGAGCACCCGCCTTGATCTGGTATGTTCTTGCATAATCATTTCCTTCGCGAGTCCTTGCGTCTCCCCTAGATTTACCTAGGTAGGCTAACGGCACCAGATCATTTGCGCAGGTAGCAAGTGCTTGGGTCCGAATGCCAGAGTCCCGACGACTTCCCTTACAATGCCAGTACAAACCAGTCCACCGTCCTTTCCGGACTCATTCCCTTCTTTCATGTCGGTCTTTGGGGGTCCACTGCCGTACAAAGAAGACCCCGTTCACCTTCAATATCCAACCCATGTCCCTGTCAACACACGACTGCACCCGTCTCCACATCGCGAGAGTGTCTCGTCCATGACCTCGGCCTCAACCGAGTCCTCCCCTACCACCACCATCTCGCCTTTTGATTCGCCCGGTGGGGGCGACATCTCCCCGAGCTCCTCCCCGGAGTCGCCCTCGGCCATGTCGGTCTCATATCCGAAGTTCATGCCGAACCGTCCGGAGCTCGCTTGCCCACCGGCCCCCGACTTGCGCCTGCCTCAGAACCCGCGACCCGACTCCCCCAATCGACGGGCGCGGAACCTCAAGAACCTCTCTTTGCGAATGCCGCCACCGTCGCAGTCCCGACCTCCCATCGCCACCGCGTCATTGCTTGAAACAGGCTCAAAACACAACTTCGATGGCGCAGCGTCGCCGATTGCGATCCCCCCCAAGACGTCGAAGCGACGTCCCGCCAACCTCACCATCCAAACCCCCACCTTCAACAAATCATTCGCCAATGATGGCGTCCCACCGACTCCGTCTCTGCGACACGCAGAGTCATCCCCGTCGCTGGCTTCGATCACCTCCCCATCGTTTGCGCCAAAGGGAGGGATGTCGCTCCCGCGCCCAATGTCACACCACGGCGTTCGCCGCCTATCGGGTATCTCCCAGGACTCATCGATGAACACATCTGACGACGCACCCGGCTTCTCTTGCCGCGTGCTTGACGGTCTCGCCGAAGAAGATGACCGTCTGGACTCTCGCGAATCGACCAAGAAGAAGGACCGTGGCTACCCCGACGGCCCCATTCGAATTCACGATGCTGGAGTATATCTCTACTTGGAACCAACAGCAGAGGAAGCGGCCAGGTTTGATGTAGTGATCAACGTCGCCAAGGAAGTCGCGAACCCGTTCAGTGCTACCAAGGAGGAGAAAAATGATACGGTGATGAGCACCTGGCGGAATGCCTCCATGGCCTCGAAACGCTTTTCCCGCGGCGAACCGCAGACTGCCATCTCAGAAATGTCCTTTAAGTCGGCGTGGGAGTTCCAGCCCTCGGATTCCGAGGCGGGCACCCCCACGGTGTCGAGCCCCACGGCCTCGGCGCCAGAGTACCTCCACGTGGGTTGGGACCACAATTCCGAGATTCTAGAAGACCTGCTTCCACTGTGTGAGCTCATCGATGATCGCATCGCCGACGGAAAAAAGGTATTGGTGCATTGTCAACTCGGTGCCAGCCGCTCGGCCTCCTTGGTCATCGCCTATGGCTTGTATAAGAACCGACATCTAGATTTCAACTCGATGTACGAGGCAGTCAAGGGTCGTAGCCAGTGGGTCGGCCCGAACATGAGCCTCATCTACCAGCTCACGGACTTCCGCTCCAAACTTCTCCGCGGATCCACCTCGAAACCTCCTCCCCAGGAATGGTTCGTGCAAACTGGTCGCCGATGCTCAGAGCCCCAGGTGCCCAGATCTGAGCGTCCCCCCACTCGTGAATCCAGCAAGCGCGGCCTCAACCAAGCACCTTCCATGAGCTGTCTGTCAATTCCGGAGCGAACTTCCATGCGCCCAACCACCAGCGACAGCAGTTACATCAAATTCAAATCTTATTCCCCCAAGCGCAGTCTCTCCCCGCGGCCCCTCCCCTTCCGACAAAAATTCCAATCCGTTGAACCGGCCTCCGGCCGTTCACGAGGCTTGCCTCGCAGCGCCAGCAGCTGCGACCCTCTTGTCCAATCCCAGGTCTTTGTTCGCGATACCCCTGATGCAGGTGGTATGTTCTCACCCCGGACCAATGAATTCTGCTTCCCAACACCATTGGCACCGCCGACATTCCACCGGATCGACCGCTCCGCGGCCCTCTCCCCGCCTCCCATCTCGCACTTTGGAGCCGAGCCGGCGGACCCTCGCTCGCCGCCATCTGGGGGAGAGCCCCTGATCATGAGGTCCATCGACGAATTCCTGTGACAGTCGCTCAACCCACACCTGAAATGATTCCACGACCCGACATATCTTTCATGTCTTCCTGATTTGAAGATCATATGCTTACTCCCGAGCCATTGGCAGGGCAGTCTTCTATTCTCTTAATTTCTTCCATTCATCATCCGATGAATAGCTTGATGATATTCATGACCAAAGCGGGCTTTGCTGTCGCTCATCGTTTTCCTCTGCATACACTGCATTTCTTTGACTCTTTTCAACACCCACAACCACATTTTGGCCCAACTATCCACATTGAGAATATGGCGCCGATGCTCTCGCTCCTGCGTGGCTGGGTTCTGTATTACTATCGAGGTTTTATCCTCTGCATTACTTGGCTTCGTCCAACGAACTCTCGCTTGTTTCCTATCTACTTTTTTGTTTCCTTGTTTTTTCCTATCTCCATCTTGTTCAGACAAGGCCTTTTCTGAGGCTTTCCTGTGTGTTCATTCTGCATTCGTTATTTTGGCTGCACGTCGACGGACTGGCATGCCTGACTTATGGGTGGAAGAGGCATGATAATACCCCCTTTGCGCACTCTCACAATAGAGATTATTTTATTACATACTTTTACTTCCAACCTGTATCAACGTGTACCAATTAGTCTCGATGAAATCGTAGCTCAATTCAGCATCGTGGCATACCCACCACAAACCCCATATCCCGACGTCCTCCACCCGCGATAGCGCTTATCATGGAATTTCGCCCGCAACAAAAAAAAAAAAAAACACCAACCCAGGTTTTCCCCCCACCAAGCACCAAGCACCAAGCACACAGAACCCAGTAATTGAAACCACCTACCTCCAATGGCAGACTCCCAACCAGCCTACCTCTCGCCCAGCGAACTAGGCACAAAAGACTAGTAAGTCACCCAAACCACCCCGCACCTACCCCTCCTAACAACCCCCAAGCTGGGAAACATACTACGCGCGCACACTTGCACACATTTCCCACGACAAGCCCGCGGAAACCAACGACTCCGACTCAGACATCAACGACGAAGACGATCCCGGCACATCATGGTTCTCAGAGCATAATGCCCCGCAGAAAGTATTGCGGTTCCTCACGCGCGGCGAGGCCCCGATCTCGCGCCGTGCAAGACATTCTGCTTCTGTGCTTGATTTGGGGACTGGGAATGGGAGTATGCTGGCGCTTTTGAGGAAGAGGGGATTGTTTAAGGGGAGGCTTGTTGGGGTGGATTATTCGAGGCAGAGTGTTGAGTTGGCGAGGGAGTTGCAGAGGAATAAAGGGCATTCGGCTTATCATAGTGATTCTGAAGATGAGGATGAGGATGATGAAGAGGAGGAGGGGGGGGAAGGGGAGAGTCAGGCTGAAGAAGGAGAAGAAGCTCCTATCCGGTTTGAGGAGTGGGATATTCTTGGATCGAATGCTGGACTTTCGGAGACGGGACTGCCGAATGCGACGCCTGATGAGTCTTTGGATTGGTTCCCTTACCAGGATGGTGGGTTTGATGTTGTGCTTGATAAGGGGACTTTCGATGCGGTTTCACTGGCGGATGATGCGAAGACGAGTCGTGTCTGTGAGCGGTATCCTGATATTGCACGGCGGCTGGTCAAGCGCGGTGGGTTCTTGATTGTTACTACATGCAATTGGACCGATGAGGAGCTGGTGCATTGGTTCACGGGGGGTCAGACCAGTGGGGATCGATTGACGGTTTGGGGTCGAGTTGAGTATCCAGTGTTCCGGTTCGGTGGACATGAAGGACAGGGTGTCTGCACGGTGTGTTTCCAGCGTGTTGGAGATGCATGATTCAGATTGTATATAAAAATGTCTATGTCTATTTTCTTTTCCAGGCATTGGGGGAATAACCCCCATGGATTCTATGTTCGTGTCATATACAGGATATCATAAATGCAAATCATAACCGTTACTCTCCCTTTCTCTTCAGCACAGCAATGACACACCATCTCTTCTGGTTCTCGACTCCTTCTCCCTCTCGGACTGGAACCCAGTCCCGGCGAATCTCTCCTCCATCTTCGAGTCTCTCAACGAGATCTCTCTCGAAGATCCTCTCGACGATGAAGCCGTTCTCCAGAGCCGTCTCGAAGAACCCGGCTACAATGGTTCGACCCGTGTGGAATCCCGCAACCACCCACACTTTCCCACCGGGTGAAAGGAACCACTGCATCGTGCGCGCGAGATTCTCATGCTGAGATCGCATCCAGAAACAATCCGCCGCGACAATCCGGGAAAAGGCACCCTTGTTCTGCGTCGAGAACGAATCATCCAACACACCCCATTCATGCGGATGCATCGAGACAGATCCCTGAACAGTCTTCGGCAGATTATGGTCAATGTTATGAGTAATTGCCCCCGTAAGCGCAGGCGAGGACGGATGATCCGTCGCAGCAACATTTGACGCCTTAGCCAAAGCACAAATGACAGACGGTAGAGCGGCGCCTAAACAAGATCAGTCAATATCCCCCAAACTTTGAAACCATCATAGAATAGTCCAGGGGTAAGAAACCCACCAGCACCCAGCTCTAGTACACTTTCCCCCTCGACGGCCCAGATCTCCTTGGCCTCCGAGCCCTCCGAGCCCGGCTCATCGGCCATCTCAACCCCCTCCGCCACGACCATTGCCGCGCTCCACAGGAAATGCGCAAAGAGCTTCCGCCCCGCATCGACCTGGTTCACGGACCCATCGGCCTTGGGTTGCCCGGCCCCGATCTCATCATTGCGATTGCCCGAGCTCGGATAGCTGGGCACCATGATGTCTAGGTCTCCATAGCGGGGCGAGCTGTAGAGGAGATGCTGGCCCGGGTCACCGTGGAAGGAGGGCGCGTCGTCGGGAAAGAGATGGGGGAGGAACGTGCCGAAGAGATCTTCTGGGGATTCGTCGGCGATGTCTTCGTTCTCGAAATCCGGTGTTGGGGCGCTCGGGGCGCTTGGGACCGCATTGCGGCGGGGGAGGGGTCGGAGGCGGGAATGGAGCATGTTTGTTTTTTTTTTTTCTCCCCTCTCTCCTTTTTTTCTTCTTTTCCCTGGGGGTTGATAATGGACAAATTGTCCCACGAGTAGTCAATTATTTCCAATGGAGTGTAATGATGACCTCGGGACCTTTCAAGGTTACGATGTCCACGGGTACGGCGCGAGAAATTCTAATGTTTGCAGTGTTTGTTGATCTCGGGTAGATTAAGTAAACCCCAGGTCTGTTTTTCAGCCCTGGAGGTCCGACCACGTCATCGGTTTTTGAATTTCAAAAAAAAAGGAAAAGGAAACAATCTGGAACGGAACAGACCTAATAGATGAAACACCTGTGAATTCCAGTACCTGATCTGCTCGGTTCAAGTAGTAGATCGTGCTCCAGCCTAAGCAGGTCCACGTCGCAGTAGGCCCAAGGCCATGTCAGCCGCAGCAAGAATGGCGGGCCAGGAACGCCCAAAACCAGTAAGATCAGGGGACCAAGCGACCCAAAGATTCCGAGCCCTGGAGAGCTGGAATGTTGACTCAGCCACAATTCCCTTGTCCCATATTCCCCGCGGCCGTGAAGAGTGCACCACTCCAGGGCGTCTGTCCGGAGTACTCGGGTAGACTATACCTTCACCTGAAGAGTGAGAATTGGCAAATGATCCTTGATCACGATATGTTTCTTAGTCACCCCCATCACCTGATAAGAGAATGACATCATCAGACCCACTGCAGTCCGACTAGACCGTTCGATGCGATGCAAGTGACACTTTGTACCGTCGAAGTACCCAGTCCGGTTATTTGGCCCGTCTCCTGGCGCTGATACACACTCGTCATGGTGGAGTGACTTCCTGGGTACTTCCGCCATATCTTGTGACCCTGTTCCGATCGACAGGCAACTGTCTCTTTTCTTACAATGTTGGATATTTGGGATATTTTGAATATTTTGGGCTCTATTTTTGCCCTCTTTGTCTTTTTTATTTCTTTCTATAGTAACATTGTGTGAAGACAAAATTGATGCCAAAGTTGGCATTGATTGGACCCATGGACACAGCCCTGTTTTAACCAGTCCTTTGTGTTCGTGCGGAACACCATTCCACCTTTTTTTTTTTTTTTTGTGTCCAAAGCCCACAGCTCAAATATTCGCAATTCAGATAACCTTGGAAGTCGTATGTCGCGACTTCGGACTAGCGAGTGGATCCACTGATATCGCGATACACGAGAGCCCATACTGTACTCTGTACTCCGTAGACCAGATGCTATACCAGACCTAAGTAAGACTAGAGTAGATACTGGGAAGATAGAGAGAACATTATAGAACCAATTAATAAAAAAAAATACCCAAGGTGTGACCGGTGATCCTCCCCCCGCATGCTCAAAGGGAAAGGCCCCCGCAAACCTGAGTGATTTTGGCTAGGGCCCTGACTCTTTCTCCTTCTTTCTCCTCTTTTTCCCCCTACCTTTCTTTCTTTTTCCTAAACTTTTTTTTTTTTTGGACTCTCGATCTCTCTCGCTACTTCTCGCTCTCATTGCTGGATCTTCTACATTCTCATTCCCTCTCACCCCGTCCGCATAATTACCTGAATTGAGGAGCGGGCTTGGAATTGACCACTCATCCCACCATGGCCTCGTTCCGAGTACGTGTTCAACTGCACTTCTCATCCCATGTGATGCCCGGGCTAATCTGACGGCCTCTGGCCTTCCACAGGAATTGTCCATGTCGCGTCCCCTTAATCCCAACCAGCGACACGCGCACTCCATCTCGCTGGGAGCCTCCAATTCCAACCACCGGGTCACTCGCCGCAAGAGTGTAACCACAACTGCCGCCCATGCGGCGGCCGCCGTGGCCGCCTCGATGGAAGGCGGAGAATCCACCTCGCTCCCCATGGGTGCGCACCGTCGGAGCCTAGGAGGCCGCAAGGGACTGGAATCTGGCTCCGTGGGAAGCCCCTCGGGCTTCAGCTCATACCTGTCTCGCAGCATCAACAGCCCGAGCCAGGAATCTCCGGCTCGCAAGGGTTCCCCTGGCTCGGACCACTCCGATGACAAAGTCAAGAACCGGAATCGCCGTGCTAGCGAGGGTGCCCAGCTCAAGGCTGATGGAAAGCGGGCCGCGGCAGCGATCCGCTGTGATCGCTGCGGGAAAGGATATAAGCATGGCAGCTGCTTGTCAAAGCATATGTGTGTATCCCCCCTTCCGCCCGGCCGTCTCCCTCTCGCTCGATCGGGGATATGCACCATGTCGGCTCTGCAGGTCGCCTTCGTGGTCCACTCCCCCTTCGTCCTTGTCCCCCTTTCTTATACCCGTGATCGGAGCCCTTGATTGACGTTCTTCTTTTTTTTCGTGGTACAGGTGGGAACACGACCCAGCATGGGCCGTGACTTCGAAACTTCTCATCTCTAAGCACCAGCAAGTGCAACTGTTGGAAGCCGCCTCCGTTCTGGTCACGATGAACCACGACGATCCCCCCGACGAGTCCGCCGAGTTGGAGTCGGAATTGTCCTCCGGATCCCCCGACGCCCGGTCAGAATTGCGAGACGGTCTGAGCTCCGCTGAAACGACACCACCCCCGATGGACGAGGAAGACGACTTTGAGATGTCGGGCATGCCGGCACAATGGGCCAAGCGGCCCAGCGTCAGCAACGCCTCCGGCTTCTCTCGGTCATACCAGTCGATCCCCTCCAGCTCGTACAACGATAGCGCCCCGCTCCACTCACCCACCTTCTCGCACTTCCGCAACTCCAGCATCGATACCCGACCCTCGACCGCGGATGCCCGGTTACACGAGGACGACGAGGCGGATCTGGCCGCGGCCATCGGTCTCTGCAACTTCGGCACTCCCCGCACCGGTCCCGTGTCCATGACTCCCGACGTGCCTCCCGTGCCCCCACTGCCCGCGCGCTATCTCGACTCGAGCAGCCACCAGGACACCCAGAGCCCCTACTCGGCTCAATCACGCCCCACCGTTGAGGCTGCTCGCCGAGATTCCGAGGCCAACATCTTCTTGTCCCGATCGCTCAACCCGTCGCTTTCCTACAAGGTCTCGGATGAGCGTGAGGTTCGAACAGGTGGCAATGAGGCCCAGGAATCTCGACAACGCCGCAATGCCGATGTGGACTTTGGCAACCGCTCGGCGCCAGCAGATGACGACGACGACGGTGTCTTTGGCCGCATGGAAGAGTAATTCTCCCATGCATGACACACCCTTTTTTTTTTCTTTTTCTTTTGCCTCTACCTCCGAACCAGTCCCTGGGTCACTGCGGCCTTTGCCGAACGACCCCCCTTTGACGATCCCATGTACGAGCCTGAGCGAATTTTTGAATCTTCTTGTTTACATGTTCACGGCAACCCCCAACGGATAGAGTGACTACTCTATCTCCGGGTGTGTCCTTTACTTCTCGGGACCTTTTGTCACCTTCGAGATCCCATGTATCATGTCTCCTTGGCCCGCTTAGTGTTTATTTCTTTTCTGCTCTGTTGTTTTCCATGAAACCCCCATAAATGGCCTACTTTGTATGGCCGGCGCATATCCATCATTCCATCGGACTCGTCCATGGCTCTCGTTTGTTCTGCTCTGCTTTCTGTTCGCGCATATATACCAAACCCACAAATTCCCCATGTGTATCTCGTCCATTCTTTTTTCCCTCTCCTTTTCTCCTCTCCCACCTACGGTCTCTCTGTACTTGACCCTCGGACGGGGCATACAATGAATATATCTTATGAACACATCTCTTCTCAGACCTGATAGAACTTCATATTTGTAATCTCTGAAACCAAAGGCGACCTGCGCATCCACCTGCCCAGGTGGGCATGGATGTCTTTTCCATTTCTCGGCACTCCACAGCTCCAGATCAGCGAAATTTGCTCCACATCATTTCGTACATTTTGTATATTGCATGCGGGGGAGGGTCCACTCGAAGATCCATTTCGGTCTCCATACATTTCGTCACGGTGGCATGAGGTATTCGGAAATCGAAAACCGATTCCAGAGCATTGTCGGATGTTGGGAGTCGACCTACTTTCTACCTAGTAAGCCTATCTTTCCTATCTTCCTACGTGCTTGGGCATGGATGTTCATTTTAGACATCCCAATCTTGGAATGGATGAGTTATCTCGAGATCGTACACAAAAGCTCAAAGAATGCTCCCCTGAGCATAATAATTCCAAGGTTTTGAATAGGCAGTCTACTGAGATGAGCTCAATGCCTTATACCCCGAGAAAGGAGACTCTCTGTAGCGTTCGAAATGGGTCATGATACCAGGATGCCCCTAGGGTCTCTTGATCAGCACACCTTTGATTGTCCCGAGGTCAATGGCACCACTTCCTGATCTAGCTTCAAAAGCTTTCATGATTCCTGCAACATTCGCCTCTCTGGGTTGTCTCCCGGTTGCTTCTTGGAGAAACACACTGACCCTGAAAACTGCTGTCTGGTCGACAGCATGGACTGCCCAGATGGACTTGACGACACCTTGCACGACACCATCGAGATTGCAATTCATTCACAATTTCACCAAGCATTCTGAAGCACGAGGATCTTGAACTTGACACAGAAATCCCAATGCTTTGAAATCATGAGTTGAGAACCCCAGAGCAGAACCCGACGGAAGTGGGCGGCCGGTGGGATACCGTCCAACTGTGCCGTCATTGCCACAGCCGTATTCCACACTTCGCAAATCTTCCAAATGCGATCAACTGCAGATGCCAGTCCCTTGAATGCCTTCGAATGTTCTTTTACCGGTTGCAATGCCAGCTACCAACGTAAAGAGCATCTGCGTCGCCACCAGCTAAAGCATTCCCAGCACCAGGCCTTCCCGTGCTCCAATTGCGACCGCGAGTTCGCGCGCAGGTACAATACGTCCAACCTCGAATTTCTTGACCCTTCTCTAACTTGACAAGTGATACGCTCCGGCGCCATGTCTGGCAACATCACAAGATAAAGGAGCCCTCTGTGCGGGCTCGACAAGCATGTCAAGGCTGTCGGGCAACTAAAGCGCGCTGTCAAGGGGGCTTACCATGCACCGAATGCAGTCGCCGCAGTATTAAATGTGTTTTCAAAGATCAAAACGAAGAAAACGAACCAAATGAAGAGGCTTGTGCACCACCGGGCCCGGAACTGCTCTCTGAAAAGAGAGACCATTATATCCAGCTTTTCTTCGACAATTGTCATTCCAGATGGCCATTCATCCACAAAGGAACTTTCGATGTCCGTCACGAAACTCCCCTTCTCGTGCAGTCGATGGTAGTTCTTGGAATGTGGACTAGTGGCGAAGAGACGGCGCGAAAAGCCGCAGTGGATATTCATAATAATCTCGACGCGGCAATTCGCCAACAAAAGGTTCTATCATATCTTCCTCCTTTCATGCATTCCCAACTAACAGAAGTAGGATAAATGGGACGCATCAGAAGCAGAAGAGGCTTGCAGTGACTGTCATTGGCCAATACCAACTTACCAAGCCATCCTGCTGCATATCATATTCTCAATCCTGCATACGAATGGTGGTTCTCTCGATATGGACCTGCGATTTACTGCCCCATCCTCGAAATTCAAGATGCTGTTGAGTCTTGTACGAAGTTGTCAGAGGCTAGGTATGTTCTATTATCCAAATATGCTCTCGCGATATCGAGGAGTGAATGTTTCCGAGTTTATCTGGGTTAGCATTGAGGAGATCAAACGTTTCAATCTTGCCTTGTTCAAGGTTTGTGGGAAATTGACTGCTACTGGTGCTGGAGAGGGCGGGGAGGGCATTGATGCTGGATCTCTGTTCCCTGCTGAGGAGTTGCAGTTCCCCATGCCGACTAATTGCTTCTTATGGCATGCTGTTACTGAAGATCAGTGGACATCGAATGTGGAAGGGATCTTGGTCGATCTAGATGACTGGTCACAGGATACCTGGATCTCAAATAGCGCTGGTTTATTGAAATTTCTGTTTGGGTGTTGAAGTGTCTACTGTTAGCATTCGTATAATATACCAATTAGCCTGCGTTGTTCCAAGGCTGATATGTACCTAGTACACAACTTCTATAGGTAGTTCTATAAAAATGTACCCTTCAGTGAAAACTTGGATTTCACTCTCCAGGGCCGAATTTTTACATCGACATACCCCGGCAATAGGAACGTGTATGGGTGGTCATTTCATTGGCTACGGACAATCGAAGAATTGATGTTTCAGAACACACTTGCAACCTTGAAGGCAGACTCAATAAGGCCAAAGCAACTGGAGGGTATATACTAGCAACCGTCGAACTTCCGGGGTTAACAACCGCCGCCGCCACCACCGCAGCCTCCTCCTCCACCACCACCTCCGCAACCACCGCCGCCGCCGCCTATTTAATCAAATTAGTATGCAGCTGATGTGAAACCATCATCAAGACTTACCACATCCACCGCCTCCTCCGCTACAACCACCTGAACCACCTGTAACGAACACATTAGCATAGAAAACCAAAAATAAGACTGCCGAAGTAACATACCACACCCTCCACTGCCACCACATCCTGCTCCGCAGCTCCCTGCAGCTGCACTACCGCCTTTTGAAAAGTCAAAACCCAATCAATGATTCTAGAAACTCGGAGGAAGAACTTACTGCATGTGCCGGCGCAACAATTTCCAGCGGCCCCCACAGTAATATTCATGCAACTGGGGTTACACGCGTACATATCGGAGTTGATGCAAGGGTCCGCCATGTAAGGAGCATAGTAAGGGACCATAATCGGGAATCCATAAGCATACGGCATATAATACGGATCAGCAACAGGAGCTCGATCACTCGACTTTGATCCCGAGCGAGCACGACCACGCTTCTCGGCACGCCGGGCAGCCTTCTGATGATTGCTTTGTAGGCGCAGGAACTGGAGCGTTTGGGCGCGCGTTTTCGGGGCGTACAGGCTCGCTGGCCGGACGGCATTGTGGGCTGATATGTGAGGGTTTTTGTTTGGGTCGGACGAGATATCTGGTCGGCTGTGTAACTGGTCTGCGGCATCGCGGGCTCGAGATACTGAGCCGACGGCGATTAGGCGGTCGTACAGGTCTGGGGCTCGGGTTGCTTCGCAGTACCAGCAGGTGCATTCGCTGTAGATGCCTCCGTTTGTGGCTCGGCGGTACATCTTGCTTGTCCAGGCGAAGCCGTCTGATAGTTTTTCTTCGTCGACTTTGTCGTCGTGGTCGATGAACATTGTTATGGTGTTGGCTTTTGAATTGGTCCCGCTGGTGCTGTAGTTGTAGTATCGGGGTGGGCTGAGTTGGTGGGTGTGCCAGGCTAGGTCGACGTCTAGGGTGGGCACGGCCATGCTGTTTGGGTTGTCCAGCATGATTTGGAAGAAAACTTCGTACTTTTTGATGATTCGGTCCATGGTCTCGAAGACTGCGGGTGAATGTAGCCAATCGATTTGATCCATCTTCTCCACGAAGCTCCCTTGTCGGACCACTGCACCCACGAGATCCAATGCGAATGGATCCAAATTGTCCCAGTACCGCGACATCATTCGTCGGAAGTGGACCTTCTCTATTGGCTTGAGGAACCTTCTGTTTGCACCTCCATTGGCACTGAATATTATGGCTCGATCGCTGAGCTTGGTCTCGAGTCTCTCCCGGAGTTGAAGCATATCGCGGCACCACTCCACTCGTCCATCCGTAAAGCTCATTAAATCAGCCCCAGCCGCTTTGACGAGGCGAGTTGGGAACATCATGGCTAGGAATCTCGGATTATTGTATCCCGCCGTGGTGCCTTCTGGAATTCCATACAGATTGGTGAATGAGCCAGGCATTGGCAGGTTTTGGTGCAGAGTGGCTTGGAGGTCCTTTCGGAACTTGGCCACCTTGAGTCGGCCATGATCGATGATGTGTTGGCAGCCCTTGCATTGCACCTCAAAGTTGTTGTCAGCATAGCCGTCGCCAAATCTGAATGCATTGTCGACAGACTCGCCAAAGCGAGCTTCTGTCCACGGCACAGCGTTGACCTTTTTGCAGTATGGACATTGTACGTCCTTAGCAGGTGGATCGTCCAGGTTATTCCATCTGAACTTAAGTTTGCCTTCGAAGAGTTGCTGTGCTTCCTCGGAGACCGTGTATTCCATTGTTTGATTGTTGATGCAGCTGTCAATCACTTTCCATGGGAACCCGGTTCTCCAGGTGCTCATTTTGCCATATCGTATACAATCCTCAAGGAAGCATCGCGGGTTCAACGAGTGAGAGTGCCAAACCATCAGAATATCTGTAGGACATTAGGATCACCGATCAAGGTATAGTAGGCAGAGGACTTACCTAGAGGGGGTAGATTCTCTTGGCTCCAAGCGACTAGAGTATCACATCTCACAATATCTCCGTATTCAGCAGATTCCAAATCCGCAATTGTTGCCATTTGTCGTGACCGTGGAAGACCAACCGACCACCAGGTAGTGTATCGATGAACAGCGCGTGCCACGTACACAGCCCAGCGCTTCTCGCGAATACGAGCTCGTGCTTCATTCAGCGAATCGGGGAATCTTTCTGCCTCTGAATCAAAGATCCCAAAGAGACCATCTTCACCCGAGATGGAATCCCGCAGATCCGCAAGCACGGCTAGAAATTTGAGGTGGGCGACGCACTGGTCGCGAGTGACAGTAGCGCTGGAAGAAGGGATAGAGCCCAGGTTCAGCTTGAGCTCTAGCGGTGGCTGCTCGGCCTGTTCGGCCGAATATGATGGTGGTCGCTCATCAGAAGCTTGACTTTGGGGTCGCTGCGTCTCTTTGGACTCTGCCTTATCTGTTAAGATGGCCATCTTGAGGGTTCCGGGGAGTTTGAAAAGGATGCTCTGAGGGGGGAGTGATCGTTTATGAACCCCAGGAACTGTCAGACTGGCAAAGTCCGCGAGGTCCAATCAAATATGTAGTTGTGTTAGTGACAAGTCTGACCATTCAGCACTCGGATTGCTGAATAGCCCCGGCGCCCCGGTGGAGGGTCGGATCTGAACCCAAAATTGCTAAGCCTCGGAGTACAAATGCTGCTGATCCTACGGTTCGCTTCTCTGAATGTGATTTGGCCCGTGTCTCATTGGCTGTGATATAGTGCAGGGCGAAGCCGGGCGCGGCTGCACTGCCTGGGCGTCTCTCGTTTGGCCCCAATGCCCTCCGGCCCCCAATGATCGACGGACTAATGATCTCATCTTGAGCCTTATACTGGTGTCATAATTCTTGACTGATGGGTTATACGAGATCATTGCATAAACGAAGTCTGCCTGGGGCTTTCCGTCCGGGTATTTTGTCAAAGAATGACTACATCGATGAATGTAGTTAAGAGTCTTGAAGCCCTGAAGGATCCAAGCCCTGTAGGTCGGCAACCTGCATACCCGCAGACAGTGCCCCATATGATAAGCAACCCTCCAGAAGCAGGGGCTATGCCTCTACCCTCCGAAATATCATACTAGTATTCCGTGCTCTAGAAAAGCAAACACATGTACTAGTACTCCGTACGAAGTATAGATGACATGCCCTGGCTACTAGAGAGGTCACGTGCCAAGTATGACATAGTGCACGTGAGGGGCATCATGTGACCCGGGAAATCGTTTGCTCACCGGCCCATGGGCAAAAGTTGAAATCGATTTTTGTAGAAAAGTGGAAAACGAGAACAAAAGCAAGAACCGGAGACTAAGCACGTGTATTTTATCCGTGTGCGCCCAATACGAACCCTTCTCACTGAGGTCGACAAGTGCGATCACACGTCATTCAGCCTGGCTTCTCTCGGACGATCGAGCGGCATCGGAGAGGGCCAGGCCCAAGCTCTGGAACCGATTGTGAATTTCGATAATGCTTCTGCTGGCACCAGTCCCGTAATGGCGGGACTCAATCAGGTGCCCATGTCACTTGCCGACGGCGTGCATGGGCGCAAACGAAATGTGACGATGGCGGGGATCGACAGTTCGCCCGGCAGTATTGAAGACATGGACGACCACGAGGCGCGCGAGGAGAAGAGACGCCAACCTGTGAAGCGCGCTTGTAATGAGTGCCGACAGCAAAAGGTAGGTCACAGCGCCGTATGATCCGGATTGCACGAGTTTGGGCTAATCTTTTTGGGAAATGCGATAGCTTCGATGCGACGTCATTCAAGACCCTTGGTCCGATTGCTCGCGATGTCGTCGACTCAAGCTCGACTGTAAAATCGAATCGAACTTCAAACGGGTGGGGAAGCGCAGTCGTAATGCGGAGATGGAGAGAGAAATATTGGAGCTCAGGAAGCAAATCGCTACCGGGCAGCCTGTCCCCGGGATGTCCCAACAGCAGCAGCAGCAGATCACCGCGGGGCAATTGACGCCCAAGCAAGATTCGAATCAAGTCAGTCCCGCGGTGTATCAAACCCCATCGGCCATGTCCGCGGACCAGTATATGGGCTCGCAAGAAGCTGTTGCGTCCCTGTTGGACTTGCGCTCAGGCTTCGACGGTTCTAATTTCATGCGTAACGGGGGACAAATCAAGCGCATTGAGGACGTCATGGTTGTTCCTGAGAAAGTTGGGGAACTGTTCAATCTGTGAGTGCTTAATCGCCTGCGCAAGCCGTGCCCCGCCTAACATTTTATCCAGCTTCTTCACATACTACCACCCTTTCCTCCCATTTTTGGATCCGAAGCAATCGCCAGAGGAATATTACAATGCTTCCTCCCTCCTATTTTGGACAATCGTCAGTGTTGGCGCACGGCGCTACCAGGGCGATTCCAATCTATTGACTTCCCTTGCTGGTCCTGTCAGTCGACTGGTATGGAGCACATTGGCAGACATCCCTCAAAGCTACCACGTTGTAAAGGCTCTTGCTCTAATGTGCTCCTGGCCATTCCCGACAAGCAGCACCTCCACGGACCCAACATTCATGCTATGCGGCATGATGGTCCAGGTTGCCATGCAGCTAGGTCTTCACCGGCCTTCTCACACCCAAGACTTCAGCAAGTTCCGGGTGGAATTGATCGAAGAGGAGTTGCGGGATAAAGTGCGAACCTGGGCCATCTGCAACATTGTTGCTCAAAGGTATGTCAATTCCCGTCTATTCACCGAATTTTTTCTCAACCTTTGTCGCAGGGTATCCACTGGATATGGGCAGCCTTCGTCCACATTGTACGACTGGACGCTTTCCTCGAGTGACTCGCTTGACCCGAACTTCAAGCTTCCAGGAGATCTCAGGACAAGGTTAGAGATTGAGAAGTTCTGCGACCGGATCACCAGGGCACTTTACACAAATCGGCGTGATCCAGTTGGTCTCACCAGTGACCATGAACGGTCTACAATGATTTCCTTCTTGTCGCGGGACTTCGACGAGTTAGAGGAAACCTTGAAACCTCAGAGTGACAGTGAGTCTTTGAGTCCCAACATCACGCCATAAACCGGAACTAACGAGCCAGGTATCACTGATCTGTTCTTACGTGCCGCCAACCTTCACTTACATCTTTCGGCATTCTTTGATGAGCCAACTGCAAAGAACTATCGCGAGCGCGTGTTGTCTCTATATGTTGCGACGACATCATTCCTCGAGAATGTCCTTAACCTCGAGACCGAAGTTGGACCAGTCCTCTCTTACACCCCTTACTACATCTACCAGATGATGGTCGCCGCTGGTTGCACCCTTCTGAAGCTATGCAAGAGCTTTTTCTCCTCTCACATCGACATGGATTACACCAAACATCTGTCCAACCGAACAATATGGGCCATTCGCAGTGTCTCGGCTTCCAGCAATGATCTACCCGAGCGTCTAGCAGAAGTGTTGGCCCAGATGTGGAGACTAGGCGGAGCAACTCATCGATCCAACAATAGCACTGATGTCGATGATTCCCTCCGCCTCAAAGTGCGCTGCCGAATGAGCATGTCTTTGCTTTTCGACTCGGTGTGGCGATGGAGGGAAGATGCGCGGACCAAGGGTCGTAACATTGAAGGTAAATTATTTCCCGCAGTGTCTTGGCTTGTCCAGTGTCTAACACCATTCCTAGCATATTTGAAAAACCCGACCAATCCAGACTCCGCGGCGGATTCCTCAGCCACCTCGTCCGTCGGCCCTATGCAAACAGCGACAACTACACCTGGTATCTCGGGCAACGATCCCAGTCTTGCCCCAGCACCCCTACTATCGCAGGCTAGTCTTGGGGTTCAACCGCCTTCTACTTCGGTCAGTGGACTTCCTAGCGGTTTCATGGAGCCTAATTACGAGGTCTTTGATCCGTTGAACTGGTTGCTCGACGGCTTGGTAGATCTGCCATATTCATACTCCACCGTGGGTGGAATGGAACCTCAAGGCATCGCATAGGTTGACATCGGCCTGCTTCTTTTTGGCGTTTTTCAGGCGTGGATTGCGTGCTTGTATCATTATACCATACTCGATCATCGATACCTCCCTCGGAGTTGTTTTCCGTCTTTGTTTTGATCTGTCAAATATCTCACATGAGTCTTATAAGTTTCCTCTTGTCTCAAGCCCATCTGTTGTGTGCTTGTTTGATCAACAACCCCGTTGGGAAATTCCAAATAGCCCCATGCAAGTATAAATTGCTGGTAGAGTCTGTAAGGTACATCACCATTCGTAAGCTTTGGCTGCAAGCTTATTGAAATAGATCAACTGACCTCGAGCGCGTTTGGATGCAATAACACAATGATCTTATGCATTGCCATTCAGAACTTTGTCAATTCCGCCGCTCGTCTTATGTAGTACTTGCTTCGGGCTGTTTCTATTTAAACCCAAGCAACCCCAATGCTTCGGCCTTTTGGTAATGCTTCTTCGTGAACTCGGACCTTTTTGATCGGAATGGCCATGATTGACGCGCTTTATTGGACTGAAGGCATCTTTTCTCTAGCCCCAAAGCTCTTAATATGCTTACTCACTGCCTTGGTTTTCTGTTTTATGACCGCGGTCGCTTTGGTTTTTTCTTCTAGTAATTTGGCAAATGTGAGTTCTTCGCTGTTCTCTAGAAGCGGAAGGGTCCTTAAGAGGGAATATCAAGACTGACGGATTTGTTTTGCCTAGCAGAAGCATGTCCCTTTCCCGGGGCGCAAAAGCCCCTTCGCGATACTACGTCAACACTACCATTTCGTGGTGAATGGTCCCAGTGTCATACAAAAGGGATATCTTCGAGCCAAGGATGGATTGTTCGAGATTCCACGCACATTTCGCTTTGGACAGGTCGTGTTATGCTCTGCAGACCTCATTAAGGAATTGAGGAATACACGAAGCAATCTTGCGTCGCCTGAGCCGTGGATTGATCAGGTCTGTTTCTACATTGCCAATTGACCGTGTGTCTAGACTCAAACATGTCCGATTCCACAGCTCCTCCAGATATCCCATGTTATGCCGGGATATTTCCCTACAGACGCAGGATGGCCAAAGGTCGCCAAAACCACGCCGGGCCTGATTCGGGGCACGGTATACAAGAACTTGGACCGGTACTTGCCACTCATCAACGAATCCATAATTTCTCAGCTGAACATGCTTGATACCACACATGGCGGCAAGTTGGGCATTCGTCTACGAATCTACATATCTCTGATATGGTCCAGGATGCAACATCGGCTCATTTGGCTTGGCATACTCGATCGTGGCACGCAACGGTAGTAACTCTCTCGTTGGTGCACGGCTCGCCCAGGATGAGGAATATCTTGCTGCAGTGAAGGAGCATATTCTTGGGATGATTGTTACCGCTCGAGCACAATTCCTCGTTCCGGATTGTTTGAAACGGTGCGTCCTGCATTTTGCCTATAATTAGGGCTCGGGGCTGCCACTGACCATGTCGAGATAGGTATATTGGTGGATTCGTCAGTTGTCTTGTTAGTCTCGGAGCAAAATGGGACATGGCTGCATCTCGGAAAACTTTACTGAAGCATTTCAATGCACGCGCAGCTGAATATAGAGCCGAGATGTCCGGAGATGAAGCGATCAGTGATTCTGGTCTTGACCAGTCAGGAAATCCCGTATGTCTTTTTGTTGTTTTTCTCTTGTCGTTTCGCTTCCGACTTTCGCCCGTGAGACTCACGCTATGATAGATTGAGATTTTCCGCTGGCTATATGAAAGCTCTGTGATTCGAAAGCGATGGACCTATTCCGAGGTGGTCGGCGAAATGTTGCTCTTGCAGTTTGCATTCATCTACACTACATCATATGTAGGTAGCCAGGAACAGATATGACTGCTTGCATTTTGCTGATTCAAAGCCCAATAGGGACTGTATGCTGCTCTAATTGAGCTGGCGCGGCGGCCAGAGTACAGCCAGCCTCTTCGAGCGGAGATCGACCTAACAGTGGGGAATTTAGGACCTACTCTGCCAGCTTGCAAGGCTATGGTCTCGATGGATAGTTTCCTGAAAGAGTCTCAGCGACTACATCCCCCAGCAGCTCGTGGGTCTATCTACGGACTATCGTCTGATTCCATTCATAATTGACGCAGGAATTCAATACAGTCTCTGCCCATCGGGTCTGCATCACTGACCTCAAGCTATCTAACGGTTTGTCCCATTTATATCACACCCGCTGGGCCATCAACGCTGATGGGCTGATGGCCATCTCATTCAACAGGCATCACGCTCAAGAAAGGCTCCCACGTCGCAGTACCAAGTGATGTCATCCAGCGATCTAGCTCGAACTATGAGAGTCCCGACTCGTTCGATGGCTTCCGATTTGTCAAACGTGCCGCTGCCGGAGACAAGAATTCCCAGCTTGTCGATCTAAGCCCTGACTATCTGGTGTTTGGAATGGGTGTACACGCCTGGTAAGTCTAATTACTGGCCATTCAAGGAATCATTTGGGTCTCAATTTCTCCTTTGTCTCGGTTTAAAATCCAACTGTTTCAATGCCACCGGCTGACATTGGTTCTTGTTTGCAGCCCCGGGCGATGGATGGCTAGCGCTCTTATGAAGTTGGCTCTTGCACATATTCTGACTCGGTTTGACATCACCATGTCCGATTCGTCCTCTGGTTCGTTGACCGGCTCACTTTCATTCGAGGAGTTTTATGTTCCTAACTTTGGGCTGAAAATTGCACTGCGCCAGCGCAAGTGAAGAGGATGCGGGAGCCTTGCATGAGGGACCCTGCAAGCTGGATCTTCCGGCCAAAACATTATACCAAATCAAGACTTGAGAAATGAGTTATATCAATAGGTAGAGGTTGTGATCGGCGTCCACTGGTGAAATGGATATGGATTTCTGCCTGGGTGCCTTGTAGCGATAAGCCGATAACTGTCTGACGCCGGCCCCGGGGGCAGCTCTCACCTGGGCACTCTGCTGGATACCATATAGACGAATCTCCATAAGATGCCTGAACCAACTTTACAAGCCCCAAGAGCTCGAATCATTCCATCCAAACGTCCACTTCTGCCAACAAAGGCAATGCTCAGACTCAATCCTAGCGCAACCCCCGCAGAACTTCACATCAAGAGCTCCCACGAAGAAGCCAAGGCTACCCGCAGGAAAAAGCCCAACAGTATGAACGAGAGGAGCTCAAGCCCAAGTGAGGAAGATGACTCCAATTCCCAGTCCAAGCGCGTTGAATCTTCATTCGCTGCATCGCCTCAGCCCTTCCTTGACCCGCCAACCTGGGAAACCATGCTCAAGCACAGTCAAGAAAGACTAGCAGCACAGTCAGCATCAGGTGGCTCTTCAGAGGCCTCTGCAGCTCAGGAGTCGGCTGAGCGGTTGAGACAACGTGTCGATCGCGAGACGGAGTATGGGTCCATGGCTATCCGGGGTCGGTCAAGTGTACGTGGGCGTGGGAAGAGGGGGAGGGGTAATGGAAATGGTTATTGGGGTGGAAGATACTGATCCGAGTAACTGTTTACGATTTTCTTTTTCTCGGTTTGTCTCGATTTCGTTTCATAGTTGGCGCAAGGAGTTTCACGCGTCCCTGGAGATGCCAACTATGAACATCAGGCTCCATCTCTATCACTTTAGCCCACGTGTAAAATACTATCCCTAAGAGCGATACTTATGTCCCAAGGTTGTTCAATATCAATACTAGGTATTGTATAGGATGCAAGTATGAAGTCCTGCATACGATGGTGGCCCTGTGAGACCTCGCTTTCTATCACGGGGCCACGGGTAGATGCATGGCTCCTCGAGGAATGGAGTAGAGAAGAATGTTTCACCTTTAGTCTGCAGCTGGGAGTGTTACACAGGACCGATTCAAAGGAGACTGGTAAGAGAACCCAAACTTGGGCCCGGGCTGCTGAGCAGGCTGAGAACGAGTCAATGCGTGTGCTAGAAGGAATCATAACAAGTTGATAGTACATGAAACAACAATTGAGACAGTCAAGATCAAACAAAGGGTAAAACAAAGAAATCATCATCATCATCATCATGGATATCGTGGTTCATGGTTTATGTCATAATCATCATAGTGTTCATATCAATCAGAAGATCATCCCAGGGCATCAAATGAATTTGATATTCAACTGAGCCCCCGTTGCGTCGTAAATATGCCGGGTAAATGCTTGAACTTGGTGGAACATGGCCAAATCGAAACGGAAATCGCATAGGAAAAGGGAGGGAAAAGTCGTTCATAATCTGGTAGTCACCCCGACTGTAGCACTGGAAGCGACATAGATAGGGAACCCAATGCTCCGTTTCAGGACTTCGCGGCGAACAGCACGCTTCCGCTCCTCGCGTCGCTGGCGCATGCGCCGCACACGATTATTCATATTACGCCAGGATATCGCCTGTACCCGCCGGCCCCAGCGGGAGAGAGCCTGGAATCGAACAGGGTGCAGTGGGGAGTCTGTTCGGAGAATGCCTTGGTCGGCCAAGCTGGCGTTGCTCGTCATTCCATTGAACCAACGCTTCAGCTCTGGGCTGCGGCGTGCCAAGGATGACGGGCCATCGAGGATTATGCGTCGCTGAGGTAGGCCGAGGCTGTTGTTGACCACCAAGGACTCCTCTGGAGTATGGGACGGCTGTGGCATCGGAGAGAGCTGTTTCTCTGGGGAGGTAGGTACGTCTTCCCAGAAGCCACGGGGACGCCAGAACGGGTGGAGTCGGCTGTCCATTTCCATTCCCGTTGTTCGATTCTTGGCCGACTTCATTGAGAACGAGCGCGCCAGGGTATTGAAAGAATCTGAGCGAGGGCGGGAGCCCCAAGAGCGACGAACTGAGCTCCATCGTCCAGTGGAACCCTTCTTTTCATCGTTGGCATTGGCGGCTTCTTCATTCTGGGTTGGAAGTGGCGGGAGGGGTTTGCGGACAGGGGGTTGAGGCGGAGGCCGAGGATTCTTGAGGGGAGAGTCAACCATGAGGTATTCTCCCTGTGCGAGATTCTCTGGCGTGCGCGGCGGTGCAATAGTATCAGAAATCCCAAGCGCCTGGAGAGGGCGGTTTGATTCTCGGGCTCGTGGGTCAACAAGTAGCAGTGAGTGGTTATTGTGCGCGAACAAGCTGACAGCTGTTGCCTCTGAGATCTCGATTGGGCCCGGGGAAGACGATGGTATTGAACCCTGGGTGAAGGGCATAGCAGGAGGATGAAGCAGCTCCATGTCTTCTGGGCCCGAGAACAAACCCGGTATGTGGGGCACCGGAGGTAAAACTGGTGCTTCAGGCGATGACAGAACATTTTGTCGAGGTGGAGATACCGGTTGATGTTCAAGACGCTTGCTAACTTCTAGATCCATTGCCAGGTTATGACTTCGCAGGCTATCCGAGGTGAGGGAAGTTGCGCGAGAGTTGTTGCGACTGGTCGGCGCGGAAAGTGAAGAGCTTCGAGCTGGGATGACAGGCCGCTCCATGGGTCGACTTCGCAGGCTGTTAGAGTTGAGAGAAGTTGTACGAGAATTGTTCCGGCTTGTCGGCGCAGAAAGAGAGGAACTACGCGGTGGGATGAAGGGCCGCTGCATAGAACGACTCCTAGTGTCTGCCTCGCGGGACTGGATCGAGAGTGTTCCAGACACGGGGCGTCTATCTTGCTGCGTAAGATCTGTGCGACCCGTTGAGGCTGTTGGTGGACGGCGGCTTGACCGTTGGGAGCCCGGCTTAGAAGAAGCATAGCTGTTGGCAGTCGACTTGAGCGACGAGTTCCTCTCGGGTATAACCACGACGTTGATGGTTTCGATGTTGGGCTGCTGTATGGCAGTGGTGCTCGCCTTGGCTGAAAATGATACATCCGAAGACACGCTTCGATGATCACGGGGTGATATGCGCGTTGGTTTATGGACCAGACGATGTTGTGACTCTGGCAGGGACGCAGAAGAGGTCCTTTCGGACTTGGTGATTGGAGAGCTAGCAGATCGCAAGGAGCTTCTTTTCCCAGAATGCCGGAGAATTCGCTGCGCGCATTTCGGGGAGTCAATTATCATAGCCTCGACAGTCGATGTCGAGGATATGACCGAGGTGGGACGGGCCCCAAGATCGTTGGCCTTACTCCGGCCTTCAGATGGCCACCCAATGTTCTCCCGAAACCGCTCCATGGAGGGGCTTTGTTTCATTCCATGGGCACCATGAATTCGGTCCCGCAAACTTTTCTCTCGCATCAAAGAAGCATCCAGGTGCTTGATATCCAACGCATCTCTGGCTGCAGTCGAAGGCCGATCGGCTTTGGTATGGTTCCGTACGTACTTTCGCTTTCCAGCCAGCGGTGTTGGCGACCCATCAACCGTGTTTGCGGCCCAATCCCCATCAAATGACTCGAATCCTGTCTCGTATTCAGTCTCGCTGGGTTGTTTCGAGTTTGAAGACGGAGAGGGTCTGATATCCGCAGTCTGTGGCAGGTATCCGTTTGAAGGTGGCTTTGATTGCTGATTTCTTTGTTTGGGTGTCTCTGTCATGGTGGACATCCGGCCCGGGGTCTCCATGTCCTCTTCCGAGGAGATGCTTTCAAACGCCGTTTGGAACGATTCGGCCCGAGACGACGAAGACAGGTGGACCGAGTGGTTCAAGGCGGGTCGCTTGTTTGAATTATTTGTTCGAGGGGGCGTCACATCAGGGGTCGGAGGCTTGGAGGTACGGCGTGGGGTTAACATCCCAGTAGTTGGGAGATCTGAGACCGGCGAAGCCATCTTCTGGTGAGTTCGTTCGTCAATCGCGGGTTCCTGACCTGCATCTGGGGGTGTCAAAGGAGGCGCGGGTGTCGCAGCGAGTTTCCCACACTGATCCGGAGATACCGGTTGGACAATTTCGATGCTAGGAATGATCACATCCCGCCGAGGGAATGCCTTGTGAGACCTCAAGGCCCGCCGGTCGAGTCCATGCGAATCCTCCGACGACCCCATCTCTCCCACGCCCGGCATATGTAAAGTGGTGGACAGGTATCCACGGTCGCTTGTGGACTAAATGATCGCTCAGGTATCTGTCGGTATCATTACACTGGTTCAATCTAGTGCAAGGGTCGCGAGGGTCGCATCGCGCGCGGGCACTGCGACCAGAACGCGACCGGTGTTCAGAGTTGATGGATCCTAAAGGTGCGGAGGCTGTACAATGCAGGGGGGTGGCGATCGTCCGCGGTGCATTCAACTCAGCAATAAGCAACGATTCGCTATTGTATGCCTGGGGGACGGCTCGGCCTCTCTGTGTGATGTGAGTCGTAGAGGTGGGGAGTGGACAATATTGGCGAGTGGCTGGGAGTCTCCAGACACCTTTGTTTCAACTGGATCGAATAAACTCTAGAAAAAGAATGAAACAAGGAGAATGAAGAGCAAAGAATGTGTAAAAGATGAAATCTCATTCATCCCACCTTGGGAAATGTGAGGATTCTCGCGGAACTAATGCCTTGCTGCCTTATCTCACTGCGGGATCTACTCGACTACTCCGTACGGACTAACGCAATAGATCTTTGTCACCGGTGCCTTGGAGATCTTGTCTTTCAATATATTGGAGTAAAGCTCTGATGGCTGCAGAATATGGTTCTTCAGTCTCGACGAGATCTCAATATCGCAAGCCATGTGGATCCCTCGATTTCCAGATGTTTCAAACATTGCTGGCCATGATTGGAGTCTGCTATCGACACTCGAAGTCCTTGCCTGGTATGTCATGCCCTTCATGCAGGTCTCAAATCAACATGCCAGTGCTGGGCAAGACTGCAACATACTGAATGCGCGTCATCTCAAACCATGTAACAGAGGCTCTCCGCCATGCTACTGGCCGACGGGCACAATACAACACTTTTGCTCCCACGACGGAGTAAAGCGCAGTGTATGCTTTTTTTCATATAAAGGGAAAAAAAAAAAACAATTCACGCGCAGGTCCCAAATCACTCTCATTCTTTGAAGTCCTATCTCTACATAGTGCACCCCTCGGAGAGCACAGAATACGGAGTAGCCAACGCGCAATTTGATATGTCAAACGGCCACGCGTTCGGCGAGGTGAACAGACTGTCGGAAATGTCAAGGTCTAATGTAATGCGGTCATCTACTCCGTACTCTGTCCTTCCTTGAGTATCATCCAATAGACAAGACTGGCTTGGGCAAGTCCAAGTTTCCCCAGGACCAAGTTTTCGCATGCACGCTCGAATTACACATAGTCCAGGGTTCAATATACGACGTACGCGCCTCCACATCATCCTACAAACTATGTAGGAGGCGATGACGTACATAGATGGGCTGAGGCTAGCTTAATGAATATGCTCCATCCGAGAAATAGAGCATTTCATGCACGGGGCACGGGTAGATGGTACTATATTAATCGAGGCCCAGGCCGACCTCAGGCCGGGCGTTGTGTTTGACGGCCGTGGACCCTAATAGTAAACGACATCTTTCACTGGGAAATTTACACTAGAACTTGGAAGGAGCAAGGCCTCAGGTCATTTGAGTTCCCTGAGGATTCTGGATCCATCGCCAGGTTTGGGCTGAAGTGAAGCGGGTACCTGGTCGGCACCGCCCTCCAGCCCTGGGGATGACCTTGGAGATGGCTATCCCAGAAACAATATCAAGCATTTGATTACTCCACACTCCGTGGGCTTTCCGAGGGCTTGGGACTGCTATTGAAGCTCGCAAGTGGACATGTGCGGCCATGCCGACGCTCATCATTACACGCATTGGTCAACCAACCTGCCCTGATCGACAAAGTCGAGGCCATGTGGAGTCTGCAGCCAAACCTATATATGTACAAAGCACTTCTTGCAATCTCGAGATATTTGCAGCTTTTACGGAGCGTGAATTACGGATGCTTAGGTATCAAGCTGTTCTTGCGGCCAAGAGTGGTTGCCGGTGCAGACCTCTTTGAAACCCAACAGCCCAGCCCAACCTACGATCGAGGATTGGAAACTCAGGCGCACGAATAAAGTCGAAAGCTTAGATTGGATTATAAAACGCGACGTAAGATACAATCCCAGGTATGAGAGCCATTCCCGGGAAAGGGAGCTAGGCATGTGGCGACGGGCGATGACGATATGTAATCTCCACCAGACCAAGGTCGACGCCTTGGACATCAGGTCTCGGGAACCAGCATTTTCGCGGGAGCTGAGGGTGGAGAGGAAGTCTCTGCCCGCTCCGGTCGTGGGGCTGTGGAATTTTCTCACACCGTTGAGACCCCAATGCAAAATGAAATTCAAAACCGTTAGCGAGCCTGTACTGTTCTATAGTCAGCGAGGTCAATAGTGAGATCCGTGTGAGATATATTGAGCCCAGGGTGGAGCGGTGGCGTAGCATGACGTCCAGGGAGAAAAGCGAGTCGAACAGGATGTTGATGGTGAGTCTTGGCAGAAATGACATCGCACCCGAAGATCGCACTTCGTCATAGCTCTCCTCCCCCGCCATCATTTTCCTCCCCTTTTCTTCCCTTTCTTGACCTTCTCCACGCGCCACTTTGTTGTATTGGTGTGTTCTTTGCTATTCTTGCCTTCTGGTTTGACATTCGACCTCTGAAACACTTTGGAAAACCCTGTTTAGATTGCGATATCTCCACTGTTTTCCCTCATCCCATTCTCTCCCCTCTTCACGACTCACGATTCTTCATAATGAGTACGATACAGAACATCAAGAACTTTATTCGGCATGGCAAACAAGCCCGCCTTGTCACCCCTCATTCCGAGCCCACGACCGATGTTTCTACCATCCATGCCGAGCCTCAACGAGTACCACCCGGTCAATACACACCCGCTCTGGAGGCCTTTGGCCCGGAAGGCCGAGATAATGCGATTCAAAAACCAGACTCCCAGGCTAGAAAGGATCGCTCCGTGGAGATCGAACGTCTCGTGCAAGAGGAAAACGTAACTCGATCGAAGATGCCCCAATACCCCGGGCTGGACCGCTGGATCCTGGTGGAAAAGATGGGTGACGGTGCTTTCAGCAACGTCTATCGCGCAAAGGACTCGACTACAGTATACGGCGAAGTCGCCATTAAGGTTGTGCGCAAATTCGAAATGAACAGCAATCAGGTAGGTTATTTTGGCTTGCCTCCCCCGCTCCATCCATTTTTTTCATTCGCGACTGCAACAAATTTTGGGATCTTTCTTTGAAAGGGAACCCGGCCAATACGTTCTGTAGAGCGATCCTCACTATCCAACGGTCAAAAAAGTACCAAAGGCAGCGGAGGTGCGCAGAGAATACTCCCGTTGCACTGCCAATCATCAATGTTCCTTTCTCTGTCCGATTCGTGTTTCGCTGCAAGTCTTAACTGTGTTTCTTGCTAACTGGATGGTTTGATAGCGTGCGAACATCCTTAAAGAGGTCCAAATCATGCGCAATCTCGAACACCCCAATATTGTCAAGTTGATTGACTTCTCCGAGTCTAAGCAATACTATTACATTGTGCTTGAGCTTTGTCCTGGTGGTGAATTGTTCCACCAAATTGTGAGATTGACCTACTTCAGCGAGGATCTCAGCCGACATGTCATTCGCCAAGTGGCTGACTCGATCGAATATCTCCATGAAACATCTGGAGTCGTTCACCGGTATGTCATCTCCCGATCCAGAGGATCAACAGTTATCTAATTCTTCGCAGTGATATCAAACCGGAAAATCTCCTTTTCTACCCCATTCCCCACACTCCAAGCAAGAACCCAAAGCCTCAACAACCGGGCGATGAAGATAAGGAAGACGAGGGCGAGTTCATTCCAGGACAGGGCTCGGGTGGAATTGGGAGAATCAAGCTTGCAGACTTTGGCCTTTCCAAGGTCATTTGGGATAGCTCTACAATGACACCCTGCGGTACTGTCGGATACACGGCGCCAGAGATCGTCAAGGATGAGCGGTACTCTAAGAGTGTGGACATGTGGGCTATGGGCTGCGTTCTCTACACTCTACTTTGTGGATTCCCTCCATTCTACGATGAGAGTATTCAGGTCTTGACAGAGAAGGTTGCACGCGGGCAATACACCTTCTTGTCTCCCTGGTGGGATGACATCTCCAAGTCCGCCCAGGACCTGATTTCCCACCTCCTCACCGTGGACCCCGAGAAGCGTTACACCATCAAGGAATTCCTTGATCACCCCTGGATTCGCGGAACCGATGAGGCAACCACCGCCGCCGCAGACGCCCCTCCCCTGGCAACTCCACACATTCAGAACGAACAGAGCCAGCCAAAGTTCGACACGGTGAGCGCCGAGCATGGCCCTTACCAGCCCGCCAGTGCTCGTTTCCTCGAGCAGCCGGCCGTATCCACAGACCGTCGTATGGACTTCCGATCCCCGGGTGCTTTCAATTTGCGCGAAGTGTTCGATGTCGGTTACGCCGTGCATAGACAAGAAGAAGAGAGCAAGCGCCGTGCCAACCAACGCCAGTCCAACCGCAGTGGCACAGCACAATTCCAATCCGCGCTTGGCGCACTAAACGAAGACTATGACGATGAGCCAGAGTATAGCCATCGTCTTGGTGGGCAACCACCAGCAAAGATTGCCAAGGCTCAAGGCTCAGGCGAAATGGCCGGCATGGAAGCCAAACTACGATCTACCAACCTAAGCAACCAGAGCAGTGCCGCCCAAGCACGCCAAGCACCTCACCAGCAGAAAGCGAAGCAGGGCTACGGAATGCACGATGCAAACGTGGCCAGTGCAGCAAAGAGCAGTATTCGCAAGCCGAACCAGCCCTTCGAACTGACCCTGAATGGGTCAACTTTGCTTGAAAAGCGCGGTCGTCGTCAGCCTGTGGTTTAGACGCAAACATGTACAACCCAATAGGGTATTGATGTCTTCATACTTTTCTGATCCACTCTTCTTTTTCTCTTCTTCTTTGATGAGCGATATTTCTCTTTACGGATCTATTTTCCTTTCTCATTGGATCCATACATCACTATTCTTTGTTACGTCTTTTTTTACCTTCATTGTCTTCGGGTTTTCAGCTGTTTGTGCGTTATTGGATCGGTCCCGGCGAGGAATCTCTGCATGTTACATGGTCATGATTGGAAAACGGGGAATTATGTCTGTTCATTTCTCTTTCACCTTCTCTTGAGTTATCGTGGAACTTGCTTGAGCTGAAATGGAGTTTTACTATCTTATCTTCCTTCCCTTCCAAGGTTGTTTTGTTTCACAAGAATCAAATCTTATACAGGTCCAAGTATTCTACATTCCTTCCATTGGTCATCACAGCCCGGGCCGGGGGGATAGGATCACAACAGGAAGCTTGCTCCTAGACTGTTCAGCCTTTAGAGGGCTATCCATGCCATCTGCGATGACGGGGCCGGTCCACGGGTGCTAGTGCCAATGGCTCCTGAGGTCACTTGTGTAATCATGATTCGTCACCTGCATTCAGTCAACAGCCTCAACAGTAGGTCGTAGAGCTCGAGTCAATTTACTACTGTGATTCCAAGTTTTCTTGACGGTTCGTATCAACGGGATGTTAAAATGTCTACCAGGTACTACAGTAGAGTGTACGGAGTAAAATCACAAACATGGTATCTCGAATTGGTTTTATGTCCAAACAGGCACCCTTTTTCTCTTTGGTGTGGGTGCCTAGGTATCTATCCATGGATATTTCCACAGAAAATGTATCATCATGCCCCCAGGGCTGTTAAATCTTCTCGATAAGCCGAAGGCGTGGGGATTCACAATATACATCAAAGCTTCATAAGATCCACTGGACTCGCTCATAATGTCTGCTTGCCCCGTGTTTCAATGGGAAGGAAGCACATGGCCACAAACGATGCAAGAATCAAGGCACCCGATGCATAAATGGGAGAATTGGGGTTAGCACTTCCAGCATAGATAGCGACCAGGGGAGCACAAAGACCGGAGATGCGATTCAAGCAGCTCGAGATACCAGTGCCGGTTCCCCGATTCGGGGCAGGGAAGGTCTCTGGGGTATAAGCGTACAGGACGCCGTACATGATGTTCTGGAAGAAAGCCTCGAGACAACTGCACAATAGCTGGATGTCGGAGCTGGTCGATGCAGTGAAGCAGAACAGTAGCACACCGGTGATCAGGGTGGCGATGGCCATTGTGCCCTTGCGACCAATGTATTTGATTTCAACGGTGTAGCAGGCCAGGATGGAACCGGGGACACCGACGATAGATGTGATGGCGTAGTTGCGGTATGTGGTGTAGTTTGAGTTGGTCTCGCCGCCGGATTGGGACAGATACTGGGGCAAAAAGGCGTTGAAAAGAGGGTATCCCATACCGATGGTGGTCCAGCAGAACCAGAGGAGAGCGGTGTTGATGCCCATGCGCTTGTTGGCGAACAAAGGACCAATACGCTCCATGGAGAACTTGGAGAAGAAGCGTCCCACAATTTGGGAAGAAGTGAGTTCGGTCTTCTCTTCTCGTGCTTCAGGGTGGCCACCGAGTTCGTTGAGGATCTCGTTGGTCAACCATGTCTTAGCACCGTTCTTGTAGGCAATTCCATGAACAGATGCAACGGCTTCCTCTTGGCGGCCTCGGGAAAGTAGGAACTTGGGAGACTCGTACAGGTGGAAGAAGAAGAAACGTAGAATGAACATGACAAATGTGATGGCACCGAGAGTCAGAACCAAGTATCGCCAGCCCATGTTCTTCTCTTTGGTGCAGCCCTCGTAGCCAGAGCAGCTGTAGTTGGGGATATAAGCCCAGGCAAGGAGACTGCCAATCAGCTGGCCAATAGGCCACCAGACACTCAGCATGGTCAACATGTTACCAGAAATGAAGGGCAGGAACTCCAAGAAGAGAGCACCATCAACGGGCAAGTTACCGCCAACTCCAAGACCCAGGCAAGAGAACAGCGCGCATGTTCTGAGGGGGTCATTAGTCTAAGTCGGGTTCGTATAACGGGGCTGAGAACATACCCGATCCATGAGGGCCCACCACCTGAAGCCAGTCCAAAGGCACCAGCCAGGAAGAGAGTGGTGTTGAAAGCAAGACGCCGGCCAACGATGTCAGATGCGACACCCCAAAATGAGGCACCTAGGCAAAGACCTAAGAACAAAGCACAAGTCGTGAAGCGAACCCATGTTCCAGAGATTCCAAATTCGTAAGAAATGGGGGTCAAAGTCAAGGCGACTCCCTGTAGATGGTTAATCGTAGTCGAGATGGGGGGGCCAAATGATTTCATACCTGGAGCCAGAGGCTAGAAAGACAAGTCAGTCACTGACTCTAGGGTACATGCAAAGGTATTTACTTACTTGTCCGCGGTCCAGCCGAATCCACACAAGAAGAACAATTGCCACTGATAGCGGCCCATTCCAATATCCTGCAGAGCTCTGTTTATCACCTTTGCCTTGCCTGTGTGAAAAGTTAGATCAAGGATCTGTAAATTCATGGCCCAAATACTCGACTGAGAACCAGCTCGATCTTCTCGACACTGGGCCCGAGCGGCTGTGGAGTGAATTTGAGAACATACGATCATAAGCAGTGTCATGAGAAGCTGTAGCCAGGTCGGATTCAATCTCCGCCCGCAGACCTTCAATGGTCAAATGGTGAGTGCCGGCATTGGAGCCCGCGACTCCATTCTCTGATGAAGGGGACTGGTTCAAACTGTTAAGCTCTTTATCATCTTTTTCCGTAAGTTTTGGGGGGTGTGCAGGCGCATCGGCGAGCGGGATGACGACCCCGGGGAAGTTTTGGCGATCCTTCTTGAATGGATTAAATTTGGAGATTCCCATTATGGCGGATTATGAGGCGCTATGGATTTTGGGTCTGTCTGTCTGGGGTGTGCTTTGACGGATTTGGCGCTTTTCGGCCTATTTCGAGTACAGCAATGGGCGTTCAGGGCAATTCTACAGGGCTGCAATTGGGTATAGAGTTCGCTGGAAGATCGAGGTGTCGCAAGGGTGTAAATGTTATTGCTCGTGGGGGATGGGTGGTCGTTATATGTCGCGCTGGATGGCGATGCAAGACTGCTTCTGCTTGCTACTGGAGAGTCGTCCAGAGTCTCTTTGCGGTTGACACGGGTTGGAAAGGTAGAAGTAGAAAAGATCGACAGGCATGTGTAATGCTGCCACAGGATAAATGAAAAATGTATAGATATCCAGAGGTGTGAAGATGAGCCGAGGCCAGAGGGGGTTGAAGTAATTCCACAGAAGGCAAAAGAAGGGAAATTGCGGTGGGATTGTCGCCTTGCTATATACTGACGCTTTGGGGACCAGAGAGGCGCTAGGTCCTCTTGCCTCTTTTTCCTTTTTTTTTTTCTTCATTTCCTGTTTTATAAAATACCCAATCTGGAAGTCGGGGGTAATTGGGTACGGGCAATAGAACGGCTTCATCCCGGGATTGGCCCAGAGAAGCGGGACTCGTATTTGATAGTTGAACATTACAGTTTTGCGCTTATGAAGCTCTCTGCCTATTATAATCCTTGCTGCTTTCTAGCTTGAACGTACCAAGCACTACGCCTCATAATTGAGCCGCCCGCACAAGCTCTACAAGCTCCGAAGCTTTCGGCCTTCAGCCTCAGGGGACAGAACAAAAACGTGGACGATATGACACCCCAATGCTCCTCCGAGCGCTTTGGAGTCGGAAAGGGCCGAGACGGCAAATCTCTCCACAGTCGGTGTTAATTGGCCGAGGAGACCCACTGGGAAAATTCTCGCCGTTCGTGACTTTGAGCTACTACAGTACAAAGTACCATAGAGTACGGAGTACAGGGCGAGTACATAATAGATCGATTTATCATTTTGTGATTCTAAGCTTTCCAAGTGTCGAATCGAAGCTTCGCTAAAACCGGTTTACGGCGGGATCTTAGGGCTACAAAGGGCACGTTTGTGCTCGGGTCTTGGCGGCGACACATCCATGCCGCATTCAGACTGATCGTTGGGTGACTTCGCCTGCAGGTGACCGTGCGCCAATCATACACGTTCGAAGCGTCGTATTGATAAACATCCATGGGAGAGAAAATTACCGTGTGGCGCTAGATCTCGCAACTCGCGACTTCGATATTTCACCATAGGGGGTTTCGGCATTACGTCCGAGAATTTCTCGGCCCGGCTCTGTAGAGACGGATTCGGAAGTGCTATGCTTTTCAGTATGACGGGATATCTTTTCCTTTTACTCTAAGTCTCAGCACTATCTACTCCGTAATTGAAATGGATTTTATTTGCACCAATGACGATATTCTTGGAAGAGGCCTCATGGCTTTGCAGCGGCGATCCGAAAAATCGCGTGTTCGGCAAGTCCGTGCCAACATGCATCGCACAGGGTGCTCCGCACCAGTACATCACAGATTGTTGTGTCGTTCAGATGACGGTCTGGTTGTGCACGATGGCCGACGAATAAGCTACCGAAATACTATTCTCGCGATATTATCATGTTTGCTTTTTCCTTTTTTTTTTTCTATATTGAGGTTTCTAGTCGTGCTAGGGAGTTACGCTTCGTGACATCTTTCTGTTTCAACCTCTATCGATCTACTCTGATCTTTCCGACGACAATTTTGTTCTTTCTCGTCGGCCTCACCATCTAACTCTATGGACTGACGTCTCGATGTTGATCAGCAGGTGGACCCATTGACCCACCACGAGTTCACCCCATCTTTCTCCGATGGATCAACCCAGCAAGGGATAGCGCGTCAAATCCAATGACAGCAAGATACTATGCAGCAAACCCTGGGCTTTGGGGCCAGAATGATTTTCTCAAATCTGACCTCCATCCTAGGTTCTTGGCCTCGGGATAAGATTGACATTCGCATTCACCGAAACTTCGAGTCGACATCCATGCTATCAGCGAGTTATTTCCCCACTTAATGATTCATAATGAAGTTACCTGTGGACAACGTAGACCGTCCACCGATGGTTCCACTGATAGTATCTGATGTGATTTTCATCCGAATCATTGTCGAGCGAGCAAATGTATACTAAAAGCGGCATGCAGATCCCGATCGTTACGTGACCTCGTGATAAATCGATGAATCCTCCGATCGCATCAAAAGAGGATAGGGAAACTTCCTATCTTTGGGACTGGAAAGTGATGCATTGATACACCTGGGTATTACTGACCTCGGCGGTTGTCCCTTAAGTTCCGCAATCCGGGGTAATGTGTCGTGACGTATCTACTTTTAACAAGGCGCAGTCTTGTGGGATATTGATACTGGGTGCTTCCAGGGTTTTTGCCTGGTTTACTTCTGTGAATATTTCATCCTGAGGTCGCAATTGACGCTTACTTGGCTCTTCTAACTCTTTCTTGTTCAACTAATTACTGCACATTTACGCAGATCGAACAAGTTCTCCTACCTAGGTAATATGTGTATCTGGGAAGGTACCGTGTTATGGCTCGATCCTATTAGCCTCTCTATTGGATAACCACAGGTCAAACACAAATGTGGGCAAGACGTGAATCTCTCTATGTATAAAGTGACTGAAACGAAGCAGACTTTGAATTGGTGAAAATTTTACTTTCAGAAATTATGCTTTCCTTTACTGGGCCATTCCCCGGGAGGTAATCAAAGGAAACGAAAGACCTCGTTTGTGATTGAACGTGGGAGACAGAGCCATCTGCTGCCGTCTTCTTGTGTCGAATACAATAAGCCGTCGTCGACTGAGTAAGGGACCTTTTCTCGAGGCTCGTCATTGCTCGGCAACGTCAACTGGCGTAGCAACGGGCCCCATTTCTTGTCATCTGTGTATCCTGCTATGGTTTGGTTGCGGAAACCATCGGACAACAGGACAGAGGCTGTGGTGTTGAAGTAGCTATCCGGTCGGGCGTCTTGGGTCTCGGCACATAGAGCTTCTGGATCATCATCTTCCCTTACTGTTGGCCCTCTAGGGACTCTGCTCGGTCTGATATCACCTCGGAATTGAAATCGTACTGACAGTGCCGCGCACGCCAGGACTTGGATCTTGTAAGGATCGCGCTTGTAAACAGCCAAGGTGTAACAGAGCACTTGCTGACCGTTTTTGGATAGGACCATGACAATTTGGGTGAACGCCTCCGAGTACGACAAGTTGGGAATGTGCGAAATGATATATCCGTCTCGGACCATCTGGGGAGAAGCTTTGAGATAGATGATTGCCATACCATCTCAGTGCAGCGTAGCCCTTGTCTCTTGCTCTCTCTTGGGCTTCAGTTGCTTCTCTCTCCCTGAGAATCAACTCTCTGTTCTCTCTTTCCCGGTGCTAGCCAGTCACTGTCCCAGTAAAAGGCGACCACTGCAGGGCAGGACGTCAGGGCTCACCTTGACTTGCGGAATAGGGCACGGCTGATGGGGATAGTCTGGGCCCTCTAAGTATTGAGATAACAGCCCTGTGGTCTGCGATAAGTGCAGAGACGCTTTCCGAGGCCGAACGCAGAGCAGGAGGTTCAGAAAGGTCCATTTGAGATCCCAGCTCAGACAAGATGGTCTGGGTTGAGTACGGGGCCAAAGATAGAGTAGCAAGAGGAGGCCATATGGAGTGAGCAGGAAGCAGAAATGATAATTGACTTGAAAGTGAAAGCGCCAGAGAGCAGGGGCGTAGGGATGGGCTCAGTTTAGTCCGCTCCGCGACTCTTCGGATTCTTCAATTAACTCCCCAACCCCAATCACATCTCCTTCGCTGACCCATTCAACGTGTTCGATGGGTTCGTGGTCCCATTTGATAAGATATGTAGCGGACCTCGGGACTGGTAAGCACTCGACCACTCCAGGGCTGAAGCCAAATACGAAAATTGGGCGAGAACTGGAGCCTCGTACCTTGATACCCAGTAATAATAATTGGCTGGGGGCTGATGCTCAGAGACTGACTCCGAGGTCGAAAAACGAGTGAAACCTGTGATCTCAAGCCTTGGTGACCGAAGATACTGATTGACCAGATCTAATAATGTCCAGCGGGTGACCTCGAGCTCAAAGAGTCAGCGGAGAGTAAAAGATTTGGTTTCAGTACCCATTGATATCAATTGATCAGAACTGGTGCCCAGAAAACTGATCTCGAAGAAGTGCTGAAAGTCTGGGCGAATCGAAGGAGGATGGAGATAGAAAAGAATGTTGGAGTGAGATGCAACACATAAATACCTAGGTCAATATTTGGGTCACAATATTGAATGCGGCTGCTTTCTGTCTGTAGATTTTGTGCTTGATATCCCCGGTCCTGCTTATATTGGGCCGAACCTTGCAATTCAGACCATTGATCACTCAAGTGATCTGCGACAACTTCCTGTCCAGGTGTAAACAACCTAATTAAAAGTAAGAATCTGAGGGACCAAAAACAAAAAAGACATGGACTCGCGGGGAATCGAACCCCGGACCACTCCCATGCTAAGGGAGTATTATACCACTAAACCACAAGCCCAATTTGATGAAAGAGGTCAGCAATCATTGAGCTATGAGCCAGAACAAGTGAAAGAATTAGCATTAAGAAAAGAAAATCGCCAGCCCTGGAGTCATCAGACCAGCTGGTTTGATTCCACCTGGGCAGTGATTCTTCCCCAGTGATCGAACTGATCGTCAAATCAAGATGAATCAATGAAAATTGGCTCAGAACCCTCTCACGATTATCATTTGTGTATTAGGTGTGCGTTGAGCATCCGTCCCTATTGCGAAATATATATCCACCCAATTTGATCCCAAGGACCCTCCCAATTTCTTATCTAGTAAGGGTTGGAACCCTTCATACATCCATGATATCTTCAAATTACTACTTAGTATATATAGGCTCATTCGAATCGGAAAAAAGACAGGGATCATGTACGCGTGGGTAGCAACACATGCAGAAACTGCCCAGCCAGTCGGTGCTTATCTTGATGCACGATCGTTAGGTCTACATGCTTGGAAGATCGGCAATTGGGTCGGGAGCTCAGACTGCTCCACGCTACAGCCACTTGACTGGACCACGTTGCATGGCCCAAAGAGAGTAGGAATACTTGCATCGAAGGGCGTAAAAGGAGAAAAACTACAAGATGTGGCACTTGATATTTTGGTATATATGTGAATGACACCACGGAATATCATCTCTATGGTGTACCCGGCGATATCCTTTCCCACCGAGAGATTTCATGCCAAGGAATCAATGGTAGATTATTGATTAGTTCCCAAGTGCATAGGTTGAGTCTGCCAAGCCAGAGCGCATAGCTGCACGTGGTTCTTTGTAATGTGGATCATGGATGGTTTATACCCATTGAGTATAATGCCATTCCCATGAAAAATTCGCCATATTCCCAAGAGATGACCTAGCTATCATGTACTAGTACTCTAGTAGTAGTAGTAGTATATAGTACTAGTAAACCAGTTGATCAATACTCAAAGACAGCCGGGTATACAAAGGCTCTACCCGTGAGATCCACTCCAGCCGGCGACTGCCAATAACCGGCGTCTCCAAATTTTCACTTAAAGGGGACTAGAGAGACCCAGGAACTACGAACTCACCAATAGGAATCATTCCGCACACCTTTCTCAGGGCCACTTTTTACATATGACTCCGCTTCAACCCCTCTTCGTTTTTCCTTCTCTGATCCCCGGATTCTGACCTCTTCCCTCTGGCAGTGGAGACTACGCCATTTCCCAGAGAATGTCCACCAATGTCGGATCTGCTGGTGATAACCATGCCCCAGACCTAAACATCGAGAGCACCACGGCTTATAATGAAAAGTCCGCTGTCGATGTAGACGGTGAAAAATTTGACCCAGAGGCCGCGAACTCGACAAAGCATACCCGAGCAGGCTCAGGTCAAGATGCCCAGCAAGACTCGATGCCAGAGGATGCGGCGTATCGAACGGCGTCCACCGTGGCCCCGTCGCAGAGGTCAGCCCGAAGAGACCCTGTCAGTCGAGTAACGACTGACCCCGAGGGAAACACTTATCCCGAAGGTGGGCTTGAAGCCTGGCTGGTCGTGCTGGGCAGCTTCCTCGGCCTGGTTGGATCTTTGGGACTGGTCAACAGCATAGCTACGTTCCAGGCATACATCCAAACCCATCAACTCAAGGAGTACAGCTCAGGAAGCATTGGTTGGATCTTTGGAATGTTCGCCTTCTTGACCTTCTTTTGCGGAGTGCAAATTGGCCCCATCTTCGACGCACGAGGTCCACGTCTGCTTGTCCTCGCTGGTTCTATCTTTGAAATGGCGATGATCATTTTGATCGGCTTCTGCACGAAATATTGGCACTTCATGCTGGTCATCGGAGTTCTGGGCGGAGTGGGGGCATCTCTGATCTTCACGCCTGCAATCTCTGCGATCGGTCACTACTTCTACGAGAAGCGTGGAGTTGCCACTGGCATTGCTGCAACTGGTGGTTCTGTTGGAGGTGTTGCCTTCCCTCTGATCATGGAGGCCCTGTTCCCGAAAATCGGCTGGGCATGGGCAACTCGCGTTATCGCGTTGATATGCCTCATTGTCCTGGGAGTTGCAAATCTCCTCATCCGATCCAGATTGCCTCAGAAGCCGTTCTCGAAGGAAAACGTGCTACCTGATTTCCGAATTTTCCGAGACACGAGATTCGCACTCACGACTGCCAGTGTCTTCTTCATCGAGTGGGGTCTTTTTGTACCCATCAGTTACATTTCGGTGTATGCTCTTGACCATGGGTTCTCCACTCAGATGTCGTACCAAATCATCGCCATCCTGAATGCCGGTTCATTCTTCGGCCGATGGCTTCCAGGATTCTTCGCTGATTTCCTGGGTCGCTTCAATACCTTAATTGTGACGGTTGCGCTCTGCTTACTCTGCAATGCTTGCTTCTGGCTACCCGCTGGCAGCAGTCTTGCATTGCTCATTGTTTACTCGGCCTTCTTCGGCTTCGCAAGTGGAAGCAATATCAGTCTGACTCCCGTGTGTGTGGGCCAGCTTTGCAAAACTGAACACTATGGCCGGTACTATGCAACTGCCTACACCATTGTGAGTTTCGGGTAAGCAATCATTCTCCTATTCCAAGGTTCCAAGGTTTTTCACAACACCATCACTGACACCGCCAGTACTCTCACCGGAATTCCCATCGCAGGTGAGATCTTGTCTCGCTGCAATGGGTCCTACTGGGGTCTAATCACCTTCACAATCTGCTGCTATGCGGCTGGTCTTGCGTGCTGCACTGCCGTGAAGGTCATCCACGTCGGCTGGCGCAACCCCCTCGCAGTCTATTAATCTCTAATCCATCCGGGATTCCAACTTTGGATTCTTTGACCTACCATCCGACAACGAAACGTGACCATGGCTTCGAATAGAAGTCCCCATAAAAGTTCCCATTTCGGGCATTGCCTTTCCGTTACAAATTCCTGCTCTTCATCCAACAGGCGCCATCAAATGACTTGCATCTTCCATATTGAGCGTTCATACATTACCGAGCTATTTGCTGTACATACGATCAGACCATAGCCTTTTAAAATAATGAAAATTGCGCTCATGTTATCCCACTAGTGATATCACTATTATGCAGGCTCAACCTGCCATAGCACAAGTAACACATGTCGCATACTATATCCGACAGGAACATGTCAACATGATGGCGATATTCTGATCCATGGACGCTGCACTGGAAACAATTCCAATAGGCCAGCAGTCGACCTTCCACCACGGAACCAAGCTCTGCGAGTCTAAAATGTGCCTGGAAAGGGGACTAGATCTCTGATGAAATCGAGTGCTAATCACTTCATCACCATGGATGTTCCCGGATCTCGCTAAACCTCTACACCAGGAGGGACCTGGCCTATTTTCTCCCGTCTCACCTCGTCATCTCAATTGCTCTTGCTCATCACGAATCTTGCTTCATCCCTGTTCTATTTCACGAAATCCATACCAATACCTCTCACGGAGCGTCCGGATCCATTGGGCAAATTGCATTTCCACCTAGCCGCTTCATCCGACAAGGCTACGCGTGCTGCATCTTGCACAGAAGAGAGGAAGTCAGATTCAAAGCATGTTTATGAAGAAAAGTGTGATCTTACTGGTCTGCACCTGGACTCTCCTGCAGAATGTCCTTGCTGCCCCGGATGCCTCGCCAGAACCAGATCTCGAGGAGCGACACAACCATCCCCAGCTGGAGAGTTCGCTGCTTTCTATCCTGACGGAGGAATTGAGCTCCACTGAGCCGGGGAAACCTGCAACCCACGAGGGAGGCGGTGGTACCACCGTGACTACCGAGTGTGACACTGAAAGCCCTCCCCCAAGCGAAAGTACTGGCGGCGGCGGCGGAACCGGCTCTGAAAGCGTTCCTGTCGTCCCTTCCACGACTGGTGGTGGTCACGGGCCTTCCACGGGAGGCCATGCTAGTCCGCCCTCGAACGGGGGCCATCAACCCAGCCAGCCTCCTAGAACGTCTCCTCCTGGAGGAGCAAGCACTGGCCCCCCAACTACCCCCAAACCCTCCAGAGGAGGCGGCGGCGGCGGACAATCGAGTCATACTCAACCTTCACCCTCTGGAGGCGGCGGAGGTGGAAACCCTAGCGGCAGTCATCCATCTCCATCTGGAGGAGGGGGTGGTGGAGGGGAGCCATCAGGTAGTGAGAACACCCCTACTGGAGGCGGCGGCGGTGGCGGCAGCGAACCCCCTCAGACTACCCCTGGCGGTGGAGGTGGAGGAGGTGGAAATTCATCTCCGTCAGGAGGAGGCGGAGGTAGTGGACAACCAAGCAGCAGCAATCCACCTGGCGGCGGCGGCGGCGGCGAACCTCCCCAAACGACTCCTGGCCCAGGCACTGGAGGTGGTGGCGGAGGAAGCGGCGGTGAATGTCCTCCACCCGCGCTAGATACCGTTGTCGTTCCTGTTACCGTCACCTGCCCCTCTGTCCTGGTGAGCACCGTCACCGTCACCGTCACATCTGGCGGCTCAGGGGCCACAACTGAGTGTCCCTGTGCTCCGGGCGGCGGCGGAGGTAACGGGGGAGGTAATGGCGGAGGTCCGGCTGGTGGTGGACCCGGAGGAGGCTCTGCTGGCAATGGCGGAGGACCTGGGGGCGGAGGTAACGGCGGTAACGGCGGAAACGGCGGCGGACCAGGTGGTGGTGGTGGGGCAGGTGGAAGCAGCAGCGGCAAGCCAAGTGGTAGTGTATCGCCGTCTATCAGCAGGACAAAGATCAAGACCAGTACAGACACCAGTACTGTGACGCGGACATCGACACCCTTCGTCCCAAGCAACAGCAAGGAAAACACCAGCCAAAACTCAGGCTCGCCTTCTGTCCCTGCTACGCTTGTAACTTTGCCTACGTCCCATGCTTCAGAGGGACAGGCGTCTGATCCAGCGGCTCATATCACTGCACGGGCGTATATCAACCCTGACATTGTCCGGCGACACATGTTCGGTAACACGACGGCGGTCTTCACCAACTCGACTACTGCTGCCAACACTACCACTGGAGGCTTTAATCTCACTCGTGTTGCGACTGAGACTGCGACTGAGCCTGCGCCCATGTTCTTGCCTCGTTTCCATCGTGGTCGTCAGCGTGTTTGAGAGGCTTCTCAGGCAAAAAGCGAAATTGATTTGGACTTTGTGCTTTCGATAGACGGGGAGTTGGGTTTTTTTTGTTTGACTTTTATAATTTTACAGTTTAGGTGATGTATCTGGTAGTAATATGATAATTTGTTTCTTCTAAGCGTTCGTCCTAGTGCCCTGGTGAGGACCTGGAGTCAAGACAGCAGACTGTAAGCTGATCTTAGTTAAAATTTCATCATTTCGAGTCTTGGAGGTGCCATGTACAATTTGCAAAGCTTTGAACTGAGCCACCCTGAAGGTTGGGGCACAAGAGGATGTCTCTTGGGCCTACACAGAAACTCAGGCTGAGGGCGAAGGAATGTAAAGGATTCTTTTTGCATTGAAGAAGGCGCTGAAACACGACAAGGCTGGGCAATTGAAACATAACTTTTCAAACAGCAGAAGACTTGGCTTCATGGGGTATCACAATGGGTATCACAATGGGTATCACAATGGGTATCGCTCAAAACAAAAAAAAGACAAAAAAATGCCCGTGCCTTCAAGACAGAATTTGCGCCGATATAATACATGATAAATCACAACAAGAAAACATATGCATCGTCATCCAGTATTAATATCCCGTTGTACCATTTGAATCTTGCAATGCAGCGCAGTTGAGTTGTAGTTGGTGGGAGTGGAGCGGATTGATGAAGTCACGAGTCCTGAAAAAGCCCTAAAGTCAGCGAATGAAAAAACAGATTGAAGGCCCAAGATGACATACCTCAATCCTCTGAAGAGTCTCTTTTCAGTAGAGAAGTGTCGAGTTTTGTCATCGAATCATGTTGACTTGTTTCTTTCTTTCTTTCTTTTGTTCGGTCTTCGGTGCCCGTAGGCAATGATGTAGGATCAAATGATGGCTCATGATAGGCAGCAATGGCAGCTGGAGGCAGAGAAGAAAGACTGTGAAAGACCGCGAGAGACCGCGAAAGCCTGATTGTATGAGATTTGGGGCAATGTGGTGGATTTTGTTGTATGTGCTGACAATGCAAGCCAATGGGTGATGTTTGAGTGGCATGGCAAGGCTGGTTTGTGCCAACTGCAAAGCTTCAACACAAGGTGATGGAAAGCTGGACCCGGAAATTTTGCCATTGTCCTAGCTCGTCGCCGAATCTTGATGAGCCTTTCGAGATAAGATTGGACGACGTCCACGAAGTCGAGGGTCTGAACAAACCAAGTCGCGTTGTGCGAAACTCGGTCAAAGGATTTCCTCAAGACCCTGGGGACACAGTGAATCGAATGTGAGTTGGTCCATGGTTGCGATCGTGGTATCGAGGAAGCGAATTTTTCCAGCAATCTGAAGTTTGAAGACCACCGTGGTAAATGATTTCAATGAGCTGGCCAGTGTAACAATGTCAGTGACTGGGCGCAAAGAGCCGATTCTGACGTTGCTATTTCAGCAATCATGAAGTTGAATGAAGCTGTGTTTGAAAGGACGTGACGAAAACTTGCGCAGAGAATGCAAAGTCACTTTCGATTACCAGAAGGCTGACTTGAACCTCCAAAATGGTAGATGTCAAGATGTTGGTGGACAGCTGGCTGCAATGATGAAAGAGCTGTTGAAATCATGGAGGAGTGACAATCCCGAGAGAAGACGAAGAGAAACTCGGCGGATTGTTGACAGTTGCCCCCGAAAGACAGTAGGTGTCAAGATGTTGGTAGACAGCTGACTGTAATGATGAACGAGCTGCTGAAGCGATGGAGAAGTGGCAATCCGAGAAGATGAAGAGAAACTTGGAGTATTGTTGACAGTTGCGGACTGAGATCATGCGAATGCCATGCTTTGAAGAAAGAGGCGTCGAGCAGTGGGGGAATTGTGTTCGCCAATCGAGTGTATGTTGATCTTGAGCCGACAGTGAGATGGTGACTGTGCACAGAAGATGGGTTTCAATGACGGCTGTGGCTGAACCAGAGACATAAGAGCACAAGACGGGCCTTGAATACCAGACAAGGACGAACAGCACCATAGTGGAAGAATGACAACAGGAGACGAAGCAACAACGAAGATTGGACAAGCAATAGAGATGGCTCATCAGATCTTGGACCTCCGCAAACCCCGATGTCAGGGTGATAGGCCGTCAAGAAGAAAAGAAGCTTGTTTCTTCTGGTCTTCGTCTTTTTTTGGCGCATGTGTTGCTTTTGTCCTTTTTTGGTGAGCCCTTTTTTTTTCACCTCTTCGTCTTTTTGGTGCATGTTGCTTTTTTCGTTTTCAATTTTTTTTCTTTGTTCTTTTTTTTGTGAGCCTTTTATTTTTCTCTTCGTCTTTTTGGTGCATGTTGCTTTTTTCGTTTTCAATTTTTTTTTTTTTTTATTTTTATTTTTTTTCGTCGATTCCGACCGGATGCTCCCTGCCTGGAATAGAACACTGTGGTTAGCAATTTTGTCTCAATGAAGATGGCGGGAAGGTTGACTTACTTGTACGGCCAGTACAACTCAACCTCCAGATCCCACTACCCACGAGATGCGTTAACGAAGCCCGATCCAGGGCACAAATGAACAAACGAGAAGCCGTAGGATCACCAAGACAACCCACAATCGACCTCCGGAGAGGCCGGGGGTCATCGAGGCAATCCCGACGAACATCCCGCTGCCCAATTATACCACCGAAAAGAGCCATCGAAAATCCCGCAAACAAGGACCGCATCCATAGGTAGATTCATATCCGCGCAAGCACAGATATGGGGATTTGGAGGAGAGGACCACTCTAAAGCGTACCGTGTCCAGGACTAAGAGGGAGAACCGGAGCCACAGCCGATTTCGGCGTCGAGGTACCAGGGGCCTCAGACAAAGCACCAGAGTGAACAGAGGCTCCGATAGGGGACTCAAGGGAGCGTCTTTTCGGGACCCTGTTCACCCTCTCGTTGTGCCTGTCTGAATTTGCGGCGACGGGCAGCCATCGACGGACGGTTCTTCTTCTTCTTCGTCACTGGAGATGGAGGCCGACCCTCTGCTTCAGCATCCTTCGCCGTCTCACCTTCAGCCGGAGCCGGGGAAAGGGGTTCAGACACGTCCACATCAGGCGACATCCCGGTAGGCTCAGAGACCGGCTCCATACGAACGTCCTCGGTGGGAGTCTCCATCTCGGCGCGGTTGCAATCCAGCTCTGGGGGGACCTCCTGTGGCAAGTCATCGGGCAGACTTCCGGCAACCTGCTGGACACAGGCACCATCAGACTGAGAGACAGCCGACACAGAAGACCCAGACTGGAGACGGTGTTGTTCGATCGCCCATGTCCATGCATCAATTTCATCGTCGATCTGATGAATGCGCTCAATGAGGCGATCCACTTCGGAGTATGACTCCTCCAGGAGGGCCTCATTGCCCACGGCGTCCACGTGCACTGGCTGTACACGCGAAATCCGTGGAGGGCCTTCAACAAATGTCAGAATCCATTGAAGCACTTCGATGAAGTCTTCCAACAGCCGCCGTGTGAAAGCAAACCAGACCTTGCGGCCCGCATATAGCAGCCAGATAATGAAGAACATCCCACAGAGCAGCAAGGATAGAAAAACTCCCCCACGCGGTGGACGAGAGGGGGTGACAGTAAACTCCATTTCCAGGAAATCTACCGACCCATTCCACTCGCACACAGCGGGGGCAGACGCAACCGGAGTTAGCCACGCAGGTGAGGTTTCCCAAACTATGGGTGAGAAAGGTACTCCCTCGTCAGTGCCGCCAAGCCAGTATAGTCCGGGGTTCTCAGCAAGATGCACAACGGCCCGAATGCCAGGGTGCGAGAGCAATTCCTCATTGAGGGCATCGCCCCGGGGCGCCACAGCGCCGACCATCTCAGCCAGAACCCAAGTCTCCAAACCACGCTGAAGGGTAGAACCCAAACGCCGCAGGAATGGCTCACCTGGAGGCGTGGGACCCTGAGGGGGGAACCACTGACCCCAGAGAGCCAAGCAGAGAGCGATTCCAAAGACAGGAATCAACATTTTTTTTTTCTATAAAGAGACGAGGGAGTAAGCACTGCACTGCACCAAGGCTTCTTCAAGCACACATAGACATCAACAACCTCCATGAGAAGACACGACAGAAGTGCAGAGGTGTTGGGATGAGACTTACTTTTTGAGAAAAAAAAAAACAAAAAACGAAACGAGGCCGGGGGGGGGGCGAGCAGAACGAAGACAGCGCCGGGGGACGCTGTGAAAAAACTTTAAAGAAAGGTGAGAAGAGAAAGAGAGGAAGAGAAGAGAAGAAGAGAAGAGGGAAGAGGGGGGTATTTATAGGGGAGCTGGAGAGATCAGGAAGTCCCAAAAGAGAAGGAACGATTCAGTCCATTCAAGTGAGGAAGGTGCCCTATTGACTGCCCAGGTGTACATACTCAGGACCAATTCACTTCACTTCACTTCTCCCCATTTGACTTCTCCCTGCCCTTCAGTCAATAATCAGGCCTATACTCTCGACTTGAATGCAGAGATGAGATGACCCCAGAGCCAGTATTGATCTGAGCTTGAGTATGCTTTGATCTTTGTTGTAGACTAGCCTCGACCTCAAAGACAATCAAATCAGAACTAGCACAATCTTGGAACCAGATGGACTGGAAAAATCACTTCGAGGACACAAAGAGTGGGCATTGAGCGTAGGACAAAGAACCCAGAATAGGCTTCGTGCTCACATCGAGACTTCAAGCATAGAACCATTAGACTTAAGACTGCGTGATTATGAACTAAGGCTAGATCTGCTCTATTCGTAGGCCCAGTAATCCTTGTTTCCAGGATCAGTATTGCAATCTAAATGAGTCCCAAAATCAGGTAGCATGTCCATATGAGCAGCACTGGCGAAGTCAACCGACGTAGGAACTGCTACCCAGGCGAGCGGGAAGTGAGGATATGTGCACAATGATCTCGTTCTGAAAATATGCTAGACTAATCAAAGACGGAATACCAAGGGTATAAGACGACAAAAGAAATTCGAAGAATTGGCATAGCTGTTTCACGCTACATGACAATGCATTTGCCCCTCCGCTTGCGGCCTCGCGCTTTGATCGTATGGTCGTTCCAATCCTGAATACGCCGTCGCCATTCTTGATCCTCGGGTTGTGGCAGGCTAGTCGGCTCGGTAGACGCCCGCCGGTGGAAGGACCGCTGCCGCTGGGGTATGTCCTGGTCATCGTCCCGTATACCATGTACATCGCCATATGGCTGGGGGATGTGGAGGAGGTTCGGAGAGGAGACTGAGTACGGGAAGTAGGCATCGCCGAGCGCATCGCCGAGGGCAGAGGCCCCCAGGTAGGGGAGAGGCATGGTACTTTCATGCAACGTTTGCTCGGCCGGTTGTACCGTCAATGTGGGGGGATTTTGTACTGCTGCTTGATGCTGTGCTATCGATGCTGCTGTAACAGGGCGTGAGTCAGACCCATGTATCCCAGACGAGGGATCATGGATGAAAGGCTGTTGAAAGCGGGGGGTAGTTTCGGATTGCTCCGGGGCAAAGTAGTCGACTTCTCTACCAATGGAGCTTCCTCTACGCCTGGCGCCAGTTAGAGTACCAAGTCTCTGAATGATGACTGACTGTGGGCGTGGACGAATGGTTGAAGCTGGACGTAGGATGCGAGTGGTTTGTGATCGTTCAGGGTGGTGGGCAGGATCAACGGTGTGAGGGTTGGGGGAGGCTCCTGGAAGAAGCGTCCTCCGTAGGTCATCCGGCAAGGGTACGTCCGTTTCACGCTGATAAGGAGGAGGTGGTGGCACCCATTGATCAGCGTCACTCTCATGCGGAACTTGTCGACGTTCGGGGGTGTTGCGGTATCGGGGGTCATATCGTCCGCGGGTCGAGGCAGCTGCAGTCGCAGCTCGGTGGAGCACGTCGCTAGAACGGGGTTGGGTGTTGTCATAAGGTAAGTCCAGTAATCCACCCTGAGAGGTCTCGGTTGGTGAAGCCGGACTTCCAATGCTGTTCCGACGGAAACGAAGTGGCAGGATGCGCGATGCTCGAGTGGTTGCCGTTGATCGGTGACCGAAGCCTGCGATTGTGGTTGCAGTGTCGCCCCGGTGTAATCTGGTGCGTCTTCGCTCAAGCTCAACTTCTGTATCCAAGGAGGAGTCTGGTTCCATAAGAATTTTGGGCTCCAATTCACCAACTTCAATGTCAAGCTCCGTTATCCCGCCATTCTTCGGGGAGCGCTCGAAATCAAGAAGCAGGATTCGGCCCCCGTCAATCGGAATATCCTCTTGGCCTAATGCTTGTGGACGTACGCCACCGGGTGCTACCGCTACCAGCCGGCGACGAATCCTTTTGTCTGAAGTTGAATCTGCCGTCCGTACCCAATGAGCGGAGGTGATTCCATGCATGCCAGTGACCCGACGTCCCCGAATCAGGATCTTGGGCTGTTGGACTATCTTCTGAAGCTGTGCTAGATTGTCGCGAGGTGGGCAGTCTCCGCAATGATGAATGCCACCAATCCGAGTACCGGAAATCTCGACTTGAGCGCCCGAGATAGGGCTTGCCATGGGAGTAAGATCCAGACGCTCAGGTACCCCATATATCCACAACTCTGAGTCTTGGAATCCCAAAGCAACAAGCTCTCCTGAATCATCCACGGCAGGTCTCATGCTTGGTCGCATCTCCCGAGACTCGTCAGGGAAAAATGGACTAGCAAAATATACAATTCCACCACTAGCATCGTTCAGCTTGAGAACCCTGAATGATGCCAGTTGGTCATCGTATCCCATGACCCAGGAATAGTCAGATTCTTCGTGGCCAGCAAGAAGACAAGCATGGGAAAATCCAGGGATTATCTCAGGGAACAGGATTTGAGTTGTCCACATTCGCATGTGAAGCTCTTCGGGGGAAGCGTCCGTTCCGGTTTCAGTATAAAAAGGAGCAGTGATGGTGATGATGCCATTGTTGGAAGATTCCGTCGAGGATCCAACAAGCATTGACCCGTCGGGTGAGAATGAAAGTGCGTCGGCACGCAGACAACGCACTGCTCGACGATCAGTCGGCAGCGCCTCTTCGCCCACGGCATATACCTCTATACTATCATCAAACGACAAGGCCAGCACACTGCCCGTTGGGGAGAATGCAATATCTCTTGGAGCATCGTTCAGCGTAATGACTTGAACATGCTTAGCTTCATCATCGGAAAGCTCATAAAGATGTACTCGATGCGTGGACGACAACACAGCAAGAAGAGATCCATCGTCACGGATCGTTGCCCCCAGTGGTCTTCTACGAGTTTTCAGCTCATGCTTGACGATGACTGGGTCAGTGGCGACGTCTAGTATGATAATTCGTGAAGAACTGATACATAGAACCATTTGTCCACTTGCCGAAAATGAGAATCGAAACACTTCACCCTGAGGAAAGGCGGTTGAAGAGCTCATGGAACTTGATATCAACTTCACCAGGGTTTGGCGGGGCCGAAGGAACGCATCAAACGCATTTTGCCTGACCTGCTTGATAAATAGACGCTTGAGGGCAGGCAGACTCTCAGCCTCTGTGAGTGTCGGTATGGTACCGTGAGTCCAAGAGAATGATGGGCATCGCGTTAAGTGGTGGGCATACAGTGCCGCGGAATCAGATATACGCTTCCATTTCTGGTTCAACAAAGAAAGTGACGCAAATGTGTTGGCATCAACAGCATAGAGAATGCTACCGAATCAGTCAGAACTACCGTTATATGGATAGACGCATATGCTCTGGATATAGAAGATGACTCCCTTACTGGGAACTTACTCCTCGATCACATTGACCGGCAAATGGTCCACGGACGCGTGTGAGCCGAGCGGTGTACCTGGTGTACCTGAGTGGGACTCGGGGCGACCCTCGGGCAAGGAGACATCCTCCATATTCACCTAAACATACGTCCACACAGGCATGCAATGGGCATTCTTGAGGAGTCTGAGGTTGTCCTGTGGCTGTGCTGTTTCTCGCCCCATGAGGCAATGCGGGACAGGGACAGCGTTACAACAACTGATGCCGATCGGCCTCTCATGCCAAGTGGATAAAAATAGCCCTCTATTAGACACCTGGAATCGCAGGCACCAAGTACAGCGACTTAGGTCAGCATCTTAGGTCAGCGTCACATGACACTCCCCCACACGTCCCGGTGCAGTTTAGCTTCGATTGGAGCAATCTCGCTCCGGATTTTGACGATTGTCGGGGAACAAATGATTATTTCGTATTTTCCATGATGTGTGTGTAGCCCTGTGTCTCTACGGTGCTCCCTGCCCCTCGATAGTAAGCCCGCAGCTCGCCTCCTTCAGGTTATCGCATTCGGCCGCCTACCCGTACCCCTCACTCCGTCCAACGGCTAATCGGCCGACTCCGAAGACCACCCCGGGATCAATTGTCTCGAAATCGCCAGTCTTCGCTTCCCCGTATTACTTGCCGGCGTAACGTCCTCTTACATGGGCGTGCATCATGTCGCCTGTACCAGTCCAAGTCAATTCCTCCTCCAAGCTGCCATCCCCCGGGTTCAATGCCGGTGCGCGACCATATCGATCGCACAAGGTTCGCGCCTGCGATCTGTGTCGCAAGCGCAAATCACGATGCACCGTTGATATTCCAGGCCAATCTTGCCTCTTGTGTCGCGTGCAGGGTGCCGACTGCCACTACCAAGAAGAGGCCAATGCAGATACTTCGGTCATGAGTGCCCCGGAGCAAAAGTCCTGGTCGGGCCCTCCGCCGTTGTCGGGAATGACAGCGGTGGAAGCCGTGCCGGGACAGAAGCGCAAGCGCAGTCCCGACGACTTTGCCCACTCGGGTCAGAACATCCCGCCCCGACAACCGATCAACGGTCCTAGCCCTCATGGAACGACTTCCTCGAGTGGTCGTCGGGGAAGTGATGTGCGGCGCAAAGACGATGACCCTCAGAACGAATCTGTTCTCATTGTTGGTCCAATGGTCGCTGAAGATGCGCAGGTTATTGAGAAGCACATGCCACCGGAACAGAGGAGTCTTTCCGAAGAGCCCAAGAGCCACCCATATAACATTTACTCAAGTGATCCACGGAAGCCGGTTCTATACACTACAATCTCACGACGAAGAAAGGGTATGCGTAGAGGTACGCCCCCGGGCGAGAATCAGAAGGAAGTCCTCGAACAAATACTCGGCCCGTTCAAACATGATCTAGTGAGACTGTACGTTCTCGCCGTCAAACCTCAATCCTCATCCACTTGGAAACTGACATTCTCTTCCTTTGTGTGCTAGGTTCATTGACCGATTTAATGTCTCCTTTCCCATCTTCGACGGGGAATCGTTTTGGGAATCATACATTGCCGAGGACCTGCAAGACCCCCCCGCCGCACTCGTATGCCAGGTCTATTCCATGTCTCTTGTCTACTGGAAACATACACAAAAGCTCTCGTGTCATCCGAAACCTGATGTTCGATATGCGGTTAATATGACGGTTGCTGCGCTGCACGAAGAGTTCTCCGCCCCGGGGTTAGACACAATCAGCGCGGCACTGATTGATCTAACTGGTCGGCCCATTTTTTCAATGACTGGAAATGCCGTTAGTTGTGGTCGGATGCTGTCATTGGCGAATTGTCTTGGTCTGAACCGTGACCCCAACAGCTGGAAGCTCTCACAGGCCGAGAAAGACCAACGAATACGCCTCTGGTGGGGCGTCGTCATCCACGACCGTTGGTAAGATATAGCCAAAACAGTGGGCTTGACAAATTAGCATATGCTGATCGTTCAACAGGGGAAGTTTTGGTCATGGCGTACCGCCACAGATCTCCAAAAACCAATACGATGTACCTTTACCTACCGTGGATGTCATCGTCCCGGCACAGTTCCGAACCACAGAGCGCGTGAGAGCAGCACATTGCCATATTTACTTATGTCGATTGACCGAAACGCTGGGTGAACTATTGCCTCTGGTTTATGGCTTGCAACATAAACCCGCGCGTGAGACATCAAAAAAGCTCAGACAGATCCGTACGGATCTAGATATGTGGGAGGATGCCCTGCCAGATTGGCTCAGGGGGCCATCAGTACACCCCGGAGAGCGAATCTACGGAGCCAGTAGCTTGCAATTGGCTTTCTTGGCTGTCAAGATGCTTGTCAGCCGAGTAGAACTAAATGTGAGCAAAACAACGAGAACAACGAATGAGCATCTCTAATATCACCGCAGGAGGTCAACAATTCAGAAACGGAAAACACAGAGGCACGCCGATATTTCCAAACTGAGTGCCGACGGTCAGCCGAGGAGATTGTTTCATTTATAACCTCTCTGCGCAAAGACAACTTCAAAGAGTTCTGGTTACCTTGTACGTCGAGTTCTGTTGCTCGAAACATGAATTCATCTTCTGACTACCCTTCTAGACAGCGCCTTCCATCTCACGTCAACAGCTACTCTACTTATTCGATGTGCATTTGAAACTACCGATAGCGAGGTTGCACGATCATGTCTTGTCAATGTGGAAACTCTACGTTCGGTTTTGCGACGCGTGCGAGAGGAAGAAGACTGGGATGTAGCAGACATGTGCTTAGACCACTGTGAACGCATCATGCACCGACTTCCTGGGACCGGCGAAACCATGGACCAGGCGTTCACTAACAGCATGGCAGACAATGGGCTCGTCAACCCTGCTGCGATTTCGCTTCCGGAGACCCAAACGAACAATGACATTGTGGATGACATGATGTCAATTTCCAATACCTTCGGGACCATGGACGGTTTCCCCTTCGACATGACTGGAATATGGGATGTCTCCGTCTTCCAGGACGTGAACCTCACATGAAAGACTGGGTGGAGTCTGGTGAATATTGGACATGTACTATTACATTCTTATCTAGCAATAATCCTCACATATACCCTGGGATTCAGCGTGAACCCAACCACTTGCAGCAATGGAATCCTATCAATTTGAGTATTTTTTCACATTAAAGTTCCTGGCGAAAGTTTTGTACATCGAGAGAAACAAGAAACGGACACCAAACGCTATTTTACAGTCGTTCATAAATAAATAATCAGAACGAGCCCAACAAACCATCTAATGACCTGCCCCTTGCCCATAAATGAGAAAGAAAATAGAAATGAAATGAGGAACAAGATGTCAACGCAGGAAGGTTGGATATGGAAGCTCTGCGACTTCACATCATGAAATTGGCTGAAGCCGATTACTGCTCCTTGGAGCCACCAAGACCAAACATGCCAGTGACAGAGCCCTTCATGCTTTGCATCTGCTCCTGGCGGGCCTTCTCCTCTTCGGCGGCCATCTCGGCGAGCCACTTCTCGCCGTTCATGCGGATCTCAGACTCGACCATTTCGTAGTTCTTCTGGCCACGCTCACGGATTTGATCCCAAAGCATCTTTCCTTGGGCCAAGCCCTCGGAGGGAGTCTGATCGCCGTTGAGGGTGGCAGAGGACTTCAAGCCAAGAGCAGCGGCAAAGTTACCGATGCCGCGCGAGGGCTTCTTCTTTTGCTCCTCGGCAAGTTCCTTCTCGAATCGATCACGCATAGCCTTCTCGCGCTTGGCGAACTCGACGGGGATGGAAGAGCCATCGAATGACTTGATCACGGTGCGCACATCCTCAACACCCATGCCAGCGAGGTATTCAAGGAAGGGGATGAGGGCGACCAGCGTCTTATCCTTAGGGTCACCGGTCCACTTGTCCAAAACAATAGCGTTCTCGGGTTGGAAACGAGCGTGCTCCTCCTTTGTGTCGATAAGGATGACCTTGGACAGGTCACGGTTCAGGTATTCCAAGTCCTTGAGGATAGTCAGCATTGGGCCTGATATTCGATAATTAGAAATCAACTAACCTTGACATATTCTCCGTCCTTGTAGCGAGTGGCCTCGCGGAACAAGGGCCAGCGGATGATACGGTAAGGGTCAAGCTTGCGGAGGACTTGGTCGGCCATCATGCTAGGCACACTGGTGAAGAGAACAAGCTCGTAGTACTGGTTGAGGTAACGGAGGAAATAGTCGACACCAGGTCGCTTGGCAACACGCCATCCGTGCTCACGGCTCCATTCACTGTGAACAAGAAGATCCTCAAGACTGAGAACGAGAGTGTATGGCTGGCGCATCTCAGCGTCCTCGTCCGGAAGCAGCTTGGGGAAGGCCGGGTCCTTATAGTAGCTGGTAAGGTCGCTCATACGAGCCTTGATACGGCTGTACCAGAGACCCAAGCCCCATCCAGATGGAGTCTCGGGGTGGGCCTGGTTCTCCTCTTCGGTTTCCCAGTTGCGGCCTAGGTAGCCCACTCCGGCGATACCGGCAAGGAGCATACCAGCGTACATGAAGTTGGCCATGCGGGCCTTGCGGCGGTCCATGGATGTCTCATATCCTCCCTTGGGGATGTCACCACCCCCACGGCCTTCCTCGCTGTATTCTTCTGACTGAGTAGGATCTTCTGTGAGGTTCAATGGTCCCTTCTTCATGCGACCCTCTAATTCGGCGGCCAGAGTCGAAGGAATACCTTGTGTCAAGTCGGGTAGGGGCTTATGGGGGATCTGTTCGGTTTCGGGCTGGAACGAAAGCTATTAGAGGGGATTCCTTGATGACATCTGGATAAAAGTTGGATGCTCACGGTGTTGGAGGATTCGGTGGCATTGGGCTCGGCTTTGGTCTCGAACTCGGGCTGTTCTGCAGCAAACTCCTTGCGATCCTTCGGGGTATTAGAATTGTCTGACCCAGTCGATTTCGCCCGTTGCTGGATACCCGGGGAGAGCTTGAACGCAGTATACGGCGAGGATCGGGCTGACAGGGCGGAGGCGCGAGCGGCGGAGGCGAGGACGTTTGGCCTCGTCAGAGGCAAGACTACACGACTCAACATTGTGGGAATTGATAAATGACTGAATCAAACACTCATGTCCTGTGAGATGCGATGGACATGACGAGTTTCCCGTTAAAAGTCGGCGCGACTCGGTACGGCGACGACAGCGGGCCATTTGCGCAGTTTGTTTATAAGATCGACCGCGGCGTCAGGCCTTCCCTCTTCTCTTCTTTTCCTTCCTATAGAAAGTTCACCCAGACATAATTTGACCTTTCAAGCCATTTCTCGGTGCCTGCCGGGTTGAAATTGCTGGGGAGACCAAGGAAGATCTTCTTCAATCCCACTTACCAAGAGCGCAGCAAAGGGTCCTCCAGTGAAGCTGCGCTCCGATCGTGGGACACAAATATTTTCACTAGCATTTCTCTTTCTCTCTTTACACTGCCGGTTCAAATCCACATTCGTTCTAAACACAGCATGGGATGAATTATGAAGTCCCTTCCAAAACATAGACCTGCTTGTACCTCATAGATTTTCCGCATCTTTCACCATGGGACTCAAAAAGCAGATGCTCCAGTTCGAGGACCAGCGCTCAGATCTCGAATCCGACTACGAATCCGACGCCGAACCCTTGATACTGAAGCCATTTCGACTACTTGATCTTCCTTCTGAGATCCGCTTGCATATATACCATTTTGTCTTGTTCACACCGACCCGGAAGAGTGCTTTACAGCGCACCGGCAACGTGGGGGCTTCTGCGAAAAAGAGCAAACCGCTTGCGCCATCTTCGCATCGGATTGGGCTGTTTCTTGCCTCGAAACAAATACACGACGAAGCCACACATTATTTCTATTCGACCCAGACATTCCGTGTGTTGCCTGTGCAAGACTTCTTGCGCATGCCCACCATCCGGGGCTTACCTCGTCGCCACCGCGCCTCCGTCACCACTATCGAACTGATCGTGGGATCAAGCTGGACTGCGCCACCAAAGTCATGGACCATAAACCAGGGTCTGGGTCTGCAAGATATGCGTCTTGCGCGCACGCTGAAAGTATTTGTGCAGTGTGACCCCTCCCACCCTGTGTTCGAGGGATTCCGCATCTCGAAAGATTTCTATACCAACTTCTGTGGTAATTTACTACACGAGATCTTGGGCCGACTGCCTGGCCTAGTGCAAGTCGAGTTCGATGGATGGCCATCTGTCGACCAAAATGGCCCTCTGATGACCCGCCTACTCGCCGAAACCCGTGATGCTCATAAGAAGGTTCTTTGGGGCACTGAAAGAGGCTGGAGCGATCATCAAGATGGCCGCCACAAGCACCAGGAACTCAGCGATATCGATGCTGCCTTCGACGGAATGCTATCCCACCCCCCTGATATTGTTGAGGCCCTGAGCAATTCACTTCAGACGGTCAAGTTGGAATCTTAAGCCTAGTGTGGTGGAACATAACATACGAGGATTCAAGCGCACACTGCAAACTTATTTATGCATTTTGTGCGGCAAATATATAGAATTAGAGGAGCATATAAACCTATGATTTCATCTCTATATCTCCAGGGCTACTCCATATAAACCTTGGAAGGCTTGCCCTCCAAGGCTACAGTACTAGTCCACGTTGACGTCCAAGGTTGCACATCCCTTACACACCTGGGCACTCCAGGGCTTGAACATAGACTCGAACGAAGTAAATTACCCTAGGACATTCAAGGTTTGACATATCAAAAGGATTAGCGCCAAGTGATTCCAGATTTCTTTCATTGTAGTCTACACATTGCATCAACGAGGGACTCGTAATAGTCCCACTGGTGGCCCATGGAAATCAACCTTGGAAAGATATCGTAATTAAAGCGTTGCTGGATCGTACAATGTATAACCCTTTAGAGGTCCTCATCCACTTCCATGACGGCGCCGTTCGTGTCCTCCTTGGACGATGATTGGCGTGCCACAGAGGCTTCTTTATCAATCATTTGCCGCGAGACGGCAACAATGTTATCCTCGATCAGCTTTTGACTTAAGTCCTCGATGTCTGGAAGAATGTTAGTTTCCATGGAATGTTTGGAGTCGAGGCAAAGTGCAACATACGTTTCTTGGGATCGACCTTGCCAACATATCTTGTCTTAAGCTGGTCCTTCGACAGCTCAGTCTCCTCCTTGATCCGCTTCTCGTAGCCCTCTGCAAGGAGAACGAGCTGCTTCATTTGCTCAACATTGTGCTGGCCCTCTTCGTGGAAGTCACTCATCTCCAAGGCCTCGGTCCATACATGCTTGTGAAGATTCATCAACATGTTCTCTTCCAAGCCAGTCTTGCGGTAATCGATCGCAATGCTGTAATAGTGGCGGTTGAGGCCATGAATCAGAGCCTGGATTGAAGGCTTGTTCAGGTGACCCAAGTTGGATGTAGTCTGACGGGGTTCCTGGCCCATGACCACGGTCTGGGGTTGAATGAGACGGAATGCATCAATGACAACCTTTCCTTTCACTGATTGAATTGGGTCAACAACCACAGCAACCGCGCGCGGTGTAAGCTGTTCGAAAGATTGCTGGGTGTTGATATCGACGGAGGAAAGCCAACAACCGAAACCAGGGTGCGAGTGGTACCAACCAACAACAGTCTCGGGACTAAGTAGGAATAATCGGGTTAGCTCTATGGAGTTCAGAGTGCCTGATATTAGCTTACCGGCCGGTCTGTCGGAGCATTTCCATCATCCTGGTCTGGAACACAGGGTCCACGGCTTCAACGCTGACTCCGGTACCACTCTGAGGCATAGCAAACACATCCACCACGCGAACTGTGTACTCATCGACGAATTCACCCAGCATAAGACCCATAACTTCCATAGGGACACCTGCGCGGCCATGTCGTAGCATCTTCAGCAGCGCCAAAGAGGAGATGTGAACGGTTTCGGAGTTATCAATCAGATTCGGGGTATCCTAAAGATAAGCTTGTCAGTAAGACAGCTTTCAAGACTTGCTAGACTGGAGACCGGCGAAGATAAGTCATGCCATTGATACCTCCCAGACGAAGCTGGGGTAGGTAGACACAAGTGAAACTGGGGATGCAATGGGGCAACTTACGCCACCAGGAGCAGCACCTCCCATGCCCATGCCTTGGGCGGCCTGAAGCATCCGGTTGAGGCGATCCATAATTTCTAAGGGATATCAAGTAAGACTCGATGGAACGCGTTCTGTAAGAAGATGATAGCTTCCTAGTTGGAAGCTTCGGAACACTCGATTGTCGCTAGCGATCAGAGTGATCAAGTGTTGAGAAGTTGGTATGGAATGATGATGACGAGAATTCGACGGATGCAATAATTGCCCAAAGCCAATAAGACAGGAAAGTGTCGAAGATGTGTCCGTGATGAGCAAGCCGTGGGAGCTTTGCCTGACGAAGGCGGTGTGAGAGTTTCGCCCGTCCACGCGATGGTTCTCTCCAAGTCTCTCCTCCACCCCAGTTTGCGAAGCCTTGATTATGACATTGGTTTACTTCCTTTGATATATCTGCTGCCCAGTCTTCACATCGCGGGATCTGGTGATTGGGTGCCCTGCTCTCTGCTGCTCTCTTTGGGAGTATCTTCGCATCGCGCCTTCAACTCTCCTCTAACCGCATACTTCGACCCTCATATCTTCGCACTCGAAGCGTCACCCCTCCTGAAATAATACCCCCGCCTTACCGCTCATTCCTCGGCTGCCCTGCAATATGGCTGCGGAACCTATCTCCAACGGCCTTCTTGGTTCCAAAAACAAGAAGGTCGCCTACTTCTACGACTCCGATGTGGGTAATTATGCCTACGTATCGGGCCACCCTATGAAGCCCCATCGCATACGCATGACGCACAGTCTTGTCATGAACTATGGACTTTACAAGAAAATGGAAATCTACGTGAGTGAATCCAACCGGTTTCTCTCTGTGATCTTCTAGTTGCTAACGCGATAATCCTCCAGCGAGCGAAGCCCGCTTCGAAGTATGAAATGACCCAGTTCCACACTGACGAATACATTGACTTCCTGTCAAAGGTGACACCAGACAATATGGACCACTTCTCCAAAGAACAAAGCCGGTACAACGTCGGTGACGATTGCCCGGTCTTTGACGGTCTTTTTGAGTTCTGTGGAATCAGCGCTGGAGGTAGTATGGAAGGTGCCGCGCGACTGAATCGTAACAAGTGTGATGTGGCTGTCAACTGGGCCGGTGGTCTTCACCACGCCAAGAAGAGCGAAGCAAGTGGTTTCTGTTACGTCAATGGTATGAGATCCATTTCCACCTGGGAATACCATAAGAGCACCGGACTGACTTCTTCCAGATATTGTTCTCGGAATTCTAGAGCTTCTCCGCTTCAAGCAACGAGTTCTCTATGTTGACATTGATGTTCACCACGGCGATGGTGTTGAAGAAGCCTTCTACACAACTGACCGTGTCATGACTGTTTCTTTCCACAAGTACGGCGAGTACTTCCCCGGTACCGGTGAGCTTCGCGACATCGGCGTTGGACAAGGCAAGCACTACGCGGTCAACTTCCCCCTCCGTGATGGTATCAACGACGTTTCCTACAAGAGCATTTTCGAGCCCGTCATCAAGAACGTCATGGAATGGTATCGCCCAGAGGCCGTGGTTCTCCAGTGCGGTGGCGACAGTCTGTCTGGTGATCGCTTGGGCTGTTTCAATCTGAGTATGCGCGGACACGCCAACTGTGTCAACTTCATTAAGAGCTTCGATCTGCCGACCCTAATTCTTGGCGGTGGTGGCTACACTATGCGCAACGTCGCACGAACTTGGGCATTTGAGACTGGTATCCTCGTTGGAGAGGGTCTCGAATCGGAATTGCCATACAATGACTACTATGAGGTAAGATCTTTCTGTTTATATCGAGGGCTATATGATACTGACTGGCCATAGTACTTTGCCCCCGATTACGAGCTTGATGTCCGCCCTTCAAACATGGACAATGCCAACACCAGAGAATATCTTGACAAGATTCGCAACCAAGTCATTGAAAATCTGAAGCGCACGGCATTTGCTCCTTCGGTCCAAATGACAGATGTGCCCCGAAACCCGATCTTGGATGGCATGGATGATGAGGCCGACGATGTTATGGACGACCTTGATGACGACGAAAACAAAGACAAGCGTTTCACCCAGCGCCGATTTGACCAGTACACTGAAAAGGCTGGGGAGCTCAGTGATAGCGAGGACGAGGAGGAAAATGCAGCCAACGGCGTCCGTCGCCAGCCAGGTGCTATCCGTCGCCGCAACCAAGTCAATTACCGCAACCTTGAGCCGGACTCTGGGCTGGACAGTGGCATGGCAACCCCGCAGGATGCTTCATCTGCCGCGGATGGGGAAATGGATTCCACCTTGGACGCTAAAATGACCGACGCCCCACGCACTGAACCCGAAGCAGCTTCCACCGCACCGGAGGCCTTGCACGCTGAGGACACACCCGCGACGGATGCAGACCGCATGGCTACAGGGAATGAAGAGGTAACCTCTGCTACATCCCAGCACCAGTCACCTCCCCCTAACGATGAGGATACCACCATGGAGGATGCTGGTGCTGTCGCCGAGCCTGCTCAACCAGAGCAAGCCACTGACCAGGCTGATACGAAAAAGCCTGTTGAAGAGGCTCCTCAGACCGAAGTCTCCGTCGCCTCTCCTGGCAAAGCCAATCCACCCCTGAACGATACTACAGAGGCCAGCTCAAAGGGTGCCGAGCCCTCTACTGAGGCCCCTGCGCCCGGTGCAGACAACGAAGCAACCACTACCAAGGAAGAGAACCCGGCACAACCAGCAGAACTCAAGAAAGAGGAGTAGTGGGCTGCGATACAAGATGAAGATATCGGATCTGGCGCAACGGACAATGGCAGAGGTGTTATGGGTTTGACAGCGTGCTCACATCATCCTGGATTCGTGGATGTTCATACTCGTGGCGGAATGGCAAAACAAGCTCAATCTGAGACCGCCTACTCCACGCATCCATGAAGTGTACAAGGACTTCGGTTGGCGGGCTGCTTTATGGGGATTGCTCAACTTTCAGAAGGAATCATCTTATCTTTCAAGTTTTGCCCTTTGCTTTTAGTTATTTCCCCACTTAGTTTTTTATGACTGCCGTATGTATTATTCAATGAAATATGCAGCTAAACTTACTGTCTTACCCCAGTATCTCATGGGCATGGCGACCACGGCGTGCATGGTCTCGAAACTAGGATATAGATCGTAGATCGAATTGGCGCCTCAGGCTCCTTGGGGCTATCCCAAATGGGGTTAGTATTAGGGCAAACTCAGTGGGCCACAGCGACCAATCAAATGTGGATGCCAAGATTTTACGCACCAAACCCGCCCACTAAGCGAGGGAAAGCACACCTCCAGGTTGGAACGTCGTCGTCCGGAACTCTCGACCTTGTCGCCAACCCTTTTCACCCAACTTTCCCGTGATACTCAGCCATCATGTCTAAGAGAGGGTGAGTCCATCAACAACTCAATCCCGTGGCCCAATTCGAATCCGAACGACACAAGCGCACAAGACCTGGAAGTCTCGAAAGAAAATCTTTGAACCGACAAGCAACACCCATACACCACAAACTTGTGTCGAGAAGATAGAAGCGGGCCCGGATTGAACACGCCATGAATCGAAATGGGACATTTTTCGCTAACGAACACACAGTCGTGGCGGTGCCGCCGGCAACAAGCTGAAGATGACCCTCGGTCTGCCCTGGTACGTTTTCAAGTTTCTTATCGTCTAGTCTGTTTCGAATGCGCCTCCATGTCCGCCCGAGTCCCACAGTCGTTTCCAATCGATCGATCGCAAAGAACAACGCTCCTCCATTCAGAAATACACCAAGATGGGCGGACATGGATAGGAAATGAGGAAATCCCCCACCTACTTTTCAAAACCGGCATACGAGACACGACGATACAATCACGCATGAAGAACAAGAAGACTAACGGATCCGTTTTTTCGTCGAACAGTGGCGCCGTGCTGAACTGCTGCGATAACTCCGGTGCTCGCAACCTGTACATCATCTCCGTCAAGGGTATCGGTGCCCGCCTGAACCGTCTCCCCGCTGCCGGTGTCGGAGACATGGTCATGGCCACCGTCAAGAAGGGAAAGCCCGAGCTCCGCAAGAAGGTTATGCCCGCTGTCGTTGTCCGCCAGAGCAAGCCCTGGCGCCGCCCCGACGGTATCTACCTGTACTTCGAGGACAACGCAGGTGTTATCGTCAACGCCAAGGGTGAGATGAAGGGTTCCGCCATCACTGGTCCCGTCGGAAAGGAGGCTGCTGAGCTTTGGCCCGTACGTTCTTCCCCCAGGATTCACTTCCTATCTCTTGTCTGCGATCACGAAACTAACATCTGTTCTCCAGCGTATTGCCTCCAACTCCGGTGTCGTTATGTAAAGAGAGATAAAATCTGAATTTAAAGAAAAACGATACCAAACCTCAATTCTGCTTGGGACCTGGAACGCGGTGCATATGAGACCATAGGATTAAAATGGGAGCTGGACAGTGGTGTCCATTTGACGAATCCACAACTGTTTTATTTTAAAGCCGGTTTTATCCTCTTCGTGTTTCTCCCTTTACTGGCGACTCGGAAGTATTTTTTACTTTTGAAAAAAAAATCACATCCTTTTTCAATGGCTTTAGGCTTCCATCCTTCGATACTTCAGTGATCTAAGAAGATCTCTGGATGTCGTTGAGATCAGTAGAGAAATGGCCTCGGCATTCGACTATCCTATGACTGCCCTCTCGACACAACTGTTGTATGTTTCGTGTCTACCGGTTTATACCTAGATGTACCTTCGATGTTATTATTCGCGACTGCAGTCTCCCACCTGGGTGAAGTTCCAAGGTTTGCTTAATCGTTCATGATCTGTGCGAAGTACCTAGTACGCCTACCTACCTACCTACCTACCTACCTAGGTAGTAGTAACGCCATAGGTAGTATCACTGCCCACCTGGGCAGGTGTGATGGATATATTTCTACATATAGGTAATCTTAAGTCTTCGTTTCAAAAGGTCACTCGAAGTCGTGGGCATTTTCTGATATATATTATAGGAAACATTCACATTTGTTACTCATCTATAAAGCACGTCGAGTCACTGAAAAGACATTAATATACATATTCACAGAGCCTTGGAATCACGCTTTTTGTACACTTGGCCGAGGTTCTTTCTCTTTTCGAGCCTTTGGAGCATCCCCGGAAGGAATCTGCTTCGCTTGTATTCCACCACCACATCCAAGCAATGTGGTCAAGAATCCAAGTAGACCCACGATCAGCGTTACAAGCACGAGGACATGAACAGCCCACCAGATATGCTGAACCCCGGCAGGACACATGGTAATCTCGTAGCTCCACTCGCCAGCCGCAACATCATACCAAGCCGATAGAAGACCAGCATTGCCGCCGAATTCTCCCATCATTGAACGCAGAGTCACCTCACGGATGGCAGGGTCTTCAACATGGTGGCTGTTGTCAAAACGCTCAGCATCCCAATGCCACTTCTGAACAGGACTATCAGGGGTAGAGTCCTGCTCGTCTTTGTCTTCGTCGACAGCAGTGCGATTGATATAGTGAACGACGTCGCAGCCGGCGTGATCGTGTCCTGTCAGAATGAGTCCATTCCGACCTCTGCCACCAGCGGGCACATTATCATCACCGCTCATGCCAAAGATTCCCTGGAGAACACCACCGGAACTGATAAAATCACTTAGATGATTCTGCTCCTTGAGGCCACCGTCGAGCCAACGCGGCACATCATCTGGCCCATCTTCATCGTCAGACTCATGGAACGAGAAATACGGCGCGTCAGTGCAAATACCCTCTTTCTTGTGAAGAGGAACATGCGTCAAGAGGAGAGTGAATTCTGACCGGTCCTCGACCGGAGAGAGTCGATTAGAGATCAGCTCATTCAGATAGGAATAAGTCTCGCTCTGGATATCGGAAGAAAGCGCAGGGGTATCAAAGACCAGGGTATTGAGATTGATCAAATGCAAAGTCGGTGTAACAGTCGCCGCATGCCCATCAGACGCCAAAGAGCCATTCTGCAAGACAGGCGGATGTTCAAAACGGACATCCCAATTCGCACGGCCGAACTCGCGCTCGAAACGTTCCATCCGAGCCTCACTGATATCGCCTGCATACCCGATATCATGGTTTCCCGCAATGTTGATCAGACGTTGCGCCCAAGATGAGTTTGTGCGTTCGAGAGGTTCAACAGGTGCTGTCTGGTCATTTGTGCCCTGGCTCCTGCCTGGAGCGCCTGTCCGGGTAAGGTTGTCATTGACGCGCTCAGCGCCCCGAAACACTCGGTCCCAGTAGCGGTGACCCCGTCGTGCAAATTCTTCGTCTGAAATCCACTGACTTCCAACTAAGTCTCCTAGTACTGTAGTATGCGTGGGCCGGGTCCACCAGAAGAGGGTGCGATATATATGTGCGAGATAATAGTCGTTGCCGAAGAGGTCTAGGCGTTTCAGGCCCGATTTAAAGGCGCGAGGAATGTCTTCGGAGACAAGGGTTCGAAGACCGGTTGTCATGTTCGACAGTACATCGTCGTTCAGGAGGGTCAGGAATGGTAGGGTTTGCGACGAGACGGAAGCATTGCCGATTGCCTCTTGGATGGCAGCCCAATGGGTTTGCATGCGGGGATAGAGTTCATATTCAGGGAACGGTAGAGAAGTATCGCCCTCCAATTGAGGGTCTGCAAGTACCAGGAGTCTGAAGATCGCGGGCTGGTTGTCTGCTTCTAGGGCCGAGATACCAAGGTGTTGAGAGAGCGTGTTGAGCACGGCATTGCGATTTAACGAACCCAGGGTATTGTGCGCGCTGGAATGTGAGACCTGAGATTGGGGTAGAGGAAAGGCGCATCCATTGAAGATGGGGTATAAATAAAGGTAAACAGTGGCGGTAACTGCGAAGGGAGTAAGGAGCGCAAAGGTGCGAAGAAGCAGCCAGTGGAGAAACATGGAGAATAAGGCTAGAATGACAGAGGATGGGGTGTTATTTAAACATATACAGCATGTTGAGTACGCGACCTGGCGTATGGAGAGGAGATGCGAAGAGGAAGTGGGTAAATTGGATTGATTGCCGATGACCTCAAGGCCTTGTGATTCTAATGATAACACAGGGGCTGGTATTGAAATCACCACTCACTCAGCAAGCCATCGCCCGCCCCATTGAATGCAGAAACGGTTCACTTGACTGAGCCATTTCAAATGACTGAGCAGTTGGGCAATCCGAAATCCAGGGCTCCTGAGTCCAAGATAAGATTCTGCCGGAAGTACAAGGCGGTCAACTTAGATCTAAAAGTTGCCGAAGCCCTACATCGGGGGTGTTCATGGATGTCAAGTGGAAATTCATAAAATTGACTGAATTGATATAAGAAAAGAATTTATCTACATAGCAAAATTAGTATAAGGAAAACTCTCAGCTTCAAACCGCCAGTCAACTTCACATCCGTAAGCAAGACAATCATACACTCCCACATAAATCCCTCGCAACCAAAGTAAAAAGGGGCCCGAGATCGTAAACAAAGGGAAGAGGGCTGAGCGAGGGGTATATCACATCAAACGCCAGCAAGAGGGTAAAACAAAAGATACATAATGATCAAATCATGAAGAAAAAGGGGGAGGTGATAGAGTGACTAGAAGTCGAAGATAGCTGAGCAAAATTGAGAAGAGGAAAAAGAAGTGGGGTAAGAAGAAGAAGAAGAAGAAGAAGAAGAAGAAGGAGAAGAAGGACATAAAGAGAAAATATATCAAATCACTTGGACTCTGTCTTGGCCAATGTGTCAGGGAGCAAGACAGAGTGAAGATCACCATTAGGATTTGATATCGGCCAGTCCACGCCATTGGGACCGTTGGAAGCAGTTGGACTATGATCCAAGCTTTTCTTGTGGCTATTGATGGAAACAGCCTCTGCAGACTGGCCGTTGGTGAGGTCGAAGCTGTCGTTATGAAGACCAGCCTCTTCCTCCTCCTCGTCAATGGTTTGCTCAGTCTTAGTGCTGCCGGAAGCCGGCATCAATTCTGGCGGTCGCTGGTTCATCAAGCGAGCCTGTTTCAGACTGATTGTCTTTTGCTTATTGGTCATCTCAACGGCCTTGCCCATGTCGCGCTCGATAGTCGCCTTCATCAAGGCGGCCATCCACAAGCGGCCCTGCTGGACATTGTCAACTTGGAAGTAGTGGGTGGCGGGTTTGGTGAATTGAACAGTGCGAGAGTTCCCCATCTTTGGGGGCACGAGCTTGAAGAAGAATGGACCACTCCCATCCTTGTTGGTGAGTGATTGAATAACTGAGGGAGTGGTGAGCTTGGTGCCACCTGCACTGTCAACAGTGGTATTGGCATTGGCTGGAAGAGCAGTTGATCCGGTGATGGTTGCATGGAGGGCAATGATCGGATCTTGATCCGCTCGGAGTACGCGGTGGGCGGTGATATCGATCAATCCCCTTTCTTCGGTGTCGTCCTCAGAATAGTAATATGACAGGCGACGGCCACGCAGAACAAACAGACGAGGCTTCCAAGTCGTCATCAAATTAGAAGATCGCTTCTTCATCCACCCGCTATAGTCACAGCCGTCAATTTGTTCCTGCGGCGATTTCTTCTCGAGGCCACGGGTATAAGCACTGGTTTCTTTCTTTGATTTGACCGTACGGGGGCGGACAGCAAATGCCTGGCTATCGACGGCTTTCCCAGACCCATCCGTGCTGTGGCGCTCCGAGCTCTTCGACGTCGCCGATGGAGTAGTCGACCCGGTGCGAGCGGGCGAGGAATCAAAATCCTTCGGCGAAACAGGCGCGGAAGTGTCAAGCTTCTTTCCGACGACGTCGGAAATGGCACGGAGACCCATTGCGCGACGGAACTTGGGACCGGCATTCTTCAAAGGTTGGAATGAAGTCGGCTGAGGGCGAGAAGTATTGTCCGAGTCACTTCTTCCGACACGGGGGAAGCTGGCGAAGAATCCGCCGCTCTTGGTCTCGGAATTCGACGATTGAGAGTTCGAGCCTCCACGGTCCGAGACACGCGTGCTTAGACTGCGCAGCCGACTCTTGGGCGGAGTGCCGTGATAGGCCTGGGCAGCGGGGGATACGTGCTTGGCCGCCTCGCGGATCGAGTCAACACTGCTGACGCGAGAGTGGCGCTTCGCCGGGGATCTGACCCTGTAGGGGTCATCCGCATAGCTCGACTTGCGAGAATGATTCATGCTTCCACCAGTGGAGCTACGTTTCTGCAAGACCCGGCGGTTGCGGCGTGTGTCGACTTCCGTGCCCGAGAAATAACCCCGGTCTAGATCATCGGCCTGATCGGGGGTAGTGGCGTACGAGTTGCTGACAGAGTCAGACTCTCCCGTCAGCGGCGCACGGAAGCCCGATGTGGTTCCAAGTGAGGTCCCGGGACGGGCGGGCATCGTATGCGGGCCGGAGTTCAAAGTCCAGGAGCGGTCAAAGGAAGGCTTCTTCTGATGGAAACCCGAATCGGGCCCCCGCTGCGTGGCATCGATGGACGAATGACGGCGAGTGTGGTTGAGCTCGCGGATCGAGGCTGCTGAGATCCTCCTGGGCGATTCGTGACTGAAAGGAGGAGTATGCGGCGCCATGGGGGAGCTATTATTGCTGGCCAGCCGTGGGTGCTGCGCGGGTGCAGATGCTCGCGGGTATCCTGCGCCATTCTTCTCCGACAATGTGGGAATCCGGGGCAAGAGCGGGCCGGTATGGCCAGCGCGCGAAAGCGTGCGCTCCTCGGTGGGGCCCGAGAGACTGGAAATGGAGCCCCGGGCTGTTGGCAAGTTGTAGCCCTTAATTTCTTCTTGAAATGCTTTGATTTTGTGCCAGGTCTTCAATCGTTTCCCCATGACGCCGAAGTCGAACTCCTTCATGAAGATAAAGTCCTGATCCATATCTAGAAGCACATCACCTGTGATCTCCTGCTCTTCAAAAATGTCGCAATGCTTTGCATCGATATCGAGTCCGCGCAAACACCTGGATGTCTCCAACTGATTCCACTTGCGGACCTGCTGTTCCGAGGGATGGGCCTTCTCCTCATCGTCGGTTTCGTGACCATTGATATACGAAGCCCTGTGGTCAATGTGGCTGCTATACTCGCTGGCGGAGTCGTTCATCGTCTTCGGCTCCTGCGTCGACACACTGTTGTGGCGCGGGGTGTTCATCCCGGTGATATGCTCATCGATCACACTGAGCGTCTCGTTCATCACCGGACTTTCTTCCCCGTTCATATGGTTGTCCATGGGACTGCGGAAGGCTTGCTGAATATCGGCTGCCAGGCTCGGCCGAGGCAGCGGGGACGATGCGGATCGCTGCTGGGTTGGCGAGCCGACCTGAGGCGAGTGCGCCTCTGCGGTGCTAACGTGGCGCGACGCCTGAGGGGTACTCTGCCCACTGCCGATCTGTGCGAACGATGAATCGGGCGCGTCGGGTTCTAATTGCACCGGCGACTCGAGGAAGACGGGCGATTCGGCGAGCGTCTTTCGGGGGAGCGCTTTGGTGAAGTCTATTGCGCGCATTAGCTCGCTGACCACCAGTCGGGTGAGGGATGCATACTGGCTGGAAAGAGGCCCGTTTGGCCGGTTCTTAGATTTTTACCCAGATACCAGGCGTCGCCGAACTCTTCGTCGAGTTCGATCAATTCGATCCTATCCCGCGGCATCATGACCAGTTCATCTTCACCGCGACCACCGAAATCATCTGACCCATTAGCTTGCGATCGAGGTGTCGCACCCGACGTCACTCACGAAGAACCTCCAAAACGTCACCAGGACGAACGCCCTGAGGTGGACCCATGGTAACCATACTGAATGAATCAAAAGAATTGGAAATCGGATGCGCAATCATGCATCGAGCGCAAGCGCCCTTTCGGGTAAACAGAAAGAAATTAACAGAGAAGGGAGAGAATGTCGGAGGAATCTGAGCTGAGATGAGTTAGCTTGGACTAGTTGCGCGGGGTCTCGCACGCACCTCGAAAGCCAATTACTCTAGAACCGAGATGAGTATAATAAGCCCTCGGAAGAAAAGGACGAAGAGAAGAAAAAAATAAGTGAGGCGAGTGACGTGTGCGGACCGTCAAGAGTCTGGACACCAACTCCGTATGGAATTGCAATTCTTACTAGTAGTTAGGGAGGGGTATTTAGTACCTATGTAGGTATAGGGGATTTATTAGGATGTCGACTACTGTACTTATTATATGTGCGTCAAGCCTGAACCCGGCCATTCCTCAATCCCCTTAATTATTGTCACGCCGAGAACAGCCTGCCAATACCCGTATGCTGGGCGATCGGAGAAAAACAGTGGTTTCTTTGTTGGCCCAACAAAGCGCCTTTTCTTTTTTTTCGGAAATGATGTGGAAAATGCCCTCGTCATGGTCTCCAATTCTCCCAGAGATCTCAGTCAATCTAATTCAACTGCCTTTCTGTTTCTAGGTAGCGCCCGGAGGAACTGGATGGAGCCTGTGGAGCCTCGACGCGAGATGCCTCCAGCTCCAGTCTTGCCCCATCCAAATGTCTCGGCAGAAAATGCTGTGTCCTTGACGACCGACATCCCCTCACGTGGCCCGAGGGCAGAAAACCCCGTTGTGACCCCGGCCACGATCCCGTCCCCGGCGCCCACCATTGTCCACCCGAGTCCCGGCACTTCGGATGTCCTGTCACCGTCAATCCCGACACCGGTGGATGGAAACAATGCTATGGCAGCTCGATCCCTCGACGATGCTCAACGGGACCCTCGCCCAGGAGATATAGAATCAGGGGTACCGGCAGGGCACACACACGGCATGCCCATGGGGAGAGGACCATCCTTTCCCAACATCTCTGAGGAGACCTGGTCCGAATGGCTGGCGCGGTTGGATGCATTGGTGGCCGATGTCTCGCGGAAGGGATTATTGAAGTCTCCCGCAGCGTCTGGGATCCTGAAACCTCGGCTGGAACTGCTGCGCAAGGCAATCACGTACCGGGACCCTTTCTACCTGGCAGTGCACCAAGTGTACTGCCTGTGTACTATTGCCCCATCGTACATAGGTCGCATGGGGCTTGCAGAGTCAGGGCTCCATACACTGGCCATGTTGGTGGAGGATAATCACAAGATGCATCTGATGGCTACGACCGCCTTCGCGCAATTCCCTGGTTCTCCAGAGCAATTGTTTGCGCAGGCCTGGTACCAGAATGCAATCAGAAGTCTTCCTTTGTTTCTCTCTCGTATGGCTAGCAGCTGGCTCCACTTCTGGGCTTCATCCACCCGTGCTCCTTTGGTGACGGAAATGGTCACACATTTTGCGCTGCCGGGGTCTCCAGTCATGATGTCGGTGATGTCCACCTGTATCACCCGGCATCTGCACCAAGAGAAATATGTGGGACAATTGCAGCGACTGTTCTGGGGTGATTGGATGTTCTGGCAAACCAAACAGCCCCATGAAAGAGCCCAGAATCACGATGAGACGCTCATACGGGAATATCTTAAATTCCCACGAGTGCCCCGTAATGAGCATCAGATTGTTCCTCCAAATAGACCAGTTGCATCCCATCCTACCAGGGTAGTTTCGCCTACTGTCCGCTCCCCAATCCCTGGTACCTCCCAGACTATGGTTCCTCATAGCTCGCCTGATGTTCGTCCTGTTACAACCCAAGTACAAGCTGCTCTCCCGGGGCAAGTTGGACAAATCCAGCAGCTTGGAAATTCACAAGCACAGGCGTTGGAAGGCTCATCTCCGCGACAGTGGGTTCAGGGTCCATCGCCAGTATATGGTGATCAAGTTCGTCGGATGTCAAGTCCCCTGAATCCTCAGTCTCAAGCCCAAGCGTCCCTACAAGATGCGCGCATACACGCACAAAGACAAATGCTGGCGCTGCGTCACGGACAAGTTTCCCCGTTTCGTAATCAGATGGGCGATGAATGGCATGCACGAGCAGCCAATCTCCATTCACTTCCAGCTCTTGCCACTTCAACCTCAGCATCCCCTGTGTCTCCAGCTCCCGCTCATCCATCCCCGGTTGCTCTCTCTCACAGTCACCCTTTGCCCAACACCCAGCGATCTCATTCTGCATCTACTCCCACAACCCAAACGGGCCATAATACTAGACCCGTTGTCTCGCAGTTGCCTCAGCACCCAGGCCATCAGCACTCTCCGGCTTCTCAATACCATATCGGATTACCTGCTCGACCTCCACAAGGTGTTCAGACACTACCGTCTCGCCATCCCAACCTATCTCCGGGGTTGCACCCTTCCAATCTACCTCATCCCCCAAGCTTCTCCCCTCAATCACCCATACCGTCCCAACTTTCCTCACCTCTATTTCCGGCCCCTGGTTACCGGGCGCCAGTGACTGTGAACGGTGATCCCTTACGGCTCGGACTACACCTAGCGAATCTCCGGGACCCAATGAAGAAGTTGGTGAAACCAGGTCCGGATGGACAAATGACAGATGCCGAACTGTTTGCTTATTTTGGCACGTTCCTCGTCCTGCCATGTCTGATCAAGGTTGATGAGCCGGGTTATACCTGGAAGTTCAATCTCAACAAAGGCGATCTCAGCAGTTTTCCAATCACCACCGGTGCAAGCGACAAAGGTCCCATGACACGGACTTACAAGCCTGGCAATCGCACTGTTCGCCTCCGATGCATCAGTCATGCGGGAGATCCAAACTCCTTTAGTCACGACAGATGGACCACCAGTCCCACGTCCTGGCCCAGCGTGTTCTACATCCACGTGAATGGCAAGGAACTACAAGTGCGTCGCAAGGTCCAACACCTCAGGGACTTGGCGCTGGATATAACCAAAAGTCTCAAGGAAGGCGAGAACATCATTCAAGTAGACCTGCTTCTGGGCCCCGATGAGTGCAAAAAGAGCAGCTACTTTTTTGCTGTTGAGGTCATGGAAGTAACTACCCTTGAGAACGTGCTCAGTTTGGTGAAGACGACTTCGGCCGCCGATTCTCGCGCTGAAATCACCAAACGCCTTTCTTCCCTCGCTGATGATGATGATTTGGCGTTCGTCACCGACAGCCTGACCATCGGTCTTGTTGATCCTTTCACGGCTCGAATTTTCGACATTCCTGCTCGCTCTAAGTATTGCAACCACCGGGAATGCTTCGATAGGGATACATTCATCCAAACTCGGAAGTCTGTCTCCGGTCCGGGTCCAATGATTTATGAGTGGCGGTGCCCAATTTGCAAGGCAGATGCACGCCCCCAGCTGCTCATTGTGGATGGCTTCCTTGCTGAGGTGCATGCGCAACTTATCCGGACCAATCAACTGGAGGGAGCTACAGCAATCCAGATCAAGGCTGATGGCACCTGGACTCTCAAAGCCAGCGAAGAGACATCATCCGAGGCTCAAAAGAACTCTTCAAAATCAGCTTCACTCAAGCGCAAGGCCCCTGATGCAGCAACCTCTCATCATACGGCTATGCAAACAAAACAAGAACCCAACAAAAGACAGTCCCCATCAACCCTGTCGAATAACCACGAGATCATTGAGCTGGATTGACATCTTCCAAATCCCGTTCTTCACTGTTAATTCGCCTTTGTTTACAACTTTCTTCCTCTTTCTTCTCAGACTACAGAGACCTGGAAACATTGCCTTCGGGATTCCTGTTCTTCCATCCTTATCGTGTTCTAGTCGTCACCTTTGTTTCTTTACATCTGCATGCGTTTGAAAAAGCAAGATACCCCATGCTGCGTGCTACCCTAACGCTTTTGCTTATTATTACTGGCGCAAGACGACTTGGTTTGACATCACCTTTTACCCAGGTAGATTTCCAAAGTTCGTTGTTCGCTCTCTATGGGCAGGCGTTTGGATTGGAATGGAGAAAACTGCATAAGTGCCATGGAAAGCCATGTGCTTAGATGTCCTCTACTTCGAATCTCAATCAAATTCTGTTCCATTTCGCTTCCAGAACCGATCAGACTCTTTCGTAGTAACCCCTAGGTCCTGTAAAGCATCAGTCTATACATACAAAAAGGAAGGCATTCTCAATCAGTGGAGATTTCGCTATTGAAATTAGATTATACAGAATTTATTATGTTGGACATTTAAGCCCCATATGCTCGAAAGAGAAAAGACTATTTCCTGACTCTCCGAACATGGCTAACAAGGTTCTCGATAACGCCCTCGAAAGCCTCTTTCTCACCAACCAGGCCATCCCGCCTTTTGAGCCAGTGTTCAAGCACCGTGCTAGCGCGCTGAGTAACCTGTTCCAGTTCCCCAACATGCAACTTCAATTCCGCGTCCGTGAGACCATTCAGCGCAGCATCAGTAGTAGCGCACAGTCGACGGACCGCCGAGAGGTCCATGCCCGGTGGGGATGGATCGGTACGCCGAGACGTCTTTTGGCGTGGTGGCGGCGCCTTTTCGGGGTCTGTTGGGGTATCATCTTTGCGGGCTTGGCTGGTTGAGCGGGGGCTTTTGGCGCCGGAACCTTCTAGGTCGATGGAGGGGAGGACGAGCTTTTTCTGTTTTGAGGCGGGGAGGATCTCATCAAGATCGACGGGGACGCCTAGTGATACGAGGAATAGACGGCGGATGCGGGATTTGACCCAATTTTGGGGTTGGAGGGGTGGTGGTGCCACGAGTTGGGACCATAGGGAGAGAGAGCGCTCCGTGCTGAAGATTGCGGCCGAATCTGGGATTGGCTCGACTGGAGGCAGGGAGCTGAGGTTGTCGTATGAGGGGAAGAGGGTGTTTAAGGTGTCTTGGAGAGAGTTGAGGAGTTCAGAGGTTGATTTGAAGGTGTTGAAATCAATGATAGGAGGCTGGTGTTCGTGTTAGTTGGAGGGTAATAGTCTTGAGGTTTTGAGAACGTACGACTGATGGGAGTGTTTGATGCTGTTGAGATGCTGTGGTCGTGTCTGCTGGAGGCTCCTCAACATCCTCTGCGCTGGGCTCTTGAAAACCGTCGTCAAAATCTCCAAAGTCATCGTCTCCCATGTCTTCCTGCTCTTCTACAAATTCGTCAAAGTCATCCCCCATTTCTTGCTCGTCTTCTTGCTCGTCGTATTCATCATATTCTTTCGCATCCTCTCCCAAAGAGAGACTCTGGACTGGAAGCTGAGGGTCATCAGACAATGAAACATCTGGAACCGTTTCTACCGTATCCGGTAATGTGTCGCTTGGTGCGCTCTGATGAGCCTGTGGGTGTGGCGACGATTCTTCATCGGTAGGTATGGTATCAACACGTTCGAGTCGTGTCTCCGGGATAATTTGTTCAGAAACATCAACCTTCGGGGATGTAGGGTCTAGAGCTGGTGGTGTCGGACTACCCTCCGAGTCCGAAGCTTTTGTAACCATGTCAGGAACGGCATCGGCGAGGCGCTTTTCGTTTGCCAAGGTGCCCGGTACTTCGCCGTAGCTAGGTTCATCTGGATCAACCTTCTCAACCATTGTCCGCGGGATCGGTGAACCTTCGGACTCAAGAGGTTGGTCCTCCGACCCCGCGGCCGAATCGTTCTGGCTGTGTGTACCCTCTGGAATCACTTCAACTTCGTCGGGCACGGCATCTTGTCCTCTCGTTTCGAATGCCGCTGTGCCGGGTACCTCGCCGAGTTGAGCGTCGCTGTCGACCTTCTCGACTCGCGTTCGTGGGACAGGGGAAGTGCGCCCAGATTGTGGGAGCGCCTGGGGTTCTGCGTTGCCTTCGCTAGCATCCGAGAAGTGTTCGTCTTCGCTTTCGGAGACTGTGGATATAACAGGTCAATTCTAAGTTCGCAAATTATTCACAGCAAAGTATAGGCACATACTATGGTCACCAGCTCCTGAATCTTGCATTTCAGTGGTCTTCTTGGGGGGCTCTAAATGCGAATTGGACAGATCGGACGGCCCCTCCGACATGATTGCAGCTTGGAGTCAGGATGTTAACATGTAAGAGGGGGCACCAAGACTAAATAAATCGAGGGCTATGGGGTAGTGTGGGAGTGACGACAGTTGTTTCCCTTGCGATCGATGTGAGTCCAGAACATATTGGCCTCAGGCATTAATATCTGCCATGTCTCCCAGGTGTCGATAATGTGCGCCTTGGTTTCAAGGCGGTCACGGCTGCGCGTGCCAAACTCCTTCCGATTATTGTTGCTGCGACCTGGGATTTTCTGTTGCTTCTCCTCATCCCATCCTCGGACTCTTTCACCGGTTCTTTAGATTAAGAGCACTGCTCTCTTATCGCTGGATCTTTGATCCATACTGCAGGACCTCATTTCCCTGCCTCGTTTCGCTGGCGCTCTCTCTCTCAGTCCAGCTTTTTCCCCATCACCGCAAGCTCCCTCACTCACCTTGACCGCGCCACCACCACACTATGGCATTCTCTTTCGGCGCACCGGCCTCAACCGGCGCATCGAGCGGAAGTCTGTTCGGCACAGCAGGCAATGCGTTCGGCGCCAACAAGGACAACAATGCGTCCGGCGGTGGTCTTTTCGGAAACGTTGGAGCTTCGTCTGCCGGCACTAGTACCACGCCATCTCTGTTTGGAGGGAACACAGGTACTGCCAATGCGCCTTCGGGTGGCACTTCGAGCTTCAGCTTCGGCAACCAAGCTAAGCCCGGAAATGCCCCAGCCGCAGGTGGTTTGTTCGGTGGCATCGGCAGCCAAACCCCCAACAAGACTACGGAATCTTCAACACCTGGACAGCCTGCGAGCAGTGGAATGTTTGGCGCTACTCCGGCCACAGGAGGTACAGCAGGAGGGTTGTTCGGCGGTGCAGGATCCACGGCCACCCCTGCTCCCGCGGGGGCCAATCTGTTTGGCAACAACTCGACTACCCCCGCTGGACCTCCACCAGCAGCGAATCCTCCAACCGGCGGCCTTTTCGGGGCAGCGAAGCCCGCTCCCGCCGCTACTTCCACCGCAGCATCTACCACTCCCGCTACTTCGCAGCCATCTAACAACCTATTCGGTGGGGGAGCTGCCCCCAAGCCGGCGTTCGGCGGTGGTATGTTCGGTGGTGCAAATAAGCCAGCCGAATCAGCTACTCCCTCAGCTCCTGCAGACGCCTCTGCCAAGCCATCATTGTTCAACGCGGCCCCGAGCGGTGCGCAATCGCAGACACCCTCTCTTTTCAACAAAGCACCAGCTCCTGGCGGAGATTCAGCCCCGAAGCCTACATTCCCGGCGCTCGGCGGCGCTCCTTCAGCCACAACATCTAGCACAACTCCCTCTCTCGGAGCCACAGCCACATCAAGCGCCACGCCCCAAAAGTCTTTGTTTCCCTCAATGGGAGGTCCCACTTCCACAGCTGCTCCCTCGAGTACTCCCGCGGCAGCCCCTACGGGTGGTCTTTTCGGCGGAATTGGCAGCTCCGCTCCCTCCACAACTCCTGGAACAGCAACAACTACCGCCCCTGCTCCCGCGCCCACCGCTCCTACCGGGGGGCTGTTCGGAAACGCTGCATCTTCCACCCCCGCGACAACCTCTTCGGCCACTACTACGGCCCCTGCTTCCGGGACTCAGACAACTGCGGCGCCAGCTCCAGCCATGGCTGCACCTGCTAGCACTGCTCCGACCGGGGCTTCTGCGCTTGGCCAATCCACCACCGGTCCTGCCCCGCCTGCTCAGTCGCGCTTGAAAAACAAGACCATGGATGAAATCATCACCCGGTGGGCTACAGATCTTGGTAAATACCAGAAGGACTTCCGTGAACAGGCGGAGAAGGTTTCTGAGTGGGATCGTCTCCTGGTTGACAACGGTACCAAGGTCCAGAAGCTTTATGGTAGCACTGTTGATGCGGACCGCGCAACCCAGGAGGTTGAGCGCCAGTTAGCAGCAGTTGAGGGCCAACAAGATGAGTTGAGCTCATGGCTGGACCGATATGAACATGAGGTGGATGAGATGGTCACCAAGCAGGTGGGCCCCGGAGAATCTCTTCAAGGGCCTGACCAAGAGCGCGAGTCAACGTAAGTATCAGTGCGCTCCCTTTCCTCGGAACTCTATCACTGACAATCTTGATAGTTACAAATTGGCCGAGAAACTCTCAGAGCGCTTGGACGAGATGGGCAAGGACCTCACCAGCATGATTGAGGAGGTGAACGGCGCTTCATCCACCTTGAGCAAGACCAACAAAGCGGACGAGCCGGTACGCCAAGACTTTTCTTTGAATAATATACATGATGCATCTGCTGACTTCTCGCTATAGATCTCGCAAATCGTCCGCATTCTCAACGCACACCTGTCCCAGCTGCAGCTCATCGACCAGGGTACCTCTGATCTGCAGACTAAGGTTGCCGCGGCCCAAAAGGCAGGTCAATCGATCTCTGCCCGTCTCGGGTACGGTTATAACAACAGCGGCATGGGAAATGACAACACTGCTGATGACTTCTACCGCTCCTTCATGCAAGGACGGTAAACGGGGGATGATGGTCGCTCTTAATGATTTTTACCTGGAGTTATCGGCTATTTGGCACCTCAATGGGCTTTGGGGGATGTACTATTGTAGTCAGGAAATGCTAATAGTCGGTCACAATAAACTGTTTGCATGCACTTCAATGATTTCCAAAACCTTGATCCATCCATGGATGCCAGCTGGTGTGGCAGGACCTTCAAGGTTGGGAGGAGAGAATGTTTACATAGGTATGGAGTAGTTGATTATTTATACAGAACTTCCCGTATAGAGCATTAAGACCTGGGGAAATTGCAAGTTTGCATCGAGGTAGAGAGCCCTGGGGCTTGGCCGGGTCCACGGGTGTATATCATGGATAAACTCACACGTACCAACCTACCTAAGCGATGTCCAGGATTACTAGTACGCACTATGGAACAAGGTCTTCTTCACACCAAGAAACAAATCAGGACAATATCAGAGAGCTTTCGCTCACTTTGTGATCCAACATTCATCCGAACAATACACCCGTGGACCTAGGCCTTTGAGAAACCTTGAAATAAGCCAACCTGGAAAGCTTACTCGGTGCCTAGTTAGAAATTACTATAATCCATGAATCGACTTGCGTTTGTTCTCTCTACAGCTTCTTCTGTCCAATTCGGGAGCTGAGGGCGTGACGCCAATGAGAATACAACTTGAGGTTTCTTGGCCGAGGTGATGTTGTGGAATATCAACACTATAAGAGTGTCATTTGCTACTATCTTTGGAAGGTCTCTACTTAAAGAGAACAAGAGAACTGTCTTAGAATAGCCTCAATACTAGGGGTATCATGTCACCGGCTCAGAACTTCCACCACACTGAGCAGGAAACCCTTCCAGTAAATCCATGACCTCCTCTGCCCTGAGTCGCTTTGTGAGCGGTGCCCCCACGGTATTCTCCTTCGCAAGATGTATGGGAAGCTGGCCCTGGTTGTTCGTGACAAATCGATCGGCACCAGCCTCAAGAAGGAGCTTCACAAGCGCAGGTTCATATCTCCTCGCTGCTAAATGGAGCGGTGTATTGCCATCTGCATCTTTTGGCTGCACATCAGCGCCTTGTTGCAGCAAATGCTTTACTGCCTCAAGAGAGCCACCCAATGCTATTTTGTGTAGCGGTGTAGAGCCAGCCTCAGTTGCAAGGCCTGGATCGGCCCCGTGCTGGAGCAAAAGCTTGCACAGCGCATCTCCCTTTGACACTGCAATGTGGATTGGCGCGATCCCCGAATCATTTGGCTCATTTGGATTGGCACCTCGCTCCAGCAAGAACGAAGTTATACCAACAGGCATCGAATCAGCCCCAACGAAGACAGTGGTCTCCCAGAGTATTGCCATGAGTAGCGGTGTGTGTCTTTTGTGTGACTTTGCCTCGATATTTGCGCCATGATCCAACAAAAGCCTTGCCACTTCGAGATGGCCATTGTAGCATGCCGAATGGAAGGGTGTGAACCCTTCATTATCTCTGGACTCCATGTCGACGCCTTTTTCCAACAATGGCTCGATGGCCTCCAGGTTGCCTTTATGAGCGGCCAGGTGTAGTAACGTTCTTCCCTCGGGGGTCCTTTTACCAAGATCAGCACCGGATTCAACGAGATAACGCAACACATCGGAAGAGCCTTCTTTGCAGGCGATTTGCAGAGCAGTTTCAGAGAAGTGCGAGAGCGCTTCCAGGTCGGCCCCTTTCTCGACCAGAAGCTTCGCGATTGCCAGTCGGTTACGGGGAGACTTTCGGGCTGTGATGTGCAATAATCTATCTTCGTTTGTGCATTGGAAGTTTGGATCCACACCATGGTCGAGCAGCACTTGAAGCACACTTGCTTTGTTGCCGTAGACAGCTATTGTGATGGCATTGGTAGAAGATCGATTTTTCTTGGCGTAGACATCGGCGCCGTGTGCGATGAGAAGGGCAGCAATATCTGCGTGCCCTGAGCGGGCGGCTTGGCCCAAAGGTCGAAGATCAAATTGTGTTGATTCAACATGGGCACCTTGCCGAAGTGATTTTTGAGCTGTTTGTAGTTGGCCATGTTTTGCTGCCCAATGAAGTGCGTCTCCGTTGTGGTTTTTGACATTGTAGGCGTAGAGAACCGGATTCAATAGACCCCAGCAGCGACGATCAGCTTGTGCTAATGAATTTAGGTCGCTCTGGGACTCCAGTGCTTCCGCTATCGCTAGCAGGAGCTCGTTCGGTAAGGCAAGGAGAGGCATGGCTGGGTAAGAATCTGCGTGACATGCCCTTTGTGTAAGTATTCAGAGCTTGCAGTGTGTCACCTATTTTGAGCGCTGTCTCCAGGTGTTCAAATCACGAAGATGTCTCATACACCGTCGGATGTCTCCTGGCGGTCCCGCTTGCCAATGTGTGGGGACTGGGCGATCTGCATACTAGCAGCAGTAGTGCAAGTACCCAGGTGGATCGCCAAAATCGGGGTTGACAGAGTGGCCCTGAAAGTATGAGCTTCATGTTTGCTTTTGTGAGGAATGGAGTGAACTGACTCTGAAGTGATCCAACTGAGTATCGCATAGTAAAATACCGATGGCAAATATTATCCGACTTCCAAGGTTCCCGAAGTCGCGACGAATACGAATACCTCGGGAGTAGAGAACAACAACTCTGAAGACCTTCAATACTTTCCAGGACATGCAAGTTATGGACATACTCATACGGAGAAGAAATGTACTGATCAAGCAGAGTAACGACGAACAGGCATGGCGATTTCTCACACTCTGGGAACCCAACAAGCCGAAGTCGAGGTGAAATTGTAAATGTTGATGATGCTTGCGGTTGTTCAGTGTGAGCTGACTTGAGAATTTACCAGGACTACGAGTATACTGTGGATCGTGGGAAGAGAAGACTGGCTGAGGGACTCCAAATATGCTATGCAGAGACGTCTTCTTGAAGCACAGGTACTAGAAATCAAAGGATTTCAAGACGGCGAACAGCAAAAGGACTTGCTAAAGAGGAGATGGTATTATACATAGCAGATTGAAGTGGCTCATATCTGCATATGAAGGGAGCCATTAATTTATTTCTTGCTCAAACCGTCACTATAGGTAGGCCGAGGTCAGCTATGCTTGTAACTCGTGCGCCCGGGCAGATGAATGGACGGAAAATAGCCCGGATGATGACGAATGAAGATCTGAGCGATGGGTTGAGCCATGTACTTACATGTGGTTCTCGAGGTCATCGAGGTGCTGGCGCTGCTCGCCGATCTTCTTCTTCAGCTGGGCGAGCCTGCAAGGTCGAGGTTAGATTGATTGCTCTGGTTGGCCAATCGTCTTGAGAAAGAAGTACTTACTTCTCGAGTTCCTTCTCACGAATGTAGAGGCTCTCTTGGGCAGCTTCGCGGCGGCTGAAAGAGTCACTGGAGGGAAGTTAGCCATCGTCATTCAGATATGATATCACCTAAACGCAGCAAGGCAGACTAGCAGTGGTCTGTGGTAGCTGCGGCAGATGACCGCAGTCCATGTGCATTTCACCTACCCAGTGCTCTTGCCGCCGGAGCTGCGGGGAGCGCCGGTGTCACCCTCACCCAGACGGGGGACAGCCGCCGAGAATGAGCGGGTGAACACTGCCCGGCTGGCGGTGTTGGAGGAACGGACAATGGATTGACGAAGCATTTTGAGTGAATTGAAAGGTGGGATTATTTCAGGGATGGACAAAGGTACAGAAGGTGAGGAGAAGTACAAGTAGGCACAACAGCTTCCAAGGCTACGATGACGTTACGGTGCCAAGACATGTCAGGTGATGGTGAGCTTATGTCACAACCATGATCATGTGACAGAAATTTCAAAATTCTGTCGATAAGTCGACGCGCTCTCATTCGACTTGATTTTGGATCATGGGACGATGACGGGAAATACACAAGATGAGATGACTCAAGCCTCTGGGGTTCTAGATGCTCCCCTCGCACATTAAATATTTCAATCTCTGGCAATGTACTCTCGGCCAAAGTAAGGAACCGGGCAATTAGCGGCTGCGGAATGGGGGATGACGCTGTAGAGGCCCACCGAACCACACAGAAAAGACGAGGTGACCTGTATACAATGAAGGGGGCTTTAGCTAGCGGGTTGAAGGCGATTGTAGCAAATAAAACCAGGAAGCTCTTGTGACCCCGAAAAGAGGCTCCTAGTGGTGTTTAGTTCAGAAATAACCAAAGTGGGTTCCCAACAACAGAAGGCGGTGTTAAGACTGCCCCCCCTCTTCCTCCTCTCAACTTCCCTCAATCAACTAACCTCCTATTCTCCCTGTTCATCTATTCTCATCCATTTCTCCTTTCTCACTTTCCACCTCTACAAACCAGGTCAGTGTCTTCCTGTTCTTGTCCAGTCCGATGTACTGCCCTATGGCCCCTGTTCCTGCCCCCTCTCGACCACCACAAATCCCACACACACAATCCTAGCCAAGAGACAGCGAGACAGCGAGACCCCACTCCATCTCCCTTTTTTCTTAAGCAAAAGTCCATCCAAGACTCCTGTCAATAAAGATTCGCGCCCCAATTTGGATGGTGGCATAGACTTGGATGTTACGGACTCCTTGTTTACCCGCTGAACGGGTTCCCGCGACCGCTTTCTCACGATACCCAACTATGGTCGGGTGGAAAAGCACCGCGAGGCTGGATCTTCAGGATCGACCATTGTTCGACTCATTGGTTAGATTGGGGACATGTCTGGAAAATTGACCTGGATCATTCTCATCTCAGACGGCACTCGAGGGGTCAAGATCTACCCCTCGTCATCGTTCGCCTTGCGAATGGCGTGATCTCGCACACCTTCATTTCAAGAGCATACACAACTTTTTGCGAATCTCAAGCTAACCTGGGACTGTAGATATCACTCTTTCACCATGGGTCAAGAAGATGCCGTTTACCTCGCCAAGCTCGCTGAGCAGGCTGAGCGCTACGAAGGTTGGTCATACAGATTTTCACAGCATGCTTGGACTTTCTGACCCGGTATGACAGAGATGGTCGAGAACATGAAGGTCGTTGCCTCGGCCGATGTTGAACTCACCGTTGAGGAGCGCAATCTCCTGTCCGTCGCCTACAAGAACGTCATTGGTGCCCGCCGTGCCTCCTGGAGAATTGTCACCTCGATCGAGCAGAAGGAGGAGTCTAAGGGCAACGAGTCCCAGGTCACTCTCATCAAGGAGTACCGTCAAAAGATCGAGGCCGAGCTTGCCAAGATCTGCGATGATATCCTTGAGGTGCTCGACCAGCACCTCATCAAGTCCGCCCAGTCTGGCGAGTCTAAGGTCTTCTACCACAAGATGAAGGGTGACTACCACCGTTACCTCGCCGAGTTCGCCATTGGCGATCGCCGCAAGGGTGCTGCCGACTTCTCTCTCGAGGCCTACAAGGCCGCTACCGAGATCGCCGCCACTGACCTTGCTCCCACCCACCCCATCCGTCTCGGACTCGCCCTTAACTTCTCTGTCTTCTACTACGAAATCCTGAACTCCCCCGACCAGGCTTGCCACCTCGCCAAGCTTGCCTTCGACGATGCTATTGCTGGTAAGTCTGAGCAGGTTCCATTTGTTTGCCTCGGTACATAGGCTAACTCATCTCCCACAGAGCTCGACACCCTGTCCGAGGAGAGCTACAAGGACTCCACTCTCATTATGCAGCTCCTCCGTGACAACCTGGTTAGTTGCTCCCTCGAAGAACCTCCCGGACTCCCGCTAACCTTTCCCCTTTAGACCCTCTGGACCTCGTCCGAGGCTGATGCCAGCGGTGACAGCGCTGCCGCTCCTGCTGAGAAGAAGGAGGAGGCACCTGCCGCCGAGGGCGAGAAGCCCGCCGAGTAAACGAGTAACACATAAAAAGACCTTGATGATGGACTCACGTCCTCAGGATGGATGGGACACCCTGGCGAGGACGCGCATGACGGGGTCTCTCGGCGCAAGGACATAGAGTTGAGAAGAAGGGAAGAGAACCATGAGATTCGCTTATTCTGATGACGGCCTAGATTATCGTCGCGACTCGCAAGGGTCGGCGTGAGAAATATTCCGGCATCTATGATGCTTCTTTGGTCCCCTTCTACTTCTGATCCTCTCTGTCCATGCTATGGTATATCCGTTGTGTTTTTGCTCTCTGGGGGCATCCCGTCCCTTTTCGTTTTTCATTCTCCCTGTTATTTTGTCTACTTTGCCTCTGAACTACCCAAAGAGTCCCCTTGCGCGCACTCAGCCCCAACACACATACACACACGGACCACAGATTCTTTTTTTTAAACCAGGTCCTTATCAGGACTTCAACGAGGGTATCCTGCCGATCCCTGGCGTGGCCGATTTCCCATTTTCTTATTCCATTTCCGTATCTGCCAGGGTGTTACTATCTCTAGATGTGAAAAGATTTCGTATTTGCATAAGAATCACTTTAAGTCGGACTTCACAGCCTCAATATACTCAGCCACATGGGCTGACCCATCTGTGAAATTGCAGGCTGCGAGATCTATAGGGGTTCACGCACTCACCCCAGTCCAACACCCTTGGAACTTAGATTCAACCTACCCACCCCACTGGGCATCACAAAAGTCTACAAAAGTCCACAGTACAAAAGTCCTTCGAAAAGAATAAAATAGAACAATAATTACACCCAATGTACTCGATGTATGTGCCTGACTGAAACAGGAGATAACCCTGCCCTGCGAACTAATCCACCAGTTCAGCGCCACGCTGTACGAATTATGCCGTACGGAGTCCACGTCGACATCGCAGCGCATTGTAAACTGCAGGCGTTAAGCACTGAAGCACGAGTGGAGACACGGTTCGGATTCTGCATATGCCCCTACCCTGCGGAGGCCTCGATGATATCAGTGGCTGTGTCCCCTTAGGCGCTGACGAGCGGATGCGCAGCCCCTACGCTGTCATATCCCGACAGATCGTCAATCGAGCGGGATATCCCATTGGACGTGTATAGTGACTCATTGCGCATTTCCGGGGTATTAACAAAGTGGATATGGTTGATGGCCAGGGGGGGGGGAGGGTCGATCATGAATTGCATGAATGACTTGGGGGAACCTTGGGAAATGGGACTGGGTTTGAATAAGGGTTGAGATCTACTTCTGCACGGTTGAAATTGAAATGATTTCCTTTGCTGATAATGGTTGAAACCAGAATACTACCAGCTATACGAGCCCGATGAAAAGGGGTATGAGAACAGATAAATATAAAAAAAGAGGGAGAAAGGGGGACTTGAGACATGCACGTTCTTCGGGAACGAAGGTTGGCAAGCGCAAGGAGAAATATAGTCGCGATGATGGTACAAAGCGACGTCTCTTCTGTCCCTGCGGTGGTGATCGGGTAATGAGATCGATGGACCCGCGGGACGAAGGAAGTTGAAAGAGAAATGAAGATGTGAGAAAAGAGAGAAAAAACGCAGATGTACAGAGAGCCCCCCATAAACTTGAGAGGGCATATGAGAGGAAAGATAGGCAGATAAATGGACTGCTCCGAAAGACCCCTGATGCTTTCCACTTTCCATGCCGTTTCTGCTGTGGCGATGACCGTACCCATGCAATGCCAATGCCCAACAAACATTTCCAGTGAGGCTCCAGTAAGAGCTATTCAATCAAACCAAGTCTAGTCCCAGTCCCCGAAACGCCCAAGGTGCTATGCATCGAAAGACAAATAAAGAAAGAGAGGAAAAAAAATACACGTGAAGCATGTGTTCACAAATCCGCCGTAGGAAAGAAACGCCAAAGAAGAGAGATAGGTGGAGAAAATGAAGCCCAATGATGTCGACGGTGTCGGAAAGAGAGGCAGGGTGGCCACTGCGGGAGATGAGAGTAAGGACGCACACCGACTTTGATGCAGGAGGATCACGGAAATCAAATGCCAAGAACTCAGGTGGCGAGCCACTCGACGAATGTCATGGATGAAATGATGTCACGGATGATCCCTTGAACTAACCCCTTGAGTGATGGATTCGAAATCAGCCTCATCACTGGTTCGGCGGTTGGCCCCGGTTGACCAGGGGAACTGTGGAGTCCCTGATGAGGATGTGGCGTAGAAGCGAAAGGAGATTTGAAGTAGCCACTCGAACCAGTCGGGTGGAAGATGTGATGTGTGAGTAAAGTGGCGGGAATAAGTTTTCCTTCCCGATGACTGCTGACCCATTGCGGAAGAGACTCGTATTGCCAGTAATCCCAATCGTGTTGTCTATCAGACTGTAACATGCTGGTTGAAACAGCACCAATAGAAGCGACCGGGCGGATCATGCGAGGAGAAGGACAAAACCAGTCGACCAGGGATATCATTGTAATGGGACAAGTGAAAATAGAGCGAAACTCGGCAGAAAAGAGCGACCGTATGTGGCGCATCGAAAGAATATTGTCGTAGAAAGAAGGCGACCCTTCCCGATTGACGTTCACGGGATGGGATGTTGCACCATGGTATGTATTGTTTGAATGGCCCAATTTATCGCGCTTTGCGTGCTTTCGTGCTGCGGGTCATTTCACTCTTGGTCATGTTGCGAGTAAGACCACCAATGTAGTCCTGTAAAATCTTGTTCTCGTTTTCCAGCTTGTCGTGGTCTGATTTGACCGCATCGATACGTTCGGCGAGAGCCTGAAGGGACGATTGGAGTGCCTTGGCCTGTCTATTAATCCGGATGTTAGCTTCGGGGAATTCCAGCAAGTTAGCGTAATCCAGATTCCGGGCTTACTCTTGAAGAGTCTGTCTGGCTTCCTTGCCTAGTCGCTCGAGGTCGGCGGAATTGCGTCGTGGGCTCATCGCTCGGGCATCATCGGGAGGGAACTCTTCCTCCTCGATCTCGATTTCGGGATGGTCCCGCGGGACCAGGATGGACGCGCTCGGTTTGCGGCTGGCCATTCGGGGACGTTCTGATCGGCCTCGCCGCTCGGTTTCTGCGTCGGATATTGATGAAGATGATGAAAGGGATGACATATGCATGCGGCCACCGTCGTTCGGTTGCGGCAGGGTGTCAACAGGAGAGGCTTCAGTCATCTCTGTATCTGTTGCCATATGGATAACTGCTCGAAAGATGCAAGATCGAAGAGACGTCCAGGGTTGCGGTGTGTAGAGATGCCCACGATTGGGGGGAGGGAGGGGAGAGAGGGGGTATGGCGGATTGAAAAAGGCCGGAGGAAGAGCGGCTGATGAACGACCACGGTCTACCCCTAGCGATGTACCCCAGACGAGAAATCTGTGTTACGCTTGAGGTAGCTACCGGGGTCGGTGGAAAGTCGAAAGGGAAAGGGAGATTGAGATGTAATGAAGACGACCGGGGTCGACTTTTTCGAGTTGACGGAACGCAATTTCGAGTTGAGGAGAGGGGGAGCAAAGGGCGAAGGGTGAAGTTCTTTGAACAAGCTCCGAAGCGGACAGGACCAAAGGGCTCACAAAGGTACCTAGGTATGCAAAGAGGAGGGAGGGAGAGGGAGAGCCGAAAAGAGCTTTGGGGAAAAAGGAAGAGAGTTTAGGTCGGTATCGGCGTTACGGCAGAGGGTATGTACATGGTAGTTACCTTGGTTGTGGTGCGCCGGGTGCGGTACACGGTGGTACCATTGGAGTTCCCGGTGGATTGTCTATCTTAGCACCTTTTTCAGTAGGTGGAGGAACCCAAGTCCCTTGGTTTGAACGATCATCCCCCCGAGAGGGTTTTCTTTCTCTTATTTTTTTCTTTGTGTCCCTTTTATTTTTCCTGGCTTAATTTTGGGAAGAATCTCAATGTTGCCCGCAACGTTCTGATCTATAGGCGTAGTGACGTTCGCGCGTGGCAGCCACAGGAGACCACGATCATTAATGTAGTGTACGGAGTCCTTCGATGACCATCCAGAAAACCGAACCGAAGGTTTCTACAGGGGGAGAAAAAAGAAAAAAGAGGGGGGGGGGGAGGGATTCGTGCAAATGAGAGAGGCGCTCAGGAACCCAACTAGCCAACTAACGGGTTTAGGGCCAGCTGGTTCCCCTTTCCACACCTTCCGGACAAGTACCCGGTACACCGCTGTTCCATATCTGCGATGTGGTCCGACCAGGTACTCGATACATGCTCGGTTCCACTCCCCACCGCCAGTGTGGCATATTGGATTTGACACGTATTGGTGTTTTCGTATTTCCCAGCTTTAATTACATCGTGAGGTTGTTCCTCGTTCGGTCATACCGGTATTCCCCCGTGTGGGTATGGATGGCTCAGTTATTGGATTGCCCCTCGTCCGACACGATGACCCTCTTTCAATTCCAGTCATGATACTATTGATAGCCGCAGAGGTGAGAGGCTATGTCCCATATACACCATGGCACATGTAAAAAGGATACCGGCTTCAGGGGAGGGGGGGCATGCAATGTCGATCGAGCCTCAGAGTAAAATGAGCCTTGATCATTGGTCCACATTTATCATTCACGCGGACATTACCTACAGAGCCTACGATGTGGGAGAGTACCAGTATGGACGGAGTAGTACACTTGATAGAAGAGGATATTGCCCCGGGATCACCTCATTCTCGGACTTAGTTGGTACACATATACCTCCAGGGTCAGGCTTCTAGCGAATTCCAAGCATTGCCCGGCTCCGATACTGGATTCGATGAAAACTCAAACATCCGCAAAGAGCGATTGCAAATAGAAGTCGGTGCAAAGAGGTACACTAGTACGGGGAAAGGAAAATGAATCCGAGCCATAAGGCATTCCTTGCCGCTTCCACCGCCACCGAAAGCAACGGGGCCAAATTCCATAGCAATGGGTAAAGATGCGCAGTGTCCCTTGGGAGTCAGTGATGCAGACAATTGGCACTGCTCCGCACCAAGCCCGCCTGTCGTAATATCCCGCAACCAGTCACCATCGCCGGTCCCCAGCCCACTCCAACATCAATGTGCGCCCAACGCTTGGGCTTCAGTCGATCCATTCCCGTGGGGTTTTGATATCCTCCTTTATTATTTGATGGACCGTTAGCCGAAATGGATGTGAAACTGTGCCATAAGCGCCGATCTTGTGAAACGACTCTCTGGTACGCAGTGGACCGGTACAGTGACAGTGCACAGCGCACAGCGTACAGTACTCCATGCTGGCGAACTGTGTCTGTACAGTAATTTCTATACTAGCCGTTACCGACCCAAGCCCTGGAGTGATGAATTGGCATCGAATCTGCCGACGCCACTCCGGTTTGACAGTTGGAGGGGATAGGTACATAATCTTCCGCGATGGCGACTCCCTAGCTCGTCGTGAACGTGGATTAGCTTTCGAACTGGAGGCCATTTCTGCCGACTCGTGTTGAGGAATATGATGAATCGTCCTAGCACTTCTCTCCAAACTCTTGGCTTTGCTTATGCTGTACACAACCCCTCCATGGGGGTATCAAACCAGTGGCGTGCGTTCCTAGATTCCGTGAGTCAGATGAGATCTTGAGCACAAGCATAATACGATCTTATAACATAATGTACGCTCAGGCCTGATAGTCCTGGGAACCCTGGTGAGAGTGTAACTCCCGCCTACTTTGCTTCACCGAAGCCTTTCCCAGGGGCGTGTGACACTGTTAGGCCACAATCTCGTCGGTCACGCTAAGGGTTAGAGTGCCTCGGTCCCGAGGTATTCGATATTGAATATTGGATATCGACAGACTATTCAATATTCAATATACTACCCGTGGACTACAGTATGCCCCACTCGAGGCGAACAAAAAACGTGGAAACGGGGGCAACTGAGACAGTCAACATCAGACCATGACGACGGTTTGCTATTATTACTTTGAACTGCAGTACTACTAGTATTTCATCTCCAGGGCTACCAGTACTGTACTACTACCTGTCTACAATACTGTAATCTTCACTCCGTCCACATCCCTTGACCTCAAACCCAAATATCCGCCGATCAGTAAATGCTGTTTGTTGCCCCACCGATACGAACGCGTCTCCCAAGGACAGAAGCGTTAAGGGCAGTTTAGTCGCTTAGGTGGAGTTGATTTTTTTGCCTTTGGGTGGGTTTTCTGAGTGGTCGCCTTCCCGTCTGGGAATATCACATCCAATCATCGTGTTTATGATCTTTGTAGACACACCCGTGGACATTATTACAACGTACTCCGTACTTTCGACAGTACTCGTACATGCTGCATAGACAGTCCGGGATGTTGTGCCCCGCAATGTTGGAACTTGCGTCAACGGCATTTAGAATCATTCTGTTCTCTGCCCGAATGCCATGCGCCATGCCATTCGTGCCTATTGGTGTGACCGCCTCAGCTGAGGGTTGTTGACGCATCAACCAGTTGCATGAACCTTGAGCTGTCCCGAAGATCCCAACTCCGCGAAACGAGAAAAGACCTCGCTTGGAGACGAAGATATCACGGGTTTCGCCGGTTGCGGGTGAAGGTGTTTCCGACATCGACCCGGTCTCACTCGCCACGTCTTCATTGTCGACTAGTATGAGGCTAAGTGAAGTTGACTCAAGCACAGCATGAGGTCCGAATTCAAAACGGTCGATGACGTCTCCCTTCAGCATTAGAGACATCCACAATTGATACCTCAGCCTCAGAATGTCTTGCAATATCTCCCGCTAAAAGCCAATATCCCCATCGGTAACACATAGCAGAGACAATTCTGTGTCGCTTGGTCGGTGACCCCTTCCTGCAGATCCGGCGATCAAGCAATCCTGTTTTTTCAGATCTAATTTCCTGTTTTGCGTGCCGTGCTCCCTGTGGGGATCGATCTCTCTGCGGAATGGGGCCTGAGGATCCATTCCGATGCCAATCACTTCCGGAAACATGACTTGTCGAGGATTTTTGATCTCCGTATTCGACCCTGCCGAGTGCTAAGGCAGCTGAGCGGCTGGGATAGTTTGATCGGCCATCTCGCTCGGCACTCATCAGCGGAACCGTGGAAATTCCTGTGGATCAGAATCCTGCGTATTCGAAGATACAAAGTGTGAGTACTGAGCACTACCTGTATGGATGTGAGGAATCATACCAGTAGTATCATGAACCAATGGGTGCGAAAAAAAAAACCTTGGAAAGAGTTGAAAACCCAAATAAAAGTAGAAATAAAAATATCATGACTCTCAGTGTCATTCACTGTACAGATATGCGGGAAATGAGAGGGTAAAATAGCTTCGAAAAAAGCGTCTAAACCTGCACTGACTCTAGGGAACGAAGCCTATTCACAGCCAAGCCTCCAACTTCGGCTCTATCAATGTCAGGGTAGGGTATCATAAGATTGCCACTGGTACAAAGCTCTCAACACAGCAATTCCTCCAGATTGGGTCTCCACTGAGCGGCCACGGCCACGGTCATTGTAGTCCATGGTGGCCTTGAAGCCTGCTTCCAAAGGCTCAGGGTCCTGTTCAGCGTTGCGGTAGTCCACAGCCCCAGGTGGTAATGCCTTGCTATCCACGATTCCGTCGGCCTCAAGCTGGCGCCATCCGCGACCCCACCAGGAACCAAACCTGCCCTCGCTGTCACGAGTCATCAAAGCAGCCCGCGCATTGTGCTTGATCCAGGGACCATAGGTGCGGCACTGTTGCAGATGACGCTCATACTTATCGCTCCAGTCGTCGCGATTCGGGTGACTGCGAGCCGTGTATGCCAGGAACCGGTTTTCTTGCGGTTGAAGAGGCCGACAGAACTCTGCCAAGTGGTGGAAGAAGATCCCCTTGAAGGTCTGGCCGTCTTGTGAGCATGTTGCACTGGCATCACATGCTTCCTCCAACACGCCTCCGCGGCCGAGACCCTTCCATTGCCGGTTGGAGATATGAGGCCACCCGGTGGCTTGCAGCACTCTGTCGATCAACTCATAACCGTCTTGGAGATATGCTTGGGACAATGTCGCAATCCAAAGCCCCCTCAGCCCGCTGAGAATGACTCCTTGATTATAGGTATAGACCATGGTGTTCAACTCGTCACACTTGCGCGAGCCTGGGTTTGTTGTGCCTTGCCAGCCACTGATATGGAAGCCATCTGCATAAAGGCCCCCAATGCCTGTCATGTTGGAATTCTTGAGCCAGTCGTATCCGTCAACAGCAGCTTTGAGATGGGCATAGTCGTGCGGGTTCCTTTGCAAAGATTCATCTCGCTCCGAGTCAACGATGAAAGGAGCGTCGATTGGGTCACCGGGGAAGTAAAGATACATCTCAATGCTTGCAGAAATATACAGCTCGTTTGTTATGGCGTTTTTGTACGGTAGCAGGTAAGGATTCCAGATCATACCACCATCACAGAGAAGCTTGTCCCAGCCAGCTGAGGCAAGTTCATAGAAGATTCGTGCTCTGTGGGCGGCAGGGACGCGAAACTGGGTGCCGTACCATGGTCTTTCGGAGCTGGCGTTGGAAGATTGATAGTGAAGATCGGAATGCAGATTCTGGAACTTGATGCTTCCCAGCCATCCAAGGACAACCCACAGCATGTCATCATATGCCTGGTTCCTGACACTGAAAGCGTTTTCTCCAAAGTAAAAGGCATTAGTGTCACTGAAGAACTTGTTGACCGTGTTTTCAAGTGTGAAGAACGACAGCCCTTGCACGCCATCTGAGTCGGGAATGTCTAGCGGCCCGGCGGATAAAGATGACAACGCCGCAGAAACGTGTGTTCCCAAAACCGCAGCGGTCCAATCGATGCTGGTCGGCCATGTACCTTGCCACAGCACGAAATACTTATCTTGCATCACTTGCAAGGCATCGATGAGATCTTCCAAGGTATCAAGAACAGGTTCGTGGGTTGGCTCTCCAGCCGTCGAATCACTGGCTTCCAACCCTGTCCCTTCGGATGAACCACCAATTACACTCCAAAGTTGAGATAACGCAGGTTCTGCTTTCATAACATCCTGATGTGGGAAGACCAGCGAGTTGACCAGACTGCAAAGCGACAAGATGCATAAGATAACGATATAACGAAGGGATCGTGTCCCAATAGGGATGAGACGCGTGTGGCGGGGAAACATTCTGAGGAATGATCCTGCCAGATTGAGATCCCCAGATACAATGATCTGGAGACCCTAAGGATATATGAAGTGAGGTCGGCGATGGCAGAGACGAGAAAGAACCCCATGCGCCATGCGGGGGAGGGCCGACCCCGGGGTCCACGCCGGGCGCCAGTTTCAGCTTACTTAAGGCACTGCTGGCCTCCCGAAATCGCGCTGGTGAACATCTGGGCACAACCTTGACATTGCCAGGGCTAGTTTGCGACACAAGACATGCCTTCTGACCTTCTTGGGCTCTGCGGATGTCACATTTACGTGAATTTCATATGAATTTTCTATCCTAGGGCGCCACCTGGCTGTCGCGTGATGCACTCTGCCGGTCCATATGTATCTCGGGAAGTCTATATAGCGACTGGTGCAGCACCAGATCAAAACCATTGATATAAACCGTTTCTGAGTTGGTCATGAGAAGCGTGAGAAGGCTAGCAGATGCATTGCCTGTCAATATCATTCAAGATATTGCCTTCCCGTGACATGGCTCATGAATTTTCCCAAGGTCCCGAGGTCATGATGGATCCAGGGCCTTGGTTTCGATGATAATGAACTTCACGCAAGGCTTGGATCGAAGGTACTTTTCATTCATCCCTGAATCAAGGTCAGAAACTTTGAAGCCAACCTGGAAAGAAGACCTCCATACCAGTTTGGCAATCTATCGTGGTGCTGGCATGGCTTCGGGTGGATCGACCCTTGACGCCCATGCCCAACCTGTGGGTCCAGGGAAGTCCAACCAAAGAAGCCATTATGCCAGCGAGATTCAGACGATCTGGCTATCATCGACGAGAAAATACGGATCTTTGGGCAAGATCTTGGAGGACGAAGAGCGCAGTGGAAAAAAGGCGAAAGTAATTCATCAACTCAGGTATCAGGTGAAAAATCATATGAAATGCATGCTCCCCAGAACTTTGTCGTTTGTATCCATTAAGTGAGTTTAATCTCGGTCACCACCAGCTTCAGGGCTGCGGCTGCGGTTGGGGCTGCGGCTGCGGTTACGACCAGCTCGGCCCTTAGGTCCTCCATTCTTGCCCTTGCCAGATGGGGGCGGGCGGACGAAGGCATAGTCAACGTGGAGGGTTTGTTCGAGGAGCTTGGCTCCGTTGAGGTTCTGGATGGCTTCACTCGCCTCGGGGAGAGTTGAGTATTCAATCAATGCGTAACCCTGGGAAACAGATGGTATCAGTAAGGTCTCTCCAATGTATTGCCCAACAGCCCTGTAGCTCAAAAGTCACTGCCTCTCTATTCGGTGCATAGAATAGGCTGAGCATGACCGGTGACGCACCTTGACATAACCCGTTCGCCGATCGAGATTCAGACTGAAGTTTTTGATCTCTCCGTACTCCGCAAAAAGCTCGGTAACATCCTCCTCTGATGATTCTTCGTGAATGTTGGACACAATGATGATCCATCCCTCAATACTGCGCACGGCGACGGCGTTTCCTTGTGTCCGTGGCTCGAAGCTGCGGTCAGACTGCTCGGGAGCGTCGTCGTGTGCGACAGGAGGGTCGACTTCCATCTCGGTCGACATCTTGTGCAGTTGGGAAATTCAGGGGGTCGGGCGATTCGGTTGGTATATCTCTGGTATTTGTTGTGAGAATTGTGAGTGTTCAATGGATCGGTCTTGAAATCGCGAGCTGACGGTCCTGGGAATCCAACCTTCAGGCAAGCTCGCGATCACATGACCGCCACTACCCTCTCCAAGGTTCTGGTCAGTCCTCACTTTTCAACATCGATGGCCATGTTCATTGCTTTTCTTATTTCCAATATACGGGAATTCGATAGATTTTTCCCCCGCCTGAAAAACTCAGGGCTTATTCCCAAGATCATATTTGAAATGGCGAGTGAATAGCGTTGCATTACCACACCTTCACAAATATATACATCACCACCTTACTGATCGAGAAAGAGGCGGGAGAAAACCTTGAAAGGAGACATCAAATTGTGCTCGTCAACAGCTCCAGTAATAACTTTCCAAGTTGTAACACGAGATCTATAGACGTGCCTTTCAAGGACTTTCACAAAGGAGGCTCTGGTGTTGTACTGCTTGCAAGGTTGGGCCATTTCCACCTTTCCAGCATTCAAAAGCGATACAAGACGAGAGCAATGTAAGACATCGTTAAAGACCTCAGAAGCTAGCCAAGTGCACATTTGGGCAGATACTAGCGTCCTGTTGTAGTCAACTCAACCCTGTAGATCTTACTGCGACCAAAGATATAGAGCCAATTGTCTGCCCATGCCATGTTCACAGCCACATCACCGTCGGCTACTTTGATGCGCCCAAGGAGTGTACCATGAGAGTTATACACATCGACCGAGCCAACAACAGCGCCGTAGACTCGATTGTCTTTATCGGTCTTAATCCCATCGGGGAACCCTGTATCAGAGTAAGAGAACACATTTCGATTTGACAACCCATCAACCGTAACATCATGGATATAGATCGTGCGAGCGCCATTTGGATCCGAGCTGGAGTTTCCTCTGTTGGAGATGAAAAGTTTGGATTGGTCGTGATTGAATGCGAGACCATTCGGATTGAAGAATGCGCCCTCGGCTGCGCCAGCAACCATTTTGATGTTTCCCGTACGCATATCCCATCTGTAGATGCCATTGGCCAATTCGGGGAAAAGCGTGTCGTTGAAGTTATCCCAGCCATAATATCCATCGGTGAAAAAGGCAACACCGTCATTGGAGATGACAATGTCATTCATGGAGTTGAATCGATGGCCGTAGAAGTTGTTTTTCACCACCTCGGTTTCAAGGGTCTTGGGGTTCATTCGAACGATGGAGCTAGGAGTGGTCACGTTCCCTTCCTGGGCCCAGTATATAGAGCCATTGAAGCGATATGCGCCATTTGCAATTGTCAATGGTGGGTTCGGGTAGACTTTGGTCGTATTTGGAGATGCTCGGTCCGTGATGTCCACCTTCCAGACATAGGGTATGGCCTGCATAGAGTGGCCATCTTTGGGTGAAAAAAGCTCGGCTACGAAGAGTGCATTTTCTTCTGGGACAAAGACTGATCCATCGTGAATTTGGCGTTGTGCATACGACGGTGGATCAGGGAAAGTAAAGATTTCCTCAACCTGCTTCTCCTCAAAAGGCCCCGAGGTGCCAAGTAGCTGATGAAGAGTTGTCAACAAAGAATCTGTTCAAAGGTGATGATTAATTTGAAGCGAACCTTGTAGAACTCCGGGTCATATGCTATAAACGAAGCATTTGCAATGGCGTCTAGGTCTTCCTGAACCATATACTTGTCCTTCCCACCCAGCAGACTTGTGTCCCACATAGGCACAGAGACATTGCGATTGAAGTTTTCGTGAGGAAAAACATCGTTGAATCCTTGTGCAATCTCCACAATTGAGGGTCCCACGATCAGGCCTTCGCAAAGGACAAATGTTGGCAACAAGGATAGAGTAATGCTGGCAGTGATCATGGCCATTGTTGCTTTTCAGCAGCATAAACAAAGACACAGAAGTAAACAAAAACAGAATAGATAGAACTTGATGCACATCTTGTCTTTTATGTTCCATGAGTATCAGGTGCTCGGTATTAGACCGACGGTCAGACTGTAACTATGTCTACTAGTACTGTTTCAACTCAAAGTACCTAATGAAGCGGGGAGTCTTGGGGAACAAAGTCAAAAGACGAAGTGCTCAGGGAACTTTGATTTGTTGGTTTATAGAACGCCACTTAGAAGATGATTATCGCTCGGACTGACGATTTTAGGTTGATGACCTTGAAATTTGGGAATGGAAATCGGACGCAGTACTGTAATTCTTTCCAACACCTATCTCTGGGGCTTCAAGTCACCGAGAAACGAAGAGTGAGATGGGAATAGCGTGGATATTGACACCTGCACATGTGTGCTTTCCCACTTTCCATGTGCCGCGTGGCAATATGCGTTGATCCCGACATTGGACAGTCCAGGAACATTGACCCATTATGGTAATGAGTATTTCTCTGATATCGGCCGAAAAGATTGCCATGACAAGAAAAGATGACATAGCAATTATTCAAGCAAATGTCTACAAGACGAAGCGATACATGGGATGCTCGTCACCTTGGTCTGCCAGATCGGCAGGTGCATACTCAGGATCACTGGGTCCATACTCACGATCTCGACGAGAATTCTCGAGAGATACAAGGATCCGAAGAAGTAGAGACAGCACCGCAGCTCCAAATAGCACACCGGCGCAAATCCACATGCCTTTCGAGAACATTGGGCCCTGGCTTGACGGGAAAAGTCTGGCACCCAGTAATGGACCACATTGGCCAATCATCCCGAATATAGCAAGACCGACACCACGCTTGGAAGAAGATCCTTGGTTGTCGGTCACCCACGTGAAGGTAAGAGAGACAGCTGGGAAGACACCGGCGCAGATCAAAAATGTAGCAAAGAAGCGCACAGCGTTTTCTGCTACCAGTGCTAAGATCACGTATCCCGCACCTCCTAGTGCAGAAAAGAAAGCAATGAAAATACCTCTTGCTTGAAAGTAATCGGAGATGAAGCTGATTATGATGCAGAAGACGCACGATGCAAGATAAGGAATAGCAGACAGTCCCTCTGCCTGTATTGTTGAGAATCCCATGTTTGCAAGAATTGTCGGTAGATAGGCCGGGAGCGAGCCAAATGCCGTGTTCAAACAGAAGATTATGGCGGCTTGTAGATAATTTTTGTAATCAGAGAATGCCGCAAAGGCTTGCTTGATGTTGATCTTCTTTTCCTGGTCCCTTCCACGGCCGATTACTGCTCGTTGCCCGATGATGTGGTTATCGTGTTCGTTGAGAAAAGGGCATTCGAATGGACCATTCGGGAGGTAGAAGTAGGCAACAATTGCAAGAACCAGAGTTGGTGCTCCCTCTAAGGCGACATTAGTTCATCGAACAATAGAACACCGAAGCGCCAGATTAGAGAAAGTGTTCTCACCAATCAAAAAGATAATTTGCCAGTGTGCAAGCTTTTCGTGACCAGTAACAACGCCATACGCAATAGCAGAAGCCAGCGCATTAGCCAATGGCGAACAAGCCATGAAAAGTCCGTAACGCAAGCCCATTTCGCGCCGATGGTAGAAGAAACTCAAGTATAAGGCGATAGCCGGAACAAAACCGGCCTCGAATATTCCGACTAGAATCCTACACACAAGTAAGCCTGCATAATTGGTAGTGCTGGCTTGGATCATGTCAAGAGTTCCCCATCCAATTGCCATGCATGCTGCCCATAACTATCTCTAGTCAGACAGGCTTGTCCCACCCAATACCAGGAATAAGTCAGAATAAATGTGAGACTTACAGGCAGCGGTACAACCTTCCAAGCTAGAATCAACTGTTCCAACCGATTAGCAAACTTGTGTCGTTGTGTCAAGGCAAATGTTGTCAACAAACCCAATGAAAACAAATATAAGCAATGTAGTAAACGGTCACAACCATGGAGTACTGAGACGAGGTTATACCCCAAGATTTGCCCATCCCAGCTGTGTATGCATTGCCAATGTTACCTCTGTCCATGTACGAGCAGAGGTACAATCCGCCGAGCCTATCTAGAGGTTAGCCTCATAATCGCTCAACCGCCAAGACAAACTCACAATGGGATCAAGAAGCGATCCAATTTCCACAGCGCCTTTCTCTCTTCATCCTTGCTCCATGTTCTTTCTGGAGGAGCTGTGGGCTTTGGGAGCTGTCCGGTGTTTTCAATATAGTCGACATCTGCTGCCTGTGTGCCGTCTTTCTGCATATTGACCCTGTGGTTCTGATCACTTTGTGTCATTGAAGATCCTTGATTCCAAATGAGTGTTAAAACGCTGTATCTTGAAAGGCCATTTAACTACAGAATGGTGATTAGTCAAGTCTAGAACGTGCTCGCGTTTGTGCATGTCATCGTGGTGCTCGGTATCTTACCGACGTGCTAGGCCCATTCCCCGCGAAAAAGCGAGCAGCATGCAGCGAGCTAGGCTTAATTTGCCGAGACAAGATAGATATGGGTGGATTTTATTCACGCTCGATCCTTCAGTCCACTATGCCAAGGACTGGGCCACTCCTGGGATATGCGCTGAAGGGAAATTGGCTCAGTTTTGAGAGGCGTGGCCGACACGATTAATTGAAAAGGACTGCATGCTTGGGTATTAAGTTCGTTTTTCGATCAATGGAACTCGAAATTCCATTATTGAGTAATCCTCGAGATCAATCTCGGGGTAATCACTAGAAATGTTGTTCAAAGGAGGTCCAATAGGCCATGTCCGGCACAAATCCACCACCAGAATCATCCATGCTCCAGTCAGCCCATCCTGAATCGAGTGGTAAATTTGGATCCATAGCAAGTCTAATGCCCTCGGATAGCGGCAATTGAGATTGCCCGGTGACGGCACATTCAGCCGGTGGGCCGTATAAGCCTGTGTTTGACGCAGTCTGTGGTGGCGACGTCATTTGAGGAAACGTATCGATCATAGACTGGAGAGGCATTCCAGTCGATCTCTCACTGCTCAGAAAGTTGGGCTCTGGAACTATTGACAATGCCCCGGTCTGGCGCTGTGAATCTGACACGGATGTCGCGCCTATTTGGGTTCGAATGATCTCAATGCTTCGCTTGATGCCCGGTGTTTGCTTGACTTCTGTCTCTAGCATTCTTAGCGTGACTGCGAGCCGGTTCGTGGCCATATCAGCGAGTGCTTTATCGTCATGTCGCACGAGCCTCACGTCAATTGTGGCAGCAGTGTAGACGCAATATGATACCAGGTAGCTTTGATATTGGAAATTGAACAGTTGTCCATATGCCCTGAAAAGGTCGTTAACACCGGCGGCTTGCTCAGTGCAAACAGTCTGAGCTCGGAGTGCCAAAGGGTGCTGCCGTAATTCTTCGTCCCAACACCACATGAAGAAAGGGCGATACAGAAGAATGGACAGAGTATGGCAGAGAATGCTGCGAAATTTTAGTGTTGATTGACTGTAGTATGACGGATCTCACTTACTTGAGACAGAGGATATGAGGTGGAACACAGGATTGAAGGTTTGTGCCTTCTTCAATTCTGAGCGTCGTTGGCAATTGTTGTTGGAATGTCACCAATTTATGCTCGAGCTCGAAGATGGTACTCGGGTTGATATTCCGAGTAGAACTATTGTAGAGAGTATGGTAGCTCTCGTCGATTATCTGAAGCACAATGGTCAGTTTCCATTTGAGCAAGCTTGGAAAGGAGAACACGGATAATGAACATACCTGAGCCAGACTGCAAAAATGTACGAAAGTCAAAGTGCTGTGGCATTTGGTCTCCGGGTAAATTTTGTCTGTCTCTAGCAAATGGGGAGGTTCCCACATATCTTCCTCATCTGACAAATCGACTAGATATATGTTAGTCAAAGCGAGGAACGGGATTGCGTCTGGATGCAACATACAGAGATTAGAAGGATCATAAGGCATGCTGCGCAGAGATGGCGGCCGCCCTAGAGAGAGACTAATCGATCTTTCGAAATTAAGCCAGGCGTGTTAGTTCGGTTTCCCCCCCCTGAAGGCCATAATGATAACTCACTTGTCCCATGCGTAAACTGACAGATACAGTCTTTTTCGAACCTCCAGGTCATCAGGCTCAAGCTCCTTCATCAATGAGACCTTGCTTCGTGGTATGTGTAAGCCAAGATCAGTTATCATTCGGATAGCCTGTATGTGTTAGTACGGGACTGGGGCACCGTTTTGATTTGAGAAAAAGGACTCACCATGCCGGTGTATAGCCATCCCTCGCTGCTTTTACCCACTGCACACTGGCGACCTCCTAGAATTAAGAGACCTTGGATGGTAGGGATGCGAGGCTTGCTTTGTTGCATCTCTTCAATTGACAGGAGCATCGCATCTCGCAAGAAAGTTTCTCCTCGTTCAAATGGAGTGAAACGGATATCATCCTCTGGCATGTGACGACAAGCATGGGCAAAGATGACGTTTAACAAGAATCGTGAAAAATAAGGACCGCCAAGTGCCATATCTCGATAAAAGCCTTTGCCGCGTTAGTCTCGTAAACCAGTGCCCAGGTGTCAGCACAGTGAGTGTTTACTCACAGCGTCGATATATGCAATTGTGCAGAGGTGCCTGCCATGACCAATACACCTCTAGAAGACTGGAGCAAATGCTCGGATCAACGTCGGTATAGCGACTCATATTCGCATGGGCTGTTTTCTCCCAAGACTTTTGAAAGCGGGCATTTGAGTACAGCCATCGACGATGATAGTTTTCCAATTCCTGTGTCTCTGGCCCACTGGTTTCGATCCCGGCATCAAACCGACGGTCATGTTCTGCAATTGAATGGAATCGAGAAGTGGCCCCAAAGTATTGCTGCTTGATTCGGTGTCAAAGAGGCTGCCACTTTTGTAAAGCACGAAATCACTGTCAGACTTACTCTGCCGTCCTTGTCTATGCTAAACTGGGCACCACCATCATAAGAGATATCATTCACCGTATCATGAGGACTGGCGGTAGACGTAGGTACGTCGCTTGCACTCAGAGGCAGGTCTCCAGACTCTGGTCCATTCAGATCAAGCTGAGAGACCAAATCTGCAAGGCGTCGATCTCGAGCGGCACTGTCCATAGCAGCCATTTCCCTGATATGCTTGTGAAGCTCCTGGACTCGAGCCTGCTCTGATCGCAGTCCCCCGGCTAGGTGAATGGTATATGAGTTCTTTTCCTTATATGAGCATGCTTCCTTCAGCCGTGCACAGTTGACACAGGTCGGCCATCTCCCGTCGCATTTGACTTTGCGGCGCCGGCATACTAGACATGCAAACCCGTATCTCCTACCTTTGGGCTTGGGCGCAGGATCCATTGTCAACAGCTGTAGCAACCCTGAATAGAGCGTACATCAGATGGAAGAGAGAGTTGACCGTTTGAAAGGTCCACGGCAAGGAACCTTTGGACGTTGGGGTACGTGCCCAAGTGGCCCCAGGCCGCCCGCGTGCGCCCGCCACGGACATGCTTATATAATCATTTTCTTCGCCGCGGGGCGGCCTCGCGGGGGCCCCATGTGCCCGGGCCCCGGGGCGTGGAGCCCCGTATACCCCAGGTTTCTATAGCCCACGAGCTCAACTGACAATTTCTTCCTTGGGGGACACGGAAGTCTCTCTGAGTGAACTTAAAGCTAGCTCTATGTCTTTTCATGAGAGTAGAAAGCCCGAAGGATGAAAAGAAAAGGAAGACTTTCGAAAGCTCGCTATTTCCAAGGTTTAAATCTTTCATCAACTGGTACATAGACGACGGACGAAATCTCCGAACGTTTTGTGCCAGGGATCTCAAGCGTATCGTAAACTAGGAATAATATGCCAAAGGCTAGTGTTATTCCATTGTTCTGCCTATGCAAGGGCCTTCAATCACAACATGAACCGGTAGCTAGGGTGTAAGTCTCCTGCGTTTGCTACATCATTTGACATATCCGTGCTGTGCGCAGTGCCATGAATACGATCCCGCCTCTTGTTCTCCATAGAAAGCAGTATCCTCAAGACTTGAGCGAGAATGGCAGCGAAGAACAACAGCCCTGCGCTAATGGCCATTCCCTTGGTATAGAACGGACCCTCCTCTTTAGGGAAGAATCGAGACCCGGCAATCGAGCCGGTTTGCCCAACCATACCAAATATGATCAATCCTGCTCCTCGCTTAGAGGCCGAACCCTGGTTATCAGTCACCCATGTGAAGGTGAGAGCCACGGCAGGGAACACGCCGCCGCAAATAAGGTAGGTGGCAAAATATCGCACGGCACCAGTTTTGACAAGGGCTTGGATCAAGTATCCAATAGCGCCTATTGTGCTCAGTGTACTGAGGAAGTAGGAGCGATTTTTGACTTTGTCAGATAGAAAAGAAGACGCAAGGCAAACAAAATACGAAGCAAGGTAAGGCGGCGCGGAAAGACCTTGTGCTTGAACCGAGGAATATCCGATGTCCTTGATGATAGTGGTCAAGAAGGCAGGCAATGCAGCAAAGGCCGCCTAAATGGTGATTGTTTATTAGCCTTCTGACCTCGACATTCTAAAGACAGAGAAAACAACTAAATAGAACTCACATTGAGACAGAAAATAATGACAGCCTGAATATAATTTTTGTAGTCGTAAAAGGCGGCAAAAACCTGCTTCATGTTCAACTTGCCCTTTTCCTCGTGCCCCCGGGCGGAAAGGGCACGAAGGCGCACAATCTCATTCTCTCTCGTGGTGAGGAACCTGCATTCACCAGGTCCCTTGGGAAGAAACATGAATGCCAGAGGTGCGATCAAAATCGTTGGAATTCCCTCTAGACTCAAGAAAAAGCAATCGGTTAGAAAACTTCGGCGTCATTTCGGAATGTAGATCGAGCTCTTGGACGTACCAATGATGAATAAAAGTTGCCACTGAGCGAGAGAGCTCTTAGCTTGGACAATACCATAGGCCAGTGCGGATGCAAAGCAATTGGCAATTGGAGAAAATGAGATGAAAAGACCGTAGCGGAAGCCCATTTCTGATCGGCGGTAGAAGAACGATAGGAACAAAGCAACCCCAGGAGCGAAGCCTGCTTCAAACATTCCAATCAAACACCGCAGTGCAACTATTCCCGCAAGATTCACAGTTGCGGCCTGGAGAATACTCGCCACGCCCCATCCAAACGCCATTAAGGCAACCCACAACTGTCCACGTCAGTTGTCAATAAACCCAAGGGGAAAGGGGATACAGACCGGTAGAGACACAAGTTTCCACAATAGGATAAACCAGTGGAAGGCAATATACGCCAAGTAGTACGCAGTAATGATCCAGGAGTACTGGTTGGACGTAATACCCCATTCTTCACCCATACCGGCCGTATAGGCGTTTCCAACGTTGCCCCTGTCAATATAAGAGAGCATATAGAGAACACCGAGGCTATGCACGTTAGCATGTTCCCTTGAAGAGATGTGAAAAGTCATACAGAGGAATCAAGTTCCAGTCCAGCTTTTGAAATGCCTTGGTTTTCTCCGCATCTGAATATTGGGCGAGGGCTTCATCCGCAGAGATGTTCTCGAGGCATGTTGTGACATCCTTGCTCTGGCCAATGTCCTTCTCTGGGTCTGGGCTGAGGTGTGTCATCTCTGCCGTGTTCTTTTCGTGCAGATAAGCAATTGTAGAAAGGCGAGAAAGCGGCACAATATTCAAGATGGGCCAGACTATGGAGATTTGTTTGTGCAATAATATCGAGACAATCGAGGCTTTTATGTATTCGGAGACACGGATGGTCTGCAGTCCGGGGAAGTGTCATCTCCGCATTTTGCTATCCGTCTGGGGACAGGAGATGTCTGATCACTCTGGGGTATCTGGGATGGGCTTTGCCGTGGTTCTATCGCCAAGACCGAAGCCCACGCCACCATTGTCGGTAAGATCCCGTGAACATACCGAGTTCACGACAAATGCTTTTGAGCGGGATGTCAAGAACGACCCCGGGACGCGATATACGAGCTGTAGGGGTGATGGAAGAGTAACTCGTATATTCTGTCTGTCTCTCGGGATGGCCGATGGGTCGATGTAACCAACGGATGAAGTTGACCGCCGTAGAATTGTCCACCTTATTGGAGAATCCAAGCGTAGTGACATGGGTCCTTGCTACTTCATTTTTAAGTAGAAGTATTGAACGAGCTGATCGTATGAAGAATCAAAGAGATGTGTCAACAACCTTGGGAGGGGTGGTCCGCGTTCACGAGCGATATGAGTTTCGATATAGTCACACTGACAGCAAGAGGACCATCGCAGCAATAGATGACGTTGAGAATAGAGGAGATTGAGGACGTAAGAAAGACTTGGAGAAAAAAGAAAGACAACAGGAGCTGCAGCTACCCGTGGAAATTACGTGACGAAAAGCTCATGCTTGGTGTCTCTTTTCTTCTCTCTTGTTCTTCAACAAATATAATTCAATTGCATCACATTATGAACACTCAATCTATCATAAATTGACTGTTCTTATTTCCTTGACTGGTGTGATCAAAATATTGCGGTGGCGTTGGGGGGACTGGCAACGCCCCCAGGAAGATTGAGAGGTTGACTAGTGAGCATGAATGTCCAACGACCGAGAAGCCTGCAAGTTTCACTCAGTCCTTCCAGGTCCCAACATTCCCCAATGGGCATTCCCCATCCACTCAGGAAAACCTGCGCATATCGATCAGCATGTTGCATGGCCAGCCGAGAATACTTGTTGCCTACCTCATGCATGCAGACGCCCCAGTGCTTTGGCGATGGCCATTGCTCATACGCCACGGTATCGCTCGCGACAGCGGAAAACCCTTGCTCCCAATGCCATCGGATGGCGGCTTCGGTCGCTTCAACCCCACAGGACGCGCGGTCATCTCTGCCTCCGAGATGTTCTTTCTCGGCTTCAGTCAACTTTGAATATGCCGCCGTCCAACCTGTGCGAATAACGAGAATGTCCCCTCGACGAAATTTGACTTTCTGCTCCCTGGCAACTTCAAGTAGCTCTTCGAGGGGGATGGCTTGATTTGTGAAAGGGCGATGGGGTATACACTTTCGTTGAGCATATGCATACCAATCGAGAAGGACTCCCCTGGTCACAATTGGGTTCTCTGCGATGTCTTTCAGGTCCGCAACGTCAATTGGATGTTCAGGATCTTGAGCCACGGCGCACCTTACTTTGAATACCGATCTTGTGACTGGAGGATATTTCGTCTTGAACGACTCCATTATAGAACTGATGTGTTTTGGAATATGGGAAATGCCGCAGCCCATCCCAATGGCTTGAACTTTGCGTGTTGAAATCGAGCTGCAGGGATCATCAGCTTCTCCCTCTCGCACCACTGCCTAGACCAAACGGATATTCACCTCGTCATCATTTGCATGTCCTTTGGCAATCAGTATGTGTGAACAGGGCTTTCTTCGAGGGTTCATAGGCTTCAGTGGAACATCCAAGGGAAGGCTATACACTTGTCAGTATAATAGACAAAGCATACGATGACACACCAGCTTACTTCAAGCTAATCACTTTCCCCAGCACAGCCTCCGCCGAAGCAGCTCGCACCACGTCGTCGGTAATCAAATTCAATGTTCCGCGCTCATCTTGGTCTCCCCATAGCCCCCAGGCAGAGCCTTTGGGGTCGCTCTGCTTCAAGGGGAGCTCATCAAAGCGTGGCCTGGAGATATGGAGCACCAAAGCTGTGTCTTTTCCTGTTGTAGGTTGGACAGGCTTGGCTTGGCTAAAGATCTCTGGCATCCACCAGAAAGATGGTAATAGTTTAGTGAGACTCATGGTTGTTACTGTCGAAGCCACCCGGCAGATACGAGCGATTCATTGATCAGCCCATGAACAACTGGGAGCTCTTCAATAAATGTTACCATTACGGAATTTCGAGCAGCCGTGTTGTCCTGCGCAAGGGGCTTTGTTCGGTATGATGCCGGGGTCTCATCGGCATTGGCAAGTTCCCTTCTCGGCTTTTACCGAGCGCCGAGACTATTAGAGCACCCCGCATTGTATGAGGATCAACTCTCTGCTTCGCGGAAATCGTTCTTTCGTTTGCCATGTCTGAATTCAATATTCTCACCCCTAATGCTATGCTCGGTTATGGCTACCGGGCTGAGCATTTTTGGTATGGCATTGAGAAGTTCGCCCCGAAGGCGATCATCGTCGACAGCGGATCCACAGATGGCGGGCCCTATAAGCTTGGCTTGAACAAGATGACCTGTGGTCGTGACTCTTATATCCGCGATCTGACACCAATTCTCCAAGCCTGTTTTCATCACAAAATTCAGGTACTGATCGGCTCGGTGGGTGGCGATGGCAGTGACAAACATGTTCAAGAGATGTTCGAAATTGTCCAAGAAATCGCTGCGCGAGAGGGCTTTTCTTTCAAAGTCGCCACAATTTCTGCTGGATTCCAAAGAGACCTCCTCCAACATCGCATCGCCAGTCAGAAGGTCGGTCCGTGTGGGCCTGTGGAGGAATTGACAGTTGGAAGCGCCAACCGTGCGATTGATATAGTTGCGCAAATGGGCGCTGAGCCGTATGTTCCTATAAACTCCCTGATGTCCACAAATAACGCTAATTCTGTTTTGCAGCTTCTTGAAAGCTCTTGAAGAGAGCCCTGATATCATCCTTGGTGGTCGTTGCTACGATCCGGCGCCCTTTGCTGCATTTTCCATGTTTCATGGTGTGCGTCCTGGGGTCGCCTGGCATATGGGCAAGATCATGGAGTGTGGTGGTATTTGCGCACTTCCAAAAGGGCGATCAATGATCGCTACTATGCGAGAAGACTCCTTTGATCTAACTCCCTTATCGCCCAAAGAGCGGTGCACTCCACTCTCGGTCGCTGCGCATACTTTATATGAGAAGACAAGGCCCGATCGCCTACCTGGACCCGGAGGAGTCCTTGTCCTAGACAACGCCTCTTATGAGCAGTTGACTGAGAAAACGGTTCGCGTCAGTGGTGCCGAATTCATCCCCACGCCTGTCTATCAAGTGAAGTTGGAAGGTGTTGAAAAGCTTGGATACCGCACGATTTTCATTGGCGGTATTCGTGACCCTATTCTCATCGGACAAATCGACACTTTCCTCGCAGATGTACGCGCATATACTCAAAACCTGTTCCCGGAGCTGGATAAATCACCCCAGTGTCAGCTCCTGTTCCATTTCTATGGCCGCAATGGAACGATGGGTCCGATCGAACCAACTCCAGTGGCTGGACATGACCTCGGTATCCTTGGAGAAGTTGTGGCTCCATCCCAGGAGCTCTCTTATACCATCGCCAACAATGCCCGTGCGTCAATTCTCCATATGCCGTACAAGAACCAGGTCGCAACCACAGGCAATTTTGCATCACCCCTGTCGCCGCATGAGACTGCCGCAGGCCCTGTCTTCCGCTTCAATGTCTACCATCTCGTCGATCTTGAGGCTGGTGAAGAGGTTTCCCTCTTCCCAATTAGCACGCAGTTGATCACCAATAGCTCGCAGTCTTCTGAGAAAATGACTCCTCCAAGACTCTCGGGCTCTGAGAGACAGACACTGCTCTCAGAAAAGCTCGAGCCTCTGTCGGTCAAGCCTATCCCCCAAGGCGAGTGTCAAATGATGAATATCGCCAAAATCATCAGATCTAAGAACTCAGGTCCTTTTGAGATGACATTCGACATCATGTTTGACACCATAGGTGCTTACGAGCGCGTCAAAAAAGCGAACATCCTGACCAACGAGCGTGTCATGTCTCTCTATCACTTGCAGCCTGAGGACATATTAGTCAACATGTTCTTCGAGCCTGCTCTGGCGTGGAAGTGTACTATCCGCCGGCCCTGGGAACAAGGCACAGTGGGAGAGCGTGATACATTGGGTACCCAGCAACATGGACCTCTTCTGACCATTGCCGTCCCTGCTGCTCTAGATGGCACTATCGCAGCCAATATTACCGGCAATCAAAGCTTATTTGGAGCCTCTCAGGATCGCTCGAAGTTCTCACCCAAGGATAGCGTCCATCACTTATGGACCTCTTTGGACCTTCCCACGGCATCTTTGGAAAAGCTTCGGCTCCCTGGTCAAGGTCTTGGTCTGCCCTCTTCATTCAAGGTTGCCCACATTGCGCAGGCTTCCATTGCTATGTCCGCTTTGTTAGCCGCGCAGATCTACGCACACCGAGCTAACACGGATGTGCCCGCGGTAACGGTTCCTTTGCAACATGCGGCGATTGAATTCAAGTCCGAAAGGCTATACACTCTGGCTGGTAAGCCCGCTCCATCGCCATGGGGCCCCATCGGTGGCTTGCACAAGACTTCGGACGGCTATGCACGAGTCCATGATTCCTTCCCCAATCACCGCGACGGGGCTCTGGCTCTTGTGGGATGTGAGCCCAATGCGACCCGTGAAGAGCTAGGGTCAAAGATCAAAGAATGGTGTTCGGTCGATCTTGAGGCAGCTGCTTTCGAAAATCGCCTTGTCATCTCGGCTCTTCGGTCCTATGCCCAATGGGACGTTCTTCCCCAGGCTCGGAAAATTGCTAATTTCCCAATCACTCTACGGAAACTTCGTGATGGGCCCATTGGCCTTCCTGCAACGATGCAATCATCGGCTGATAAGGCTCTTCGCGGTCTACGTGTTCTCGAGCTCT